CTGAAGTCCAGTCAGAAGGTAAGCGCCAGGCCATTTGCCTTCATAAAAAAATTTTAGATAAAATAAGTGAGTTTTCCCCAAATTAGTGTGATACGTTCACTGTTTACTCTAATTACTGCTAACTTTGAGCCTTAAATCTGGTCTATTATGACATACCACAGTACTTAATCCTAAATTCCAACTTCCACGTGACATTTCCTCTCTTTGTAAAATGACTTACAATTTGTTTGAATTGTGTTTTCTCAAAAATGTGCCAAGTTTTCAGCCAAAAGAATTTTTTTCCGCCCACAAAAAACAATTAGTAGTCAGAATAGATTCATTTCCATTTTGGTCCATCACTGCTCCTGTAAAGTCACACACAGTTCAATTAATCTACCACATTAGGTAAAAATTGCTTCCTAACTTTCTTCTTTTTTTCCTTGCAGGTCTCTGGGGACTTGTTAACAATGCTGGAATTATGGGGCCAACTGCTCCTACAGACTGGTTGGATATTGAGCATTTTAGAGAGCCAATTGAAGTTAATTTAATTGGGCTCATAAATGTGACATTAAATATGCTTCCCTTGATAAAACAAGCAAAGGGAAGGATAGTAAATGTATCCAGTACTGGAGGTCGGCTAGCATTCTGTGGTGGAGGCTACTGCCCTTCAAAGTTTGGGGTAGAAGGATTTAATGACAGCTTAAGGTATAACACTCACCTGCAAGAAAAAGACCACTCTTCATTTTCTAAGGCTAACAGATGACTGAAAACCTGCACATGCAGAATAGAAGCTGATTTACATGTCTGACACTTGATATAAAACTTAAATATATTATAAAGTTTGGGATAAGTCTTCTTGAAAGTACCTTTTTTTCAGCATAGATTATGTCACTTTTGAAATCTAAGATACAAATCCTGTTAGGATGGTATTTTTGTATATTTATATGTAACTTCTTGTAATTTAGTTACTCATGGGGGCCTTTTTGGAGAGGAGATTCCACTCAAGGGAACTGAGATGTCTCTGCAGGAAAAACCTGATCTCCTATAAGCGTATGTCCTATTTCTAAGTGTTTATAAGACACACACACAGCAGACAATTACGAGATGTGGCCAGAAGAATCTTGTACCAGTTTGGAGAATTAGATGGAGATCAAGAGGGGTTCATTCAGACATGTAAAATGGCTCTGGATACTTACATTTAGGCAGTCAGATGGTCTTACAGGCAAGTCTGACAAATTACAAACTACTGGAAGGGGAGCTGGGACATGAAATACAATATGCCAGTCATTGTCCATACATGTTCACACTCAGTGAAGCAGTTAGGAGAGTTCATCCCTCTCTCATTTAGGGATAATAGGCTGAAAGTTCACACCTGTGCTTTCCACACAGTACTTAGATGTTGACATGCAATGTAAAGACAGAAATAACAGTACAGAAAAAACATCCCACCATATCAATAAGAATTTCTAATGCAATTAAATTGCTGGGCTGTCTTTGCAGAAGAGATATGAAAGCTTTTGGAGTTAAAGTTTCCTGCATTCAACCTGGGCTGTTCAAAACACCGCTAACGGATCTAGCAAAGATTCGGAAAGAGAAGGAGGTTATTTGGAATCGGCTTTCCCCCGACACTAAAAAGCAATACGGAGAGGACTATTTTCAGAAAGGTGAAGTAATTTCCAGGCATTTTACTAAAAGCAGCAATGTATTTCTCGCTGAGAAAGCCTTCAAAGTAGCTTTATATCTTCTAATCACTATGACTTTTTGAAAAGACTGCATATTAACAGTTACTCTTCAAATGCATCTGCATCACAATATGGCTATTCACACAAAAACTTGTGCAATGAAACTTTATTCAGATCTCAGTTAAAGATTAATTATTTGCGTTGGCATGTAGCTTTTGAGCAAACTCCAAGGCAAAAAAACATTCATCTAGTGATGTAACTAATGTGCTTGCAGTGTTTTTCTGTTACTATTATTTATTTAGTAATCAAATAGGAGTAACTTCCCTTTGCTTTTACTATCCCCAGCAGTAGTGATGCCATGCAGAAATTGTCTGACAGACAGTTCCTGAGGTGCCTGCTGACACTTTCTTGTACAGAAGCTACTTGTCTTTGGGCTTTTTGTTCCTCAAGTTTCTTTAGTACAGTTGCATTTCACAGATTTCTGCAAAGCAATTACCTTACTACAACAGACTTAGCACCACAGCGTTTCTATTTCCATTTGCCTCTTACACAGTTAGGTTTATTCTGAGATACTACCATTGCTAGTTACTTGGGGAATACCTACGCGATTTTGCCATTGCTGTTTCACAGTGAAGAGTACCTAGGCTGCTCTTGGGGTAAACTGTATCACAGGTCATTATGGACAGGGTAGTTGATCTTCAGAAATTACTATGAATTCTTCTAAAACAAGAAACAAGAAATACCAACTCCTTAGTGAAATTTCACAAATCAACGTGGGATAGAGAGTTAAAAGTCACTTTTCCTGGCTGTCACTGAATGATCTTTTGTTTGAGTTTTACAGATGCAGCAACGAAAGAAAAGCTCTCAGATGCCTGCCTTAACACTGACATCTCACTGGTCGTTGAGTGCATGGAGCATGCTCTAACAAGCCTCCATCCATGTGCCCATTATGTAGTTGGCCAGGATGCCAAGTGGTTTTGGACTCCTCTTTCAAGAATGCCTGCAGATGTACAAGACTTCTTACTTCTGAGAAACAGAGAAAAGCCTGCAGTTTCCCATAGAAATTAAATCTTTGTCCATATATTCCCTGTTGCATACAGGGCTGATTCCACACGACCTGTTTTTTATATTAACATGGTACAAACCATACCTGAAATGCACCCTCATGTCCTATAAATGTAAGAAATACAGCTACTTCTCCAAAATTTGCTACTATTAAAAACAAAACAAATAAAGAAAAACCACCCTTACTTCTTTCTTTTTTGTTTTTGTTTTTGAAGTACAGCATGCTAAATCCTTAGGATCTCTAATGTCCAGGTCTTCTCTGTGTTGCAAAAGGATCCACAGATACAAAAGTACATCATAGATATGACTACAGGAATCCAATACCTGCAGTTTAGGTAACTAAGAACCACGTATTTTGTTGAGTTGTTTTTTTTTGTTTTTTTTTTTTTAAATTCAGACTTCAAGTCTGAAACATTGTATATTTCAGCTTAACAACAATGGCCCTGTGTTTTGTGAGGTGCAAAGCAGCTCTTTTCTTGCTCAGCTCCTGACACAAGTGCCTGCTATGATCTGGCACTGCTGCAATTCATCATGACAAAGTCGCCACAGAATGCAGAGGTCCAATCTCAAGTCTGCAGCTGCATATTGCTCAGGAGTTGTTTCTTACTCCCATGCAAATTGGCCAGTGACAAAAAAAACATTTTCCCCACGCTGATCAATTCGCATTAACACAGCCAAGCTGAAGAGCAAGCTACCCAGTGGCTATCCTAATATTGCTGGTTTTCAATTTAGATTTTTTAAAGCTTCTAAAATACTTTTCCTGTTTTTCTCAGTGCAGCTTATTCTCAGTGCGGTCATCTCATTTATAACTGTTATCTGAAAAAGTCATTCTTTCCAAAGCAGATTTAAGGTAAATAGCCCTGAACTAACTATTCCTACCGAGGCAAATAAATAAATAAGATGTTTTTCTATAAAGAAAAGTAATAGAAAATCAGTGTAAGTCAGAGCTGCCATAGCTGTCTCGGGTGTTACTGGCTCACCTGACCCAATTCTCACGAGCCATTAACTTCCCAGGTAGAGCTCAGAGTGTCCCTATGACTGACATTTGTGGCTCCTGCAGAAGCAGCAGCATCAGGCCCTCATTATGTGAACTTAGCAGAGAACTTGGTGTCATTCTCACAGTCTCTTTCTCTCTCCAGAAGTTAAACTATATTTTTCCATCAAGGTTACACAACTGACATTGAATAGGAAAATAAAGTATAGAATGGCAGCGGCTGCTTTGATCTGTATCAGGTTTAGGGACTGAAGTTTGGTTGACTTACATCAGCCCTTGTCAGACCACAGGTCCACTGTCAGCTGCTGCAAGACTACAGCACTGCAGCGATTAACATCTGAAGTAAAGTTCAAAAAGAATTTGGAGCAAGGCACACCTGCTGTAAGTATATTATTTAGATTAGAAATGCAGAAAAAATATCAATTGCTTAATGTACTCCCAAAGTATCTTTCTTTTTACAAACAGCCACATTCTGGTGGCATACTCTCCTCTGCAACCAAACACCTCATTTACTTGTATGCATGAAGAGTGGGGGAAAGGAGCTCTGCTTATACATTCAGACAAAGAGCAGAGGGATCAGAAGAGCCCAGCAGACTTTGGGCCAGTCATATGTTAGCATTCTTAGCAGTCATCATATGTTAGAGGCTTTTTTCATAAAAACTGTAGAGCAGAGCTTCTAGAATTTGAACTTTTATTTGAAACACAATTTATTTGTTTCATGTACCATAAGGCTGCCCTTGGACTAGAACAAAGAATTTTGTTCCTGCAAGTTGTTAAACACAAGGTAGTTTCTTCAGCCTTTGTTCCAAAAAAACCAAGTCCTATCAATAACAGCTCATTCCATGTGCACGAGTAAAGAGAGAGGTCTGAAATAAGCCCAGTTAAATCAATGGAAAGATTCCTGCTCATTTCAACACAACACACAGTAGTTTAGTATTCCCTAACGAGTCTTAGCAGTCCCCTAGGCTCTACAGATGACTATATATAGCCAGGAAAGCTTATGCAGCAAAGGGAGGATATGCTGAGATGGAGCTTAGGTGGAGGATTAACAACAACTAATTCCCTAAGATAGAAGCACCACAACACAACACATTATAAATAGCGAGGAGAACGACTGTGCTCGACAGCCATAAAACCATCATGCTGAATTTACAGGTTTTTGTGAAAACTGAATCATCGTGCAAGTGTCGGTGCACAAGCTGATGAGTTAGCCTCAAGCAGTTTCTACGTTGTGACACCGAAATAACCGGTGAAGGCCACTCATGAGAACCTGGAGGTACATGGTGAGCTTGCAGATGTCTCCCCAGAACGTGAGTACCAGCACAAGAGCAGAAATGGTATCTAACAGTGTGCAGGATTCATTATATGCATTTGCAGAGTGTTTAAGAGGACAAATTAAGCATTTGGTTTTGAGTGCACAGCTCAGAGAATATGCAGTCTCTTCCTTTCCAGTAAGGATTTTAACCAATTATTGCTTATTAAGCACCTGCAGGGTCTGAATAAAATGCTAACTCAGTAATGTTCTTTAGAACATCTGGAATCTTTCTCAACTCCTTTATTAATTACTGGTTTGGTCACCAAAGGGTTTAGAAGGCTTTATTTGCCCTGGCATGGTAAAAAATCTGAACTGTGAGCACTACAAGTAAAGATACTGAGAAATCAGCCCTCATTTAACCAGACTGACTTCACGTCCCAGCAAAACACTCAAGAGAGTTAGGATATGTATTTCTTTTAAGATGAAAGATTAAGGAAGATCGTTATCTGCTGACCTCTGAACTGCCGTTGTCCTCTTTACACAGCTGATAGGAAAGTAGCCCTTTCCCATGAAACACAAGTACAAAGCCCTGCACACACAGGAATAGCTCATGTAAGAGTGGGAGGTGTGATGCATTTGTGCCTGAGTACATGTTCAGTTTGTTAGCTGAAAACGAGGCAGTTTGTAGCACAGGCAGCGTGACTGATTATTAAAGTTTGTACTGAACTGTACTGTACTGAACAGGGCACAGCCTGACAGTGGAACCTTCCCCATGTGTTCCACGAGGCTGCTCCTGAAGAACAGAGGCCCTGCACTTCCTTTGCCAGCTCTTCCTCTGTGTGGACGGTGGGCCAGGCCACCCCACTGCAGAGCACTGACTTCTGCAGGGTTTGCACTGTGAGCACAGTGCCAGAGGAAGGAATCCAAAACATATCCAGACCCCAAACCTCATCCAGCCTGAGGTTCTCTGGCACAACTGCCAGCATTGCCTGCTGTGGGAGCAGAACAGTCTCACTCCCTGAAGCAGGGTGCTTCAGTTTCCCCTCTGCAGAGAAACAGAGGGATGCTGCTATTTGTAGTCATCTGAGTACCTTAAAGGGCTCTAACAGTGTAGTCACACTGCTTTTCTTTAAAACCAATTGCTTTTATAATGGCACTTGTGTGTGCACAAAAAGCCAAGCTCTATTCCAAGAGTTCTCAATCTGCCAGGCAAATATCAGCATTTTAATGGAAGGTAAAACTTGCCTTTAGCTATTTACTGGCTACACTGGTAATAAAAATTCAATATTTTTGGAATTATATCAAAGCTCTTGAAATATCATGCTGACATTTTCCCTAGAAGCACACTCTTTGCTACTGCAAGAGCTACTTCAAAATTGATGTGCTGCTGGCAGAGAAGCAGCATTTAGTGCTACACAATTATCAGACAAAAACTATTTCTTGCAACATTGCACATTCACAGAAACAGACTATTTTCTCTGAAGAAAATCTTAACTGAAATTATTTCCTCTGATTCTGACTCCAGATTTCTTTTACCAGATATGACATCATCCAGCAGAATAAATTCCACCACAATATTCCTACAGAGAGGAGCCCTTTGTGGTGCCCAGCAGCAGATGTCCACATGCTTTTGGACACTGAGAGCCTGTAGGGAGCCACCTGGTGCAGATGTGCACACAGCCCAGCACCTATGGGATGGATGAGCCATGAGGTTCCACACACAGCACAGCTGTCTCAGTCTTACAGCTCCTCTCTTCCAGCTGCTGCTAGCAAAACTTAGGGACTGATGCTAACCAGAACAGTTCCATGCATTTCTCTCCAAGGAGTAAATGTGTAGCCAAGAGCCCAGCCTAGTCAGATGTCTCCACAGAGACCCTGTTGCAAACTAAAGCTGCTTTCCAGCAGTGCAAGCTCTTTGCCCACCATTTCCCATTTGCAACACAGCCAACGAAGATGTAATTTACTACTCTTGTTTCCAATTAAAAGAATATTTTCCCTAAATTTTTAATTAAGTCATTTTATTTAGTATTGGGAAAAAGATTAAGTCCTAAAATGATGCATCACAGGACTAGATTGCTGGGTAGCTGTTTGATTTATGGACTTGGGGTTACAAAAGTCTGCTGGTAGCAGCTTCTCTCTGTTTCCAGCTTCCATTCTAATCCAGCAGTCATTGCCTGGCACATCACATTAACTCAGAGGTCCATATCCATGGCTACAGAAGCATGCAACTATTTAAAGTAATATCATTGAGTGGAACGTTGATACCCCTAGAATCACAGAATCACAAGGTTGGAAATGACCTGTAAGATCATCTAGTCCAACCATCTTCTCATCACCACTGCCACCACAAGTACTAAACCACATCACGCAGCACGTTGGACACCAGACACCTCTTGAACACTGCCAGGGACGGCGACTCCTCCACCTCCCTGGGCAGGCCATTCCAGTGCCCGATCACTCTCTAAGAGAAAAAGTTCTCCCTTATGTCCAACCTAAACCTCCAACCTCATCATTCATCAGCTACGTGACTGATGTATTCAATGAGTCCAATATTCACTTACAGTTTGAGACTTTGCCCACTCCTACTTGATTAGACGGTGACTTGATTAAAATAAACCCAAATAATTCCTAAAGCCAGTGGAAACAAAAGCACCAGAGGAACAAGAACACCACTCTAGCAACCAGGTCTTCCTTTACCACTAGTGTTTTAAGGTAACATGGATTTCACACGAAAATTAGCCAAACCCCTAACTTCAGACAGCTGTGAGTTACAGAACATAAAAAACACAGACGGCTTTCTCTTCAAGTACTTCCAGGATTTAAAAATAATAAACTCCTTCATTTTAACATAACTGTTAATTATTTGAATACAATCACATGTTCCTTCTTTGAATATAATCCCTTGTCTGCACCCGGACCCATATGTAGGCAGATAGAGCCTAAGTGACTGTTCGGTACTTGTAAAAAAGTTTCTTTTTAGCAAGACATCCAGAAAATACTGACCATCTTTCCCATAAACGTGAGTTTAATTAAATACTTCATCGCACGAAGAAAATACAAACACAGTAACCAATTGTGAAGACTTTCAGATGTCGAGAACTGCATGCTACACTCATAAAAAAAATATTTGTAATAAATAAAAGAGTATCCTCACTCCTGAGTTAGGGAACTTTGTATTCCCTCCATCTTTTTTGAGAGCAGCACAGCATCATGAATACCCCCATTTATAGATGCAAACAATGTTCCCATATAATACATCTTAGTTCACTCTGTATCAGTGCTAGACAGGCAGTGAGGAAGGAGTCAGAAAGCCCAGACATTGCCATAAGGTCTTTCTTGTCTTAGGAATAGAGAGTAAGTAGCTTACTATGATGCAGCACAAATCACAGAACAAATTAGAGCACCCACCACTACAGCTTGGATTTCTCTGGACATTCCTAGGCTCTCTCTGCTTCCACGCTAGATATTAGAAGAGCAGACTGTTTGGCATCATGTAGACAGTCAAAGAGGATTATCCTTCTTCCCAGAAAAACCCCTCTCTTTCCAGTATTAGCACAAATAATTGCCAGTTTCCTTCCTACAAAAAGTCACCATCAGACACTACTGCGAGAAACCGTGCAGTCATTCCTTTCAGCCTGAAATATCGTGAGAAGATGGGGCTGACTAGGAAGACAGGCAAGTAAAATTTGAGAACAGTGAAAAACTGTTGAAAAGGAGGTCAGGAGAAGGTTTTGCCAAGTCAAGCATTAGTCATGGATCACAATCACATTGTGTAAAAGCTCCACCCATGCTCTCTTACAGTGAGCTGGATGGAGTGCAACCAGAAACAAAGCCCCTCATGGCAACTGGGTCTTAGGAAGTTGGGGGATTGGCCTAACATGTTTACTTTGTTGCATTTCCAGATCACTAACACTTTCCCTAATAGCTCTCATTTTCAGACTCACTGCACATAGTGATTCTGGCTTCCATACTTTCTCTCATCATTTACTGGCTCATCAGAGACCGTCACAGAGTTAGAAACCTGAATGGAAAGTTTGTCTTCATAACAGGCTGTGACACCATACTTGGAAATGCACTGGCCAAGTGGCTTGACAAAAGAGGATTCTGTGTTATTGCTGCATGTGCCACTGAACAAGATGGCCAAGAATTATGGTCCTGCTCCTCACTCTCCCTGAAGACAGTGAATCTGAACTTGGCTGACTCCAGCAGCATCACCAGGGCTGTAGAATTTGTGACAGAGGAAACAGCAGGCAAAGGTAAGTGGAAAGGTCAGCTTATAGAAAAATAATTCAGTACAACCAAATGTGGTCCAGCTAAGAGTTCTGGAGCCTCTCTGCTATCTACAGATGAGTTTTTCCTCTTACTGATGAAACACATTCCCTTTTCAGTTCTGCCACTTCACAGCTCAGAAAGATTTTCTCCAGCTTTTGGGCAATTTTGCCAGCAGAGTGCCTAGAACTACAGCTGTTCAAACCAGATCATTCCCTGATGTGTTTTTCAGACTTTTTGGTGCAGTTGGAAAGTCTCAGCAGGGGGAGGGTGCTAACCAGTACCAGAAAGCTTTCTTGTCAGTAAAGCCAGCCCAGACAGTTAAAAATGGCTGATGCAGGGCTCCTACAGTAACCAGAAGAGTGTTTTTGCATGGCTGAACAAGTCTGATTTTTGTAATGCACTCAGTAACAACTGTAATGACTGTAATATCTAAATTCTTGCCTTTTCAGCCAGTTTTCTTAGAGTTGTTACACAGGTAGCTCTTAACATCCCTCTGAGCCCTTAATATCACTCATTCACCTCTAAGCACTTGTCTAGAACAAAGAAGAGTTTGTCCTTGGATACCTGTAAGTTGAATTAAAAAGGCATGGCTGAAGTGTTGTTTTTAGCACAGGGTGGTAAATATATTGACCTGTAACAACATACATGTTTCTTTCCTGATGCCAACCACTTAGACAGGGCATTGTTAATAGCAGCCAAATGGGATCAAGGCACTGTAACTACCAGCTGTACTACATAGTTGTATCAAATATTCAGTAGGCTGATAAATTAATTTAGTATCTAGAAAAGCAAAATACAATATCTTCTACCTCAAGGGGACTTTCTTCCTTCATTATGCAAAGTTTCAGACCATCCTTGAATACAAAGAATAAGAGCAAAATCAAAATAATTATTAGACCTTACCTTCTCAGAGAGGCTGATCTCACACAGGCCTCTGCCTCCAAGCTGTAGAAAGCAGCATGCTCCTGATCAGGGTAACCACTGCTGTCACCTTCTTCTGAGCAACTCTTTACAGAAGCAGTGCTGAACCTTCGGCCTCTCCCTCCAGGCACAGGCTGTCCTTCCAGAAGCGTCACTATTTATCTAAAGCTCTTCAAGTAATTTATAAGGTAGTAAAGCAGTATAATCAATACACAGGGTTAAGCTAACATTTTTAGAAGCATTGACTAATTCTTTATGTTTAGTTTAGACCTTTAGACCCCAGCTCAAGTAAAACAACCTTTCCACTTTCACACAGCGCTTAGTTTTCACAAGAAGATAAGTGCACATTAGGAACCCGCATACCTGAGTAAGTAATAAAGGTCACTATTGCATCCCATTTCTCCAACTGAAAATATTTTCCTATCTTATTTTAGAATAATTGCCTAGGATCTTCTGCACAGGTGTACAGAGTAGACATCTACAAGCAGGCTCTAGACTTCATCCCACTGAAGCTTTTGCCAAGGCTGTTTGGATCCCAATGCTACATAAGAAACCCAATGGTAAGATACTGTCACATACAGAAATGAATGATTTTGGAATCTTCCTAGGGCTTTTTGGCTTTGTGAACGCTGCTGAAGGAACAACATCTGCAGCACCAACTGACTGGCTAAGAATTGATGACTTCCACTCAGCTCTGAACGTTAATCTACTGGGATTGATTGAAATCACGCTCAAACTTCTACCACTTCTGAAAAAAGCCGAGGGAAGAGTAGTCAATCTAATCAATTCTAACGGCTTCATGGCATTTGTAGGGGGTGGCTACAACTTGTCCAAATGGGGCATGGAATCTTTCTCCGACATGTTATGGTGAGTAGTTAGAAATACATGCATGAATCCAAGAACAGATTCTAGATGTGCTGAGGGAAGGATGCCTATATGTTTGCCTCTTCCATTTTGTCTCCGTTAACTTTGCCTAAGGAGCAAAAGGAAACGAAAAGGGTGATGGTCACCTGTTTTGGATACTATGAACACAGCCACCAGGAAACTGCAATGGGAAACATTTGCCTATGGCTAGCACACAGCTACAGAACACATTAACCTGCTGCATATATACAAGGGAATCAACAGTACAGCCTAGCCAGGTCAGATGCTTCCTGGACACGTTGTACGTAAGGTTCACATGCTGTTTGGTATGTACCAAATTACCAGACATAGGTACATGAAACATGAGGACCTTAGACATGTTGCATGTGCCTCATAAGAATTACGAAAGTGTACATGCAGGTACTTCCAGCTGGAGCCTGTCTGAATTCCCTTTTGATAGTACGGAAATTACGAACAAAATTATGTCTCATTCAATACTGTTAACCAAGAGGAAAGAAACTACCTACCTGAAGCATACAGATACACAGTGATTTCAAATGGTTTGTACTGACTGCAACACGTAGAAGCATGATAGCTTAAGCACAGCAGTAGATACAATTATGGCAGTTACGGTTGTTTACATTTGGTAGGTTGTGTGTGACAAACAGCAGTGTACAACTATAATACATTTAGTAGCATGCAATCAAGGTAATTATTAGCAGCCTGGTGTTGTGATTCTGATAAGCACGCTCAGATCCCTGAGCTCTTAATAAGCTGCTGAGGTTCTTCTGCAGGTTCTTCAGAGGCCACAATTAAAGTACAGGTGTGCTAGGTGTATTCCATCTGGCAAGGCCAGATGCCTTGGAGAAGACATTTGACTTCACAGCAGGGGTCTGATTCTCAGACACTTAAGCCTTCAGTGTATATCCTTTTCTGCTGGTTCTACCTCAAAGGCCCTGAGTTGCCTTTTTAAGCTCTCAGAGATCAGTGATTGCTCTCTGCCCTTCTTCCATTTCTGCAGACTGTCCCTGCCAAACAGTTTCTGAAATCAGCACACCAGAAAAAGTCACTCTGGCACCAGGTTACAGTTCTCCTACTAGGGAGTTCATCCAAGTCTATAAACTAAAGTCACCGTGCATTTGGCTTACTAATGTCTTATCATAGCATTATTACATTCTCCACCATAAAGACTATTAATTCACCAAGTATGCTCATGCAGCAATTAGAGAAAATGACTTTTTGTCTCAACACATGCACTGCTAAAGGTATTTGTGCAGAGTTGGCATTTCAGTTCCCTTTCCCCTACTACTGTTTCAAAACCTTCAGTACTACTAAACTTAATGCCGGTATTTTTTGCAGAACAATGGTGAGCAGAAAGCCTTATCTTCACATGGGCTCAGTAACAGAGTACTCTTCCCTCTCACTGAATAAAGTTTTATCATACCCCTTACTCATTATTTGTCTATGCAATAACAGTAAAAAACATCTATGTAAAACTTTTCCAGCAAGTAAAACACTCTGTATGTTCACAACAGAATTATGAAGGACTTATGCCAAACTATTAATCTCCTCTGTTACCAGTTTACAATCTATTTCATTTTGCACTAATGCTTCACAGCAGTCCGAGCTAGGTGATTACAAACAGCAATCAGATTATCAAAGGTATTCATTACTTCAGAAAATTAAAGTGAGCAGCCTTCACTGATACTAATTGTGATGTACTGCCTCAGGTTGGCTGAGGAGCAGACCAAAAAGCCAAGTCTTCACAAGGTCCACAAATGTTGGTTGCAAACAGTTATGAATGCTTATACAGAGAACCATATATTCCAAGGCAATATAATAAAAACTAGTGGCTAGTGTACACATGGTCAACTTCTTTGCATGCTTTGGAATCCAGCTGCTTGAGTCTTTGAAGCTATCTGATAGAACAATGATGATTTTCATTCTGAGGGTGTTGCATTGCAACTCAAATTTCATAGAGGGAACCACGCTGCCAGAAAGCACTCTGACCTTTACTGCACTAACGCTTAATCATTTAACCATAGCCATTTCACCGTAAGGTGCAAAATAAAGTCCTAACCCAATTGGAAATTTTTTCTCGCTTTGACTTTTCACTAAGCACCTTAATGATCTGTTTCTCCTAAAAGCTGATGTGCTACAAGAGTAGTTTAACCAGATAGAGGTGGGTATCACATTCTTTACACCAGTCCAAAACAGATCACACAGAAAAGCTGCAAATCTACCTGATGTTGCTTTAATTGTTAGTTGTGTTCTGCACTTTTACAGTGATAGGTACAGCACTGTGATGCTAATTTGAACATCTCATAAAATTATTCCAACATTTGAAGACAAGAAACTCTCAAATACTAATTAATGTGACAGACTTTCAACTTACGTATGTTTAATGGCTATGCCATCATTGGGTGTTCAGAGACAGCTTTCTGGGTTTTGTTGTTTTGTTTTCTTCTAGGAGAGATATTCAGCACTTTGGAGTGAAAGTAAGCATTATTGGGCACAGTTTCTTCAACACAAACGTTAATTCAGGAATCATGGTGAGAGACCTCTTAAGACTTTGGAACAGACTGCCTAATGAGATCAGAGATTCCTACGGAGAAAAATACTTTTCTGAATGTAAGTAGGAAAAAGAATGTATGAAGGCTCAGGGAAGGATATCATTAATGATTCTAATTACCAGAAAGGGGGAGTACAGAGATAATGGAAGCTTGACTCTTCAGTGGTGCCCAGTGACAGGACAAGGCAGGAAAACTGGAATACAAGAGGTTCTGTCTGAACATCAGGAAATACTGAGTGCTGGAACAAGTCACCCTGATTGTGGAATCTCCCTCTTTGGAGATCTTCAAAAGCCTCCTGGACATGATTCTGAGCAACCTGCCCTAAGCAGTCCAGCTCGAAGAAGGCTTCGGACACAATGACCTTTGTAGATCCCTTCTGACCTCAACCACTCTATGATTCTGTGAATGTTTGTAGGATTTCATAAGCTTTAGTTAGGAGTTCATTGATGTTCATCAATGTGTATGGTAGTATATGGTAGATGAGACCAGTTCTATTGGTTCCCCTGGGAAATCAGTGACATGTGATGGTGTCCCACCATCCTTATTTTCTATGTACTTAAGAGGCAGAATATTTAGGCACAGGAGGTTTAGGGCTGTGATCATGCACTATGTTTATGGCTTAATGATAGCTGAAAAGTTCTGCTGCACATATAGTAGAAAGGATCTGGCTCAGAATGTGGGCCAGATTTCTCTTTACCTGGTTCTTTGGATTCCACAGCACTTCTTTGTCTCTGCTCTGCTGCAACTATACCACTTGCAGTACTTGAGCCGGCAGTTTAAGACAACCCTTATTATAAATCTACAGAAGCTGTAGAAAAACCTGTAAATGAAATGAATCCTCTCACACAGAATGTTGCATAAATACTTCCAGTTTGTTTTCTTCTTTGTAGATAGAAAAGCTCAAAGATCAGTGAAAAGACTGTGCAACTCTGATATTTCTAAGGTCATAAAATGCATGGAACATGCCCTGCTAGCAAAGTACCCCAGGACACGATACGGAGCTGGATGGGATGCAAAGTTCTTTTGGCTGTTCCTCTCCTATGCCCCGAGCTGTTTATCTGACATGCTGTTTTACATGATGTTTCCAGTTCCAGGAGCTAGTGGGAGTTCAGTCCCTGGAGTTCTAATCAACATTTAGTACTATAACCAGCATCAACACTATGGAAATAACTCTGAATCCTGAATCCTCTCATAACAGTTGACATCTCCTCTTTACAAGTTACTAGACTGCTTAAATTTCCTTCAGAAAACACTTCCTCCTACTTACATGAAATTTCAGAGTTTGTAGATAAGACTCGTAAACCTACCATGCTTTTTTGCCTCCAGAGCTGATACATCTGTAATATCTGCATGCAAGCAAAGTTCAGCTATAAATCTGGTTAATACTACTCATTCAATAAAAAATTTGTTGCTTTTCTTATTTAAATGAGAATCTGTTTTTCACTTTGACTTCACCAACATACACGTTTCTAGAGAATTTGAAAAGAAAAAAAGAAAACCACTGGTCTTTCAGAACATCTATGTTATACACGTACCTTACAGATTGTGCTTATTCAGATTTCTATTTCATGAAGCTTGGTCATGGCCATATTCAGGAGTTGCTTCTGGACACAAGATATCAAATCAAATAATAACAAAGGCCAGCTATTGCAACAATTTCCAAAAATTACAATTGCAGTATTTGACCACATCTAATCACCTGACTATTCAGCTGTGTAGAGACAAAACACAAGCTATTTTAAAGGTATGAAATTACAAGAAAAATCAAAACTAAACAGTTCTCCATTACTATTCAAACAGAGCAATACTTATATCTTAATAATTACATTTCAATACCTGTTCCCAATACCTGCATCGTTTATTAGGGAATTTGAGTTCATTTTGCCCTCAATGTGCTTTGCAACCTAAAAGGATTATTATTTCACTCAGTAGATGGTACAGGTCACCAATATATGCTACAGCCAATTTCTCTGAATGTACAAAGAGTATGCTCAAAATGATGAAGTGGCAGCTGAAGTTGCTGTGCCTCTTGTACACTATCTTTATCAGTCAAGCTACTGACATGCTGGGCTTCCTGGAGATTTGAAAATTGGGAGGGTAAAGGTTTTATTTGCTAAAGACCTGCGCTGATGATTAATCATTAATGTGCAATTCAATTAAGCTTAGAAAAATACCATGTGCAGGTCAGAGCACCAAATGTAAGAAAAGCAGTTTCATCACTGTGCAGTGTGTGTGTGTGCTGAGGGTGGGAGAGCCTATACAAGAAAGGGACAGAATGTAAAAATGGTTCAGGCGCTACTTAAGTATTTCAAGGAGGTTCTATTATCTAGCAAATGGTTTCAAGAAGAAACTTATTTTACTTCATACATAGAGACATGCTTTTTCTAACTGGCCTGACAGCTGTAGAGAAAATGTAACATTTTAATTTATTAGGCCTATAGTGCCCAATTAGAGAGATGTGCTGAAATCTCTAACGAGCATTCTTTCAGACAACAGAATTCCAAACTTAAGAATTCAGCCAGGGACTGGCCTCATGAGGGAAAAATAATAAAAGTGGAAAATGAAGTTAGGAAAAGAATCTAAAGATTCTGTTCAGCACAGTAACCAAAACATATTTACTCTACTGAGATGAAGATGCCCAGTTAAAGCTTAGGAATCCTTTGCCATCAAATATATTAAAAAATCAAATTTGCATGCCACCAGTCTCCCAAGAATGATTTTCTTCTACATCTGGAAAATAAAAAATTTGCAGTGAAGAAAAAAAAAAAAAACCCTCTGATAATACAGCTGATGTATAAGCAGCAGGACGTAAATATCGAGGAAACGCTAGCTCTTCCTTCTCTCTTTAAAATACATTGAGGGATTATTAATCCCTTCCTTAATAAAAGTAACCTGCCTTTAATTGGAATTATTTCTCATAGCTCTTCTCTAGTATGTAGTGTTCCAGATTCTAAAGGAATTTTCTGCAGTAAAGCAGTCAGGTATAATATCAGACCAACCTTTAGATTGCTTATGTCTATACTACATTAATAACTGGTTTACTGTAATCAATTGTAAGATTTTTCTGTTTCAATGGCCAGTTTATTTAACTTATACATGTAAGGGAGTAATGATAAAATATTAGTGATTTTATATAAAAAACTTTAAACAGTTGTGTAAAGTCACAACCTATTCTTACCTGAATTTACCTAAAGCAAGACTGTTTTCATCTCAGCGTGCACTGAAGTCTCCACAGTGGCAAAATACATACAGCATTGACAAAAAGTTATGGAATAGGAATATGATAAAATACATTTATTAAATTTATTCAGCAGCATTATTTTCCAGTAGTCTTTTCTAATGAAAGTACATTACAAAATAATTAGAAGCATTCTAATTAGAGATAGTATACGTTTTGAGAACTTAGACATAAAACAATCAAATAGTAGAAGTCTCAATGATTTTAATTTAGGAATTTTTAAATTATATGAGTAACTAGTTAGAAATGCTACATGTTCCTGTAGTGGTACTCAAAGTTACCTCAAACTGTTCACACTATGGAAACTACCTTGGCTAATTAATAGAAAAACTGGTAAGACATACAGTATATGCTGATAGAAGGTTATGAAAATAAGCAGATTAACTACAAAGACTGCATTAGTAGAAATTGTTTCCCTTTCTATTAATGTCCACCTCTGGAAATAAATAGTCAATAAAATTAAATTTTCACATTAAAAAACCTGAATAATTTCTTAAATGAAGCAGTATCTTTTGTATTTTGCTGTTTAGAAATAAGCTTTTACAGAAATCTAGCTACTTCATTTAATAGTACAAATAACTTCCAGAGACTCCAGCTAAGAACAGAGCTATTCCACTGATGTACAGGAGAGAATCTCATTAAATTAAGCACTCGTGACACTAAAATCTAAATATATCAAATCTTTTAAAGAACGCTATTAATTGAGTGGTTTTAATTGGATCCTAGTGGAAAAGTATGTCTAATGGACTGTTTTATTCCAGGCAGTTAAAACATAAGAACAACAATCTGCACAGATAGCTATTCAGCATCATGATGCTGCATTGACTTTTGCTTAACACAAGATAAACAGAGAGACTCATTTCTACATCCAGCAGATGATAAAAAATGGTGGTAAGGATGCCCAGAGCACCAGTAGAAGTTTTAAAAGGTACTGTTATAAATATACATGCAAAAGATCCTGTAAATCAGTAACTCACCTATACTCACCTTGTTGGTATTTTTAGCTTAAGCCCTTACTTAATGAATTTACCCCATCTTTATGCAACCAATTCCATACAGATTTCTACTAGCAAAAAAACAAGATAATCTTTGAAAAATTTACAAATTTACAACATATTTATAACATTACTTTCAGACAGGTTCAGTGCAAAGATATACATATAGTACACCATGATACTTGTTCATAAAAATAGTAATTGGCATTTGTCAAAAAACAAGGCATAGTTTCAACATACATCTCCAGCCGCTGACTAAAAGATGTATATATTTTTATAAAGCATTTGAATGTGAACCTTACTCTTCTGTTTATAAAAAATATATGTGCAAATGGATGTGTCTCATTTTCCCTACATCAGTTTACCTACTTATACAACAGAGTCCTCCTTAACAAGATTGGCGGTGTCTTTAAATGTATCCTCTGTTGCTGTATAAGCTAATGGCTGGTCTCTCTTCAGAGTAATCTTGGGAGGCAGTGAAGGAGAGGAAGGAGGGACATTTTCTGTGTCCTGTTGCTGTTCCTTCTCCATCTGAAACAATAATCATAAAGTCCAGGTTTACATTCTAATATACAAAACATTCAATCTCAACTTTCAGAAATATTAACTAAATATCCAAATATTTTACTAAGTGATATGTGAATTATGCAAATCACCACCTAACAAAAGTCAAATACTAATTTCACCTCAGAAGGTTCTGCCGAGGAAATAACTACTTCAAACTTATTCTGCACACTGGGATTTCTGTTTTAATGGTTACTGTCAGTCCAGTAATAGCAATGGTAACATGAGACTAACTTCACAAGTCCACACGTGCACACACGAATGTAGATTACACTGGCATCACTACTGTTTGCAAATTATTATGCTTATCATATTTGGGGAAATAAACCTCTGGTTTTCTCAATCTCTCACTTCGTTCAGGCAAAAACTGCTACTACTGGCTCAAGTCAGTAGAACTCAAAGGCTTCATAACTCACCATGGGAGAATTCCTTCAGCAAACATCATGCAGCATAACATCTTAAAAGAAAGGTCTCCTCTTACTACATGGATGGAAAAAAAACCAGGACTTTCATGTAAGCAGGCTGCAGCCTGTTTAACTATGTGCATGCTAAATCTAGGACTGAGAGGCACTAGACACTTTCATACCAGTTGTAGTACAACAGGCTGCTTGACTCTGAGCTGTACAAGAATGCACCTGCAAGCAGAAACCAGCACATGGGATCCAGGAGCAAGAGTTGGTCACAGTGCTTAGCTGGGAAAGCTGAGAGGCAAGCAATGCTGCTGTACAGCCTGAACTGGGTGTCTGCTGTGCACTCCATTCTGTACAAAATTCGGTAATTTTTCTCAAAACCATGTCAGATCCATCTTGACCTGGGCAGGAATTTCTACGGTAGTTCACTTAGCAGTAGAATTTGTCCATATCCTTTATCCACTAAAAGTAAAAACTAAGTCCAGCAGTGCATTAGCTGAAAAATAGCATAATACAGTATTAAGCAATACCTCCGCGTATATTGGGTTTTCAAAATTAGTGTTTTGTTTCATTTTTCTCTTGAAGAAACTCCACTTTGATTCCTGAAATATACAAATTAATAAAGCTTTAGACATTTTTTTCACCATTTCTCAGCAAAATGCCAGCACAGGTGATGATTTTCACTGGGATTGACTGCTAACTTGGTAATTTCAGCTGCATGTTCTCACGCTGCTATTGTAATTTTAATTAATTGCACTGCTTTAAATATTTTAATGCCTGTTCAAGTTTCAGTGTTTTCTGGCCATCTTTAACATGACAAATCATAAACACAGGAAAAAAGGTGAATGATCTAGAACTCATCTTTTCCCTGCAGATGGGAGTGTGAGTCTTATTTATCTTGTCTGACTGCATCAGAGACTCATCACAAAAACCACAAGAGGTCACAAAAAAGTATTTGAAATGGTCATTTGTATCATAATTCAATACTCAGCTTCTACTTTCTCACTAGACAACTGGCCTCACTATATAATCCAACAGATATTTCTAGCAAAAGAAAATAAATAAATTCAGTTTTTTATTATCAAATAATCAAAATAAACTTTTAGTCACACTGTACCTTCACGTTCCAGGCTACCTCTTTAAATGCTATGTCATGTTATTCAAATGATCTCTCAATTAGACTTCTTTGTCCTTTATTATTGATAACGTTTTTCTACTTGAAAAAGCATCAAGACATCAAATAAAACTAGAGCTCCATTTTACAAGGCATCTCCCCAGAAAAGCGTGCATTTGAAATCCGATAAAAGATAGGAATGGAAACAAAATGGTCACATAATGTGTCCACTGTAACTCAACAGATACCAACAGATGAAGTAAGTAAGGGATTTAGCTTTCTTCTCTGAAGGGTAACTGGCAGTATTCAAAACATTAGACCAGAAGGCAAGACTAAGTTAATTCATTAACTATCATTCCATGCACACCCCCAAAAAAGCTGAAGAGTCAAAAACTGTCTTGAAACAGCACAAGAGAAATTACTGAAGGACATGAAATTACAATATCAGGTTGATGGAAATGTCATTTCAAAGCTCAGAGGTGTTTTTTTAGTGCACAGCGTGTAAAGAACATGAAAACAAGACACCATCAGCTCATGGAGATGGATTTGAAAACATAAAAAAAAATGTATCTTTCATGAATTATAAGAAATCTAGATGAGATAATAATTGGATTTTCATCACTAAAATGTCCTGTAAGAACAGAAAGGACAAATGCTTTAAATATCATTTCTAGTAATTTTAAATATGGATAAAATTAATATTTTCAAAATGGTTACAATACACAATGAGTAAATGTCATACTTCAACTTTCAGTACCAAAAAGAGCTGGGTTTTCCCCATTTCAAACAAAAACGTACTTTTCCTTATGTTTTCTTTTGGTGTGTTATAGAAAAAAAAATATTCCCTGCTGTTTCTGTTGAGGTACAGCAGTTTTAATATAACTGTTGAACGAAGTCCCAAGTAAAATCTTAGTTACATTCATTTCTGCTGGGAAACAATGACCATTTGTAGCCTTACATTACAATTTTCTGACTACATGACAATTTTCTGACCATTTGTAGCCTTACACTACAATTTTCTGATCTGCCCTCAAAATGGAGCACAGCAGACAGTGAAAGAAAATCCTCCATTCCACTCTTGGTATCTTGGTGAGCCAGTCTGAGTTTTTAATCTCAACAGATCCCCACTGTGTGCCCATGGCCATTCTACACTTGCATTCCTTTCCTTTCACTTCCTGATCAGCTTGAAAATAATTTAAATTGTTATTTGCCTTTCTTACACTGCAGATGCCAACTTGATGGCCTACTTACATAGAACACAAACTATGTTGCAGTTTCCCTCACAATTCAGTTCCTCTGATTTCAAGCACAAAGGAAAAAAGACATCTGTAGAACTACCTGAGGTGTGTCTGTATTTGGAGGCGGTTCTTTAGGCCTAGCAGATACTGCAGAGGCATACACAGGATTTTCAAAATTTTCATTTTCCACATTACCAGCTCCTGTAACCTGGAGGAGAAAAAGGCAATTCAACTTTCTTCAAAGAAAACAAGGTTGTAAGAAAAATGAAAAGTGAAAGGCAAGCCTAGGTTTCTTTTACCTGTGTTGGTTGAATGACTGTAACTTCACTGGTTCCACCAGCTCCACTATCTCTGGTTGCATACATTGGATTTTCAAATGTGATTGGCTGTTTCCCTGACTCTACTGCAAAGTTTTCATTCTTCAGAGGAAGAAAAAGAAAAAAAAGAAAGAAAAAAAAAGGCAGTAACTCCAGCACAGTGAATATCTCCGCACATCCACACTCCCACTTTATAGACCGATTTTTCATTTCAGAGAAAAAACCATGTTTACTTTCACAGGGTTAGACAAAATCTAGCATCTATTGAAAGCATAATGTGAAGTTTACTATAATTTTTTTTTACTCTCTAACTTAATAGCATAGACCACGCTGTGTTTCAGCATTACTCCAATTTCTAGCTGAAAAAAAATATATACAGTTGACTAATAGAGTAGCTTATGATGGAGAAAGATGACTTCCATAAATCACAACTTCAGTAGGGAGGAATTATCAAAAATAAATATTTCATTTTAGAGGCTTCAGACTGACAACGAAACTATCAAGCAGCATCTGAATTGTAAAAGAATGGGATTAATTCATCTTACAAGTATTTACCACCACACAGGCACAGTCACCCAGGGCTAGCCAGTCAAGCGCTAACAGCTGGAATGGTAACAAAAGCAGTACAAAATCCTAGCCAGGCTCAGTTAACCTGCTATTTGTGACAGCCTCATCACAGGAATAACAGGAAAGAGAACGAGAAGAGTACTTCAGCAAATTCTTTAAACCTGCCTCATTTCCACAAGCAAATGCCCCATAGCAAAAAGTTTCACATCTGTGCTTTTTACCTCACAACGGCCTAGGCTAGCTTGGCTAAGAACAGTAACACTGAAAAACATTCCTCCAACATCCATTTATGCATAAGCGACGTTAAAAGTTCAGAAAATACATCCTATGATTCTTTGCTGCCGTAAACCAAATTCTTTGAATTTCTTTCCTGGTAAAGCACTATTTTTTATTTTATTTTTTGCAAGCTTGAATTATATAAAGCGCATTAATGGCACTTAAGTAGAAATATTTTGTAGCCAGACCTGGATATTACAAGCAACATAAAAACTGCATTAGTTGGGCTTCAGCATATTAGGCTAGAAAATTGTAAAGTACCATGAAGCTTTTCCATACATGAAAAAGAAAACAAACAACTGATGTGATATTCAAGCCTAGAGCTATTTCCCTGTATTTACTGAAATGTTCACATGGTTATTTCATTACAAAAGCTGCCTAGTTCTAACAATCAGTGTGCTTCTTTGTCTGGAAAAAGGTCATATTATGAGCTTGTCTTCACTAGCTGTTTCGTTTCATTTTATTGTCAGTTATATTTGAAACTTAACATTAAAAATTGAGGGAGTTTCCAATGCAAACTTTGCAGCAAGCGCTTACTATTCAAACATGCTTGAAACTTGTTTAGTAGAAGGAAAAATCTTTTCAGCACTGTACATATTGTAGCAAACTGGGGAATATATTCTTCCATAGGAAAACTATACAGAACAGGAAACACAATGATATGCTATTTCTCAGATATGCATAACAGCATATGGATAAAGTAAGAGTTACACTCAATGATGTCCTCAAAACTTAAACCTGATTTGCTTGAACTCACTAAAATAAAAGACAGTCCAAGTATAAAATTGCTGTGCTAAGTAGTATATTCTATGGTTAGTCCTGAGTTTCACCTCTGAATTTTCCAACATACAATTAGAATTTGAAAACTATATATTTACCTGTTCTACAGAACATGAAGGCCCTCAAGAAATTCCTCCCTGCAATATTTTGATTTGTCTAATTCATTCACTGTATTCACTAAGAATAAGCTGAAATAGTAAAAACAGGCATTTGACTTAATTCCTACTGTATAAATCTTGAGAAATAGCAGCCACGTTATTTTAAAGAACAATCTGTTTTCATTTTTAGTTTATAAAAATCTATTTCAGAAAATCTGTGTGTTCATTTTTCTTTTTGAGCACATTTATCATCTCACTATGTTTTTTACAAAGAAGACTTCCCTCTGTCAGCTATAAATGACACTGAAAGGACACAATTAAAAGATATATATACTAAATCTTACCATTTGCATTGCTCTGTCTATAGCAGAGTCTCCTTCAAAAACAGAACTTCCTATGTCCATGTTTACATCTGCACCGGATCGGAAAGTTACCCCATTACCATTTTCAGCTGATTTTACAAGACTGCTTAAGCTACAAAAAAAAAAAAAAAAAAAAAAAAACCCATATTATACAGAAAAGAAGTTTATAAAACAGTTTCTTTTAGTTATTCTTCTAAGCATATCCATCACTTGGAATTTTTGCTGGCTATAAGCAAGCTAATGAGACCATTTATACGTCTGCATTAGTTCAGTAGTTTTTCTAACCTGTTACCCTATTCAGAATGATCACACATCTTCACACGTGCCTATGTAGACACCAAACAGGCTCAAGAAGTTACATTTTGACTACTCTTACTTCACTGTTCTTTTACAGACAAATGTATAAATTAATTCCAAAGTTCAAATTAATAGAACCTGATAAAAAAAAAAATGAAGCTGCAATGGCATAAAAATTTGTGGATATAATTCCAGATATCATGAAGATACCTATAGGACTGTAAATGCAAATATTCATTCTCCATATAGGTTTACAGAGGCCACAAGAACACAGTTTGCATAAGAAATACTGGAAATGGAGCCGGTGTTCTGTGTGTATGCTGTATTTATAGGAAATACCTAATACAATTTTTAAAAGCTTAAGTCTAGGATTCTCATACAAGGACAAATCCTGAGTTAGGGGTAACAGCTATAGCCTGAGTAAACTCTGCAGTTAACATATGCATTAACCACTTAATGAGGAACTTAACAATGGTTGCACAATGGTATATTTGCAAGAGAAATGAAAACTGAATCTAACCTCACAGACAAAAAAAAAACACAAACCACAAAACAAATGAACTCTCCATTTCACATATATGAGAAGTATAGCTGAAAAGTGATGAGAAAATTTCCTTTCAACAAAGCAGGAAGCAGGGAATTTCACTGTGTAGTTTAAAGACATCTCACAAACCCTTCGTCCTACAGGGTTAATTTGCATGAAAATTTTGCCTCAATTTAACTACAGGAATTCATAAATAAATTTAACTTGTTCAGTACACTTAGTGCAGTATATAGAACTGCATTGAAGAAGCAGTTGTAACTACATCTGTATTCCTCATTACAATAATGTTATCACTCTGATTTAAGAGTTACTACCGTGAAACCTGTGCAAAGATGTAGCTTGATTGGCTTAAAGCTAAATACAAATACATCTTTTTTAACAAAATTTTTATTTGAAGCCATTACAAATCATTTTAGTTCATCTTCCTTCAATTTAAAACATCAAATATTTTTAAATTACATTTCACAAGGCTGGTTTTCACTGCATACTGAGACTGTCAGGACAGTAAGAGCCTACAAAATGCACAGATATCACATGCCCTGAAAACAAAGGTTCTCTGCAACTTCCCCATGTTTTCAAACAGTTGCAGAACTCCACCATCAATGTTATACAGATCTCTTTACCAGAGAGAACTGTGTTTTCTGACAAAATGTTATAGAAAATTAAAACATATGTAACTATAACCTTCTGCAGTATTTTGAACTGAAGAACCAGATCAAGTAAGCAGACTGCTATCTTGCTCCTTATTTAAACACTAATTCAGAATGTAGAAGAGTTTGACAATAGTTCTTTGTCCGCTGCTTGGAGTAAAAAATTCAATGAGGCTGCCACAAAACTGCTGATGCCATATTCCAGCGAAACAGGCACATGGCAAACAAACTAGATTTTTCAGAAATATTTGCGCACAAATACATTCTCAGTGCTCAGTCATAAAAGTCTTTGAAACATACCTTGGTAGTTTGGGAAGTGCTGGTAAAATGTTGCCTGTCCGTCTGTAGTTAAAGAAGCCTCCAACTGCTAACACTCCAATTATTATGATTAGTATGACTGTCAACAGCACTGCTACTGCTGCTATCAAAGACAGAAAAATAAGCAAACATTCAAGCAACAAAGCTGCACATACAAAAGAGCCCAGTGAACTAACTATAAGCTTATCCTTCCACAGCTATGACTGTGAGGTATTACATATTCCTTAACTCAAAACATTAAGTGTAATATATAATTGAAGCTTACTTGTTCCAGGAGGAACTCCTTTTGACAATCCTATTTCACAGTAATCTCCAGTGTAGCCATAAGAGCATCTGAAAACACAAGTAGAACAGCTGATGATTACTTGGTACAGAATCTCAGTTTCATTATTATATTCTTTAATATATATCCACTTGTCATAAATTAACTCTGTGCTTAGTAATGTTTCACTGACTGTAAAGATGGTACGTTTGCTTAGAATAAAAAGTGGAAATAAAATCTGCTGAGTCAGAGAACTACAATCCCTGAAGCCAAATGATTTAGTTTCATTGGAACACTGGTGTCACCTAGTGGCTGTTTCCAGTTGTATTTACAGAGCCTTACTTCTCCATTAACATTTTTTGGCATAACTTTTACTAGCCTTCATAGCAGCCTGCCTTTCTGATGTTTTTCCCAAACAGATGCAATTTTACATTGCTTGTTTACTGATATTTTTACACTTACATGTTTTTCTGTGATTGTTACAAACATGCTATTGCCAAAGCATGATATTTACTGAAGCAGTTCCAGAACATTTAAAAGCTTTGAATTGATTGTGCATGACTAAATGAACAAAATCTGACCGTAAGCTACCGTAACAACCTACTCACTTGCATTTTGGAAGACCACTTTCATCTATATAGCACGTTCCTCCATACATGCACCTGCACGCTGGTGGCATTGTGGGAGGGGATTCAATAGCTGCAAGAATTGAAAGCCAGATGTGTTATCAGAACACCTTCAGCAAAATAAGTAATAAGCATAAGGCACTTTATTTATACAGAACTTATGTATACAAACTTTTAGGATACTTTTCAGCAGCTTTGTTTTTTTGTTTGTTTGTTTTTTTAGGTCTGCCAAATATATTTATTTTAATTGAAGCAAAAACTGTTATCAGAAAATAAGGGTTGATAATATAAGTGCACAAAAACAACTCAGAAGTTGTATGTCTCATCGCTTTCGTTTGCTGGATCAATGCAGACCATTATCTTTCAAGGCTCTCTATTCAGAAAGTTGCAATACTTCACCTCCTCTGCAAAGCCTTTGATCCAAGAAGCTGGAAGTTATACAGAGAGCTAGCAACCTGCCACGTACTTATTTATTCAGAAAACCAGTGGATGGAAGCACATTCACAGCAACTAATAGCAAATGCAATCAACAGTGTTACTTGTTCTAATGTGAAGGTGCATCGTATACTTTTATTCACTATTACATCAACTTACTAGCTCTTCTCTGCAGCTTGCATTTTGTGGCAACAAAAAAGCATCACTAATTATTAAGAAAATGCAAGTAAGAGGAAAGGCTGTGTAAAAGCAAAAAGAGAGAATGGGAAAAGATCCCAGATGTTATAAGCTCAACTGATTAGAGAGATGTTGAAAGGACAAGGACATTTTAGCCGCCATTCACACCATTTTAAGCTGAGAGTGCTAAAAGAAAGAGAAATCCTGCAGCAGTATTCTTTCTTTTTGGGAAAGGCAGAGTAATTCTACCTTATCGGTGCTTTTGGATGTATTATGGGGGGCTCTGCTGCTCTGTAAACACCAAGCACTAACCTGTAGTGCTTAAAAGGCTGTCCAGTATATGATTATCTGTAAGTTATCTCTGTTCATACTGTGGGTTCTCTAAGCTTTGTTTCCAGTGTTTAACACATTCTGTTATATTGATCATGCAATAGCTTTGTACAGAATTATAAACACAAGTCATTTTATTTAATCAGTTTGCCAGAAATTCTCTAGTTCTGAAATCAATGCATTTGTATTGATATGTATTTTAAAATTGATGTATGTATTTTAAAATTTTTAAAAGATTTAGAAACTGTGAGTAATTTTGCAGCTAAGTCTGGACTGGACATTTGAGTGGTATTTCTATGTCTATTTTATAAGCCACAGACAAAGAGTACACATGAAGTATCCATGAAGTATACTAGCTGACCACAAAACACAGCTGAGAATAAAAGCCGTATTTCCTGACTTAAAACCATCTACTCTGTCATCCCTCTAAATTTCTAATTCAGTAACGCATTACTGTATTCTTAAAGCAAAACTTCCTTTGCTTTTATTTTCAGTTTCACAAATTATTTTACCCGCATCACACTCTGTGCTGCTGCCTTCTACAAACCGAGTCCCTTGAGGACAAGCACAGGTGTATCCTCCTGGTCTCAACAAGCAGAGATGGCTGCAGACATCTTTACAAGGATTAGGCACTGAAAGATAAAAAAAACGTGGTAGAGGCAGCTGAAGAAAAGTTCAGCAGCTCAGGCATATCTCAGTTACTGAAATAAAGCAGGGTATTGCATAATCAGTAGTGTATCATCAATATCACATACCAGAAATCAAAACACATCTAAATCCAGGTTCTTGTTTTTTGGTTGTTTTTTTTTTTTTTTTTTTTTTACAACAACTGATGCCCAAACACTGCATTTCTACCAAAGCCTTCTGTCTGCCTTTTCTTACATTCTTCCTAAGTAAGAGACCACAGTTGCTGGAAGCCAGTACAGAAGTGAAGAAACAGAACATTTCTGAGCAACAGGAAGCCTTTTCTTTCTGAAAGCTAAAACATCTTTTAAGAGGTGCAATGCTGGATGTTCTTCTGGATATCTCTCCCCTGTGATTACTCCAGACATGTCCTAGTTAAAACATCCCCCTAAGGGCAATACTAAGTGGCCAATACTTGTATATTACAGGGATAAATTTATATTGTTGAGTGTCATATCAGACAGTTCCAAGATGGAGGTAAGAACAGAAAGAAATGGCCATGATCTATTACTAATTGACTCTGAAGAGCAGTGCATGCTATTCCACTGCTGATTTCATTTTATCTAGAAAATACTTACCAGACTATCGTTTTTTTGTTTTCAGAAATAAAATCACAAGCTGATTGACATGTTATCAGAAGGTTACTAAGCTGTTTGAGAACAATGATACCAACTTCAGTCTCACAGAAACGAAGGGCTTATCCAGGATGCTGATTACCTACCTGACTGATTGTATCTATGCTGGTGATAGATGCGCACTTGAGTAAGCCATGGATTTACAGTCAGAACTTTTACTTTTTCTCCATTTCCAAATTTATCTTTTTTCCAGACTTCTCCTCGTTCTTTAGCTATCCAATATAAATGGCCTTCAAATACATCAAGGCTGTATGGACTGCCTACTTCTCAAAAGAACCAAACAGTATACTGTCAGCAAGCAAATCTCTACCAAAAACAATACAACTGCTATTATTCAACTAAACATATCATTTAATCCTTTCACTTCAAGACATTCATAGCAGAAGATAAATATCATCACATGACTGACCACCTCATAACACTGGTGTCTGCAAACTGCTTAATAATATACCTTAAAAGAGCAAGAAACTCATTTTCTATATTGTCCCTAAGTTGGTCATGTACTCTTGGAGAACCTGGTTCCCAGGTATTGTGAACTTTGAACCTGGTATGCTACATATCCCTGTATAATGGAGGTGAAAATGCTACCTAGACTTGTTATTTGAAATGCTCTTGAAAATCTAGCATACATGTATGAACAAAGTGCTTGTTAAGCACATGCCTTGGTTACTATTGTGTGAGTTCCACAATAAATTCTTACCTCCGTGTAATACTATGGTTCTGTCTGTCCCGTCATGTCTCATAGATTCAATAATATTTTCTTTGGAGTCACTCCAATAGATCCTGTCATTGTTCAAATAATCAATAGAAAGACCTGTTGGCCAGCCAAGGTCTTCAGAGACCAAAGTTTGTCTTTGTTGTCCATCCATCCAGGCACATTCAATCTTGGGCTGCCTTCCCCAGTCAGTCCAGTACATGAGCCTGAAAGAACACAACCAGAATTCAGTATAGTACAGAATTTGCCACAGTCAAACAATAGAGTTTAAATGAACAGGTCAGTCACGAAATATAAAGCTGCTCAGAAGCAGGCTATGCTTTGCAGCTGCGATTAGTAAAGTCACACCAAGTTCATAGAATAAGCATGTTACAAGTACAGAAGATAAAGATGTTTGCACCTCATGTACTGATTTGGAGAGAAGTGGTTTCAGTGACAATTTTTTATTCTCAACAGAAGAAAAATGAGTGAATATGTGAGCATTCATCATTCGAGATAAAGCTACAGAGTCCAAAAACGACTTCGAGGAAATGTGCTGCTTTACTTCAGCTTAGAAGCACACAGCACAATGTTCTACGATCCATCACCGAATACAAAATGCCCAAAGCACTGCTGTTTAACGCTCCCAAGCATTTACATTGTTTTTCACTGAAAGACGGTATTTCCCTGCTACTTGAAGTTAGTAAAAAGAGAAAAAAAATTTCCCTATGTCAGCAGTAACACAGAAATTTATACAGAAATGTGGTGAGCACACAGCATTATAAAAAGGAAATTTTTATTTGACCTGCCTGCTGTCATCACCAATCTAATCCTAAAATGTATTTCCATGGATACAAATTTCCTAACATTAATAAAAAGAAAAACCTGAATTTAATCAGCAAAATATACCCTTAAGTCTTTCCTATGAAGTTCATCATTGTGATTTTTCATGTTGTTGTTGTTGTTTTGTTTTGTTTTTTTTTTCACTGAGTGATACTGAAAATAACTCTGAGAAGTCCTGTAGTAACTTACCCACGTTTTGGATTGACAGCAATAGCTGCTGGTTGATCCAGTAGAGAAAAAATAAGCCATTTTCTGTACCGTCCATCTAATTTTGCCACCTCTATTCGATTGGTCCCTGCATCAGTCCAGTAAAGATGTCTAAAATACAGAAATCAAAACATTTCAAAAGTAAATGGCTTATACTTGAGAGAAAAATAATTTAAAAAAATAAATAACATTTAAAGCTACATCAAAATTGAACAAAATTAGTAAAATGAAACTGTATGGATTACATCTGAAAATTTTCACCATCAACATGAACTTTTTGACACCATCAACATCAGAGTTAAACTGTTAAACTTACAAAAGTTACGCCCAACTTTCTTTCAATTTTTCTCCAAAGGAGAAAAAAATTAGGAGTGATCTCATCCTTTCTAAAATTAAGTAAAAAAAAATAAAAAATTAAAAAAAATTGCCATATTTTAGCCTGAGGAACAATCACAACCAAAAAGGATGGAAAAAAACATCTTTCTTTCAGGCACAATTACAGAAACATAATCATTTTCTGAGAACACATGTATAATCATCAGATTATACAGCATTGCTTTGGGACTAGCTCAGATAACGCAAGGGCAGTAAGAAATGAGAAAAGAGAAAAGTAACTCTATTACAGATTGGGAAGATCTCCTTTCAACAGTAGTGAAAACTTGTTTTCAAGTTTACCTGAGTCCTCAAAAAAGATTCCATCTCTCACGAAGGCTGGCATATTATCACTAACTGACACACAACTGATCTGCCACTTGTGGAACAATGCAGTTTTCTCTGAGAATACCTGGTGCCATCCTCAACATGTATTTCATCTATTAACCTGCTGTCTGGGCAAGGAAAGCTTACTATATGCTTTTGGACTACTTTCAAACGAAATATCTTGAAAGAGAGACAATTCATAAGAAAAATAAAAAGTGGATTTTGCACTTCCTGCCAGATCCTTAACACAGTAAGTGTACAACATTTTGCTAGCTTTTCAGTACACTCACCTTCCAACCCAGTCAACAGCTAAGCCATCAGGATTAACTATGTATCTGAGATTCAAGTCAACTTCTTTGGTAGGATTGTTTCTACTGCTGTCAAAGGTGGGCAGATAAGCACGTTTGATGGCTCCAAACTGAGAACCCTGTGCCAGAATGCTGAAGTATACAACACCTTAACAAAACAACAACAAAAAAGATATTTTTTAATGTCTAGTTATTCCACATTTTTTGAAAATTCTTATTTTTCAGGGCTCTTATGTCAAGATACTATTTCCACTTTTTTACTCATAAGAATGCAGAATTTTTTGTTCAACTAAACCACATACATTGTGGTAGTGGTCAAACTGTTATCATAGTTGATATGCATACCTAAAATCATCTTGACATAGATTATAAAGAAATGCATACCATAGTTTTCAAGAGTATAGGACCTTAACTCTGAACCTTATTCAAAGGATACTGAGTAGTTTAGTTCAGTTTTCACAGGACTTGAATCAGGTTTGGGGACCAACAGAAGCCCCAGAAGAAAGGGACTTGTTCATAGCAATCCTCTACTAATGCATAATTGTAAAAAGCAACAATTCCACAGCTGAATTCTTACCAAAACAAGAGGAAAATAGAACAAAAACTATATAAGATCAAAGTAAAGCATTAAAAGGAACTACGCTGATGTTGAAGAACAAGGAGAGGGGATGGGCATATTCAAACAAGATCTGTCCAATTAGTTAACCCAGTTTGATTTTGATTTCCAACATAAATTATATACCTATAACATAGAAATATGTCTTTTTCAACTAGCCTCTGCATGGCTGAGTACTAATTTTCTACACATACTCACTTAGGCCTATCCCTTCAGGGTCCCAATCATAATCCAGAGCTTGGATGCGCTCCTGGTTATCAATATAGTCAGAGTACTGTTCTGAAGAGATATTGTATCTTCGAATGCGCACATTATCTGGCAGCAGCAACAATGGAGGATTACCTAGACAAATGATAATTATTTTTTAATATATTTTTATTAATTTTTGATGACAATTCATTTTTCTTGTATGCATTTATTTTTAGGGAAAAAAAGAATGAAATTCACTTACAGTCAAAACTGAACTGGAGTTTAAACAATTTGTCTGAATAAGAAAGTAGAAGGGACACAGTTCTGCTTCTAAAGCTTCAGAGCTTTCAAATTACTTGGCTTTGCAAAATTAATTAAAAATTCTGGATGTACTTATCACTGAGCAGAGTATTACCCTTTTCACCATAGTCTTTGCACAGCCATAATCACTAAGGAAGAAGTCCTAACAAATTGTTAAACATCACAACAGTGGCATGTCTGAGATGTGACCTCATATCTCAAAAGTGAAATGCAGGTATACACCACACAGCTCAGATATTACCACCCCGCAGAATGGGAAACAATTTTGGTAACTACTAATAAATTATCAATAGCTTGAGTTAGCAAGTTATTGCTTTAGTTCTTCTATCTGATTCAGAAGAATACTCTCCTATGTGGCCACAGGTTAATTTGGGTTTAGCTTCAATACTCCACAGGGGTATGAGTCCCACCTGGCTCATTGTGCTTGTGAGAAAATTTAACTGTACAGCCCTTTTTTTAATGACAGTGTCCAGCTGGGAGTCATGGACTTGGATCTTAGGCCTTATTCTGGAAAATTCCTCCTATGTTAATCACATCTACATAGTAGAACTTCAGGCACAAGTGATTTTATAATGTTACCAACTACAATCATATTATCTTCTGTCACTGAGCCCTGAAAATTTCCAGATCTGTCAGATGTCTAGATGCTTCTTCCTATGGAAAAGGCATTTCAAGAACTAGATTTCAGATACTAGCCCATACAGAGGCTATCAAGCAAAAAATCATATCACAGAATCATAGAATAGACTGGATTGGAAAAGACCTCACAGATCATCTAGTTTCAACCCCCCTGCTGTGGGCACGGTAGCCAACCTCTAAGACCAGGTTGCCCAGAGCCACATCCAACCTGGCCTTGAGTGCATCCTAAGATGGGGCATCCACTACATCTCTGGGCAACCTGTCACAGTGTGTCACCACTGAGTGAAAACTTTTAATACCTTACCTAAACCTCTCCTGTCTCAGTTCAAAACCATTCCCCCTTGTCCTATCACTATCCACCCATGTAAACAATCATTCCCTCTCCTGTTTATACACTCCCTTCAGGCACTGGAAGGCCACAATGAGGTCTCCCTTGAGCCTTCTCTTCTTCAAGCTAAAAAAGCCCAGTTCCCTCAACCTTTCTTCACAGAAGAGGTCATCCTCTACGTCATCTGCTATATGCTACACTGTAAGTAATTATCTAAATACAAAATTGTTTCAGTATTTTATGTAATACTAATGTGCTATCGGTTTATTTCTTTTTTTTCTACAGCTCTGTACTACTGTTCTATTATTATTATCTGCTGCTCCAACTCTCTATATGTTCTTGCTCTTTACAGGTAGCAATCAATCTTGCTGTTGCTTAACATACCATTAGCTGCACACTGTTTCCCTTGCTGATCACCTACTGACTTGAAGCCATCTGCACAAAAACATTCATAGCTTCCTTTGGAATTTCTGCAGTCCTGGGTGCACGTTCCAAAGATCTCACATTCATTGATATCTGTAAAGAGAAAGGATATGGAGTTTAATCTCCTTCTTCCACAACTTGGTCGACCATCTTTACTCTATGACGCTGTAGGTATAGCCTTTACCCACATACTCTAAAAGATCAATGACCTAATAAATCTTTAATCTCAATAACATCAATATCAGTTATCTAAAAGAACTCCAGCTCCTGCTTATCGGATTACTTTTCAGAGGCACGTTTTTGATCACATATTTTTGTGCTAAATCTGCCTCATCTTTTGTCTTTCTTTGGTGAACTACAATGAGATGCGAGAGCAAAACCCTGTAGAAATGGTGAAGCAAAAAAGACTTCATCCCTAAGAAACTGTATCAGCAGGAAGGATCAGGAAGAATGGCCTTGTACCATGTTTAATAAAACTATTCAAATCATCCATCAGATCTGGAATCAACAAACAAGAAGCAATCACATCAGAACACACTGAAACAGTAAACATGAAGGTACTATGCTGCATGACCACCAACGACAGCCTTTGGGTAAACTCCTCATAATATTTTATCTACATATAATCAAGGCAAAAAAACAGCACAAGTCTTTACTGAGAACAGTACAAAATGAGAATCATAGCCTCCAGTAAGTTTTCTTTTAGTAAGGAAAAATAAAAGCAAATTTCTGTTCCTCAGTTTGCAAAAGTACAACTAAATGTATACACAAAAAAACAAAAATGTATACATACAAAATAAAAATAAAATAAAATACTAGAACAAATCTGAACTGTGGAACAAGCCTTTGCTGAATGACTTGCACATTAGCAAACATGTTTAAGCAGAAAAACGGTTTAAGAAGCATCTGGTAAATGTACAAACATCCTGCTATAATGCTAGAATAAGTAGCCATATAGAACGATGAAGTGATAGGTCATTGAACACTTGTCAGGGAGAAGATGTTTAGAAGACTGAAAATACCATCACAGGAGTTTCGGTTATTTTCACTGGCCTTGTAACCTGGCCTACAAGAACAGATAAAGCCTCCTTCACTCAAGTTGGTACAGTTATGTTCACAGATATTTTCTGCACAAGTTCGTTCTGTTCCAGGATCTGAAAATAACAAATTAGACATTTATAACCATAAAAATGAAGTGATAAGAAAGTCATAATTTTGATCGTTGTCTGTATGAGAGCAATTTTCAATGGTAGTATTATTTTCCTAAGCAAAATCCAATTAATGTGAACATCTTATCTCTAAGGCATAAGTAACTTACAGCCCACAGTAAGCACCAGTCAAGAGTCAACTAAGAATAGTTTCACCTGTAGAAGCAGGTGATCAGGGCCAGGATAATAGCCATAATCAAAAGTATAGCTCCTCAAAAGTATCTGCAGCAACTGCAGAATCTATTTAACATACTTGACTAGCTCCTAGCTTGGCCAATCTGCCTCCTTCTTATCTATTCTTTCCTTATCATCTAAGCAAAAAGTGTTCTTAACTGCTACCATACATGGCACAGACAGCTTGCTCACCCAGTACCTCATTTAAAGCCTTCTGAAGTCAATATAGGTTACTGCATAAAATGCACTACCCTTTGAGACATGCTTATAATGAAAAAGGCAAGTGAAGTATGATAGATAATATGTGACAGATAGAAGATTGTATTCTTCTCAGAGTACATACAGAATTAAATTGATTTTTACATACTTCACATATATACAAAGTCCTTTCCTATTCATTGTATGTAAGTAGGAAAGAAGTACATGTTTATTGACAGAGCCTATGAAAAGATACTAAGACATCATATTAAGCTCATTATCTCACTTATAACATTCATACACATCCCAGTGATAATATAAACATCTCAATTCAATATATATGTAGAAACAGACAAAAAGCTTTTCTCTCAACATCTCAGGTTTTTGATGTTGGGAAGGTTACAAATGTTAACATCTGATTTTTTATATTTTTATATTTTCATCAATCATCACTGCACTGGATTTTATTACCTAAAGACAACTCGGAATGTATGTGAAATAGAGAAATTAGCACTGAATTCCTTAAGGCTTTCCCTGAAAGAAGTTAAAATAATGATATTGCCATGGCTAATCAGATTAAACCCCTCACAGGCTAATTAAACATTAACAATTCCTAGTATTCTATCCAAGAAATATGTACTGTTCCTGAAATGTTTATTTTAATAGCATTGAAATTTTGTGTTCTATTATTACTTACTGCAGCCCATTTCATCAAAATGGTCTCCACAGTCATCATAATTGTCACAGACATAATGTAGAGGAATACAATTTCCATTACTACACTTGAATTCTTCAGTTGTACAGGGTCTTGGAGTTGGTTCTCTACCTACAGTTGAAAAAATAAGCAGTCTTGTATCACAAGTTCAGTTACACAGACAGCACTATTACAAATTTTTAATGAGGAAAGCTGATGCAATCTGGTAAAATAATGACTACAGTGACACTGAAAGTCTGTAGTAGAGCTAATTAGGGCATTCTGACCTCTAGTCACACCTCAGTGAACTGAAAGATGCCCTTTATCTTATGAAGGCAAAAGGCAGATTCTTCCTGTTAATAGCTAATTTATTTTTTTTAATAGTGCAAACCTATTAATACCCTTTAACTCTTTATATACCTACTACAGACTTCAAGAGGTTGAGATTCTAGTATTATTAACTTCACTATTAACTATTGCACAATAGCAATAACAAGTAAGCTGGCTTATTTTGGTTGCTCAATAAACAACAAAAAACATGATTACACTTCATAATACAAAGATCAGCACAGTCAATATGAATTACATAAAAGATCTGAGGGCAAAACCCTACTGAACATTAACAGATCTTCTGTAGGATTAGGCCTTAAATATCAAAATTTACTGTTTATATAACTGTGCTATAAATTCAGAAGTCCCCACTTATCTATTTAAAGAACTCTCATTTATCCATCACATTCTTATTTCATAATACAACCAAATTTTTTCTTCTTATTTTAAAAGGACTTTATTGTAAATAAATTTAGTAAAGTTCATAATAAAGTTTTATTTCAAAAACCATACTCTGTACTTATAAGGCAAACCACTGTTTATTTTTGCAACTTATACGGAGAGCTGTGAATACAGTAGCAATAATAACAGTTCAAATTATTTCATATTTAAGAACCAGTTTTCCTATACTTATGCTTGGTTTTGACATTTCTGAAGGTCTTCAGCACTATTAAAATACATCACAATTACTGAATTTCCTATTTGCTGCTAAATTCTCTGTGTATACATACAATGTTCCTCCTTCTCATCACTTCCATCCCCACAGTCATCCTCCTGGTTGCACAGCTCATGACTATATATACAGCGATTGTTTTCACATCGGAAACGGAATGGAGATTCACAAGCAATATCCACTGAAAAGAAGAGATCAAGTCAATCACACAGACAACTTCATGCCACTGAGTCACAAGCTATCCTGCTCAGTTTTAACCTGTAACACTGAATCATTTCCTATATTTTACAATGCAATCTGGTGCATTCAAAAGAACATTTTCTCTACATTTTGGTGATCACGTCAGGGCACTACATATTCTTTTTGTCAGAAGACAGTACGTGATCTTTGGCGAAAAGGATAGCCTTTGACTACATATAACACTGAAGTTGCTAGATTTGTTTAAGGAAGCTGATAGAAAACTCACCACGCTAATTAAGTGGTCATCTATATTTAGAAAGATGTTTTGACTCTTACAGTTTTGAAGGCTCACCTTTGAGAATATACATTCCCTGAATTACAACTTCAGAGGCAAACTTATGCCTTTAACTATCTCGCTAGAAAATATAAAGCACCATCCTTACTCTCTGATGTACTCCTCCAATTGTAATTATATGTTTTATTCTACATTTTTACATTTGATATCAATTTTCTCTCTTACAGCAAAGGTGAAGTTCTTCATCAGAGTCATCTCCACAGTCATTATCACCATCGCATTTCCAGTATGGCTGGATACAGACATGGTTTTTACATTCAAACATCATGGGTGGACAGTATGTACCATTAGGATACCGTGTTGCTGAAAAATATAAAATTATGACATTACTATTAACTGCTGTAATACAAACATTAGGGTGTTTCTTCACTGCAGATCAATAAATAGAAGGAATAGATAGAAGCTATCCACTCCTTTGAGCATTATAAAATCCCATTCCATTACAAAACCTTGTTAGAATGCAGGTCAACTGGAAACAGTTGACTATCCCACTTATACTGCAAGGTCCAGAATTTTAATTCAATCACGTATACCTTCTGCTGAACCTGGTAAGCATACTGATTTCCTAGCATTACAACTGTCCTTACAATTAACGTAAGAGAAGGTAATCTACTAATATATTAAAAAGCTGATTCAGAACATTATTCTCCTCAACTTCTACTGACACCACCTGCTGCTGCAGAATTCAGTACCTCTAAGGAGTAACCTCATGTAAAGAGACAGTAAAGTGCATCTCTTTCTGGAATTAAGCTCAATGATCACCAATTGTGAAACTTGAAACTCACGACAAGTTATTTCATCAGAGAAATCAAGGCAGTCCGCATTTCCATCACATCTGAAGCGCTCTGCAACACAGTGCCCACTATTACACTGGAAATAACCTGGGTGGCAGGTCCTCAGCTCTGAAAAGATTCAGAAGTAACTGTTGAAATCTCTCTCTATTCAAATCCTATTAAGTGTTCAGCTTTAGAGAACATCATCCTACAGAAGAGTGCAACATCCCAGACCACTAAAACTGTGATAACTGCAACTCCTGGTGAAACAACTAAAGTGACATGGTCAATGTTACTCCACTAAAGATGCTTCCAATAAAATATCATTTTGCAGAAAACTTACTAATTTAGAAATAAAGTGTGAACATGTAAGAGGCAGCATCCAGGCAATACACACCACAATCGCGTTCATCTGAATTGTCTTCACAGTCATCATCGTGATCACAGACCCAGCGGGAAGGAATGCAGCGCAGATTGTCACAACGGTATTCACTTTCTGTGCATTCACGGGGACCTTCATTTAGAACAGAAGTACAAACTTATACATTTTCCCAGTTGTGGATTTAAATACCCACACCTGCCTTACTAAACCAAACAAAAGCAATACTAGCTTGTGGTGTAATATAAACTAAAACTGAATAATATTTTAATAGCTCTTCTCCATACTCTTTGCACTTTATTCCTCATTGCATGGAAAAAAAAATTATCACAAACTTAGACAGGAGTAATTTGTATTTTAAATTAGGAAAAAGTAATCAAGGTTAACTCCTTACAAAACTATATGCTCCTACATTTGCACACAGGGCAGAATTCAAATGTCATTCCCTAGCAAACAATGTGAATGTATCTTACAGTGATTACTAGATTGACTAGTTTCTTTTATTGGTCAAAAATGCCTCAAGGTGCCATTGTGATTATTCAGCAAAGAAAATAAAAGACTCTGAAGTAAATCCACTGAGTGATTGCAACTGAGATCTGTCAGCCACATTTTCATAAGAAGCACAGGGCTACTTCAGTCAAAAGCTAGACTATGTTGTTATAGCCAAAAAAGAACTCACTGCAGTTGTGCTCATCAGACTGATCTCCACAGTCATTATCTCCATCACACTTCCAGCGCAGTGGGATACACCGATGATTGTCACAACGGAAATCTCCAGAAGGACTGCAAGTCATCTCCTCTGCAGCATAAGATGTTTGCCAACAAAACATGAGACCAGCACATATTAGTATAATCTTTGGATGAGATGAAAAGCACCAAAGATAATGGAAGTAGATAAAGGCAGTTGTGTAAAAAATTGGGCCAAATGACAAGAGTGATTAAGAAACAGCTGAAGTAATAATATAGAAGTGAGACAGAGAAACAAAAAAATAAATGCTATATAATGCTATCAAAGGAAAAGAATGACTGCTCCTTACAGTGCCACTATCCAGTATGAGGGATTCTAATAAATCTGGCCCTCTATCCTGCTTTTAAAGGAGCAACTCTATCCATGAAAGAGTAACTTAATACATTAACAGCTACTAAAATGTATGGATTGTATTAATCTACTAATAAAGAGCCCAAAGAAAAGCATTTCTGAATGAAGGAGCATGTTTTGTGGTGACATGCTTTTTTACAATTAATTCTACAAGCAGAGAATAACAATTGCAAAGTCTTCATAGAATGCTATAATTCTGATTCTTTTCTGGTCTTGATATAGAGAACTGATTTCCTAATAAATTTTGTGTGAAAGCTTATGAGAGGTTTCAACATAAATGTAAGAGTCTGGGAAAGTATCATTATACTTCCCATGCTAATGGTTTCCGGAGTACAGTAGTTACATAAATGTAGAACACACTGACACTTTTAACAGTCAATACTAGCTGAGCTCAAGTAAAAATATTTCCTCTTTCATTTGATGACATATAAGTCAAAATAATATAATCCTGGTCTTCAGAGCTCGTAAATACATGAGCTGCACAATGAATCACTACACACAGAAGTTTTCCTCAAGACTACCAGTGCAATTAGATGATATTAGTAAAAAAAAAAAAACAAAAAACAAACAGATTCATTATCACTGAAAAGATTTTCACTCAAATTGAAGAAATCTTTTTGGCACAAATTATGTTGAATGTATCTTCTTTTCCAGACATACCACAGCCTTGCTCATCGCTGTTGTCTCTGCAGTCATCATTCCCATTGCACACTGCCCACAGCGGTACACACCGGTAGCTGGTTCTACAGCTGAATTGTGTGTGGTTGTCGCAACGGTAAGCAGGGCCCACTGCAACACAAGTAGTAGATGTTAGCCAGAAAACTGATCTTGCTATTCTGCCTTATACAATTGGCATTTAGTCGACACTTTCTACTACTGGACTTGTCATGACGTATTTTGTCTCTCCATAAAAAGCATGGCATATATCACACTCCAAAGTGGAGCAAGGCAGAAACTGGTGAACTGGCATTCGCTGTCTCTATAGAGGCAATAGATCATGTAGGCACATAATGTTTTGTAAAAAAGGTTTTTAAGGACCAAGCAAATGACACTGCTAGTGTGAAGGAGGTCACTGTGAGATACTGTCGGTTCTTGGTAAGCAAGTCAGCACAATTAAGCATCCACATTTGCAAGAATGATAAAGCAGTGAATTATCACACAGAATCTATGCTTTCTAGTACTCTTATTCTATGTCAGCAACTACCTTGAAGGAAATATTTATTTCCAATTAATTTTCAACCTCAGAAAAATTAAGTAATGCAGTCTGCTCTGCTTTAGGTGCATCATAATGTAGACAGCTTACTACAGCTAAATGCTTACTGCATTCATGGAATGGTTCATCAGAGTTATCGCCACAATCATCATCCACATCACACTTCCAGGACTCTGGGATGCAGCGGCCATTGTCACATTTAAATTGGCCTGGGGGACAGGTCCTGCTTGCACAGTGAGTAATATCTTCATCCGAGTTGTCACCACAGTCATCCTCTCTATCACACTGCCAGGCTTCTGGGATACATCGTTTATTGGCACATTGCCACTGATGAGTTTCACACTGATGATTAGCTGAAACAATACAAATTGGCTATTATGATACTGAAACTTACTTAGAGAAATAATCTGCTGCAGCAGTGTTACCTCAATTGGGCATTTATTACGTCTATACTTGTTTGTTTCATCTTTAAGTCAACAAACATCTAAAATATCAGAATCTACTCGCCCAGTTCAAGTACAGATTTCTAATGCTACAGCATAAACTTCCCACAAGCTCACTAAGTCCCTAAGTTTTTCTAGGAATGAGACAGCACTATCTTCTCCTAAAAACAGAAGGGACTAGACCCAGTATTCAAATATTATGGAGGCAGAGGCTCCCAGCCACTAAGCAGAGAAGAAGTGATATTGCGCCTCCAGCCATGCTACCAACTTAGATTCATTTTGTCTGATTTGCTTAGTTCCTCTAAGCTATGAAGGAATGGGCTAGGAAACAGAAGATCATGCTAATGACATCTCCATAATCTGTATGTAAATGTATACCCTCTATTGCCACGTCAAGGCATGGAACACAAACATCAGCAATACTGGTGAACTGGGGGATATTTCAAGATCTATGAAAACAAAAGTCAACACAAGCCTCGTACAAAACTTCCTGAATTTTTATATCTCACTGAACACTACCATACTGCTATTTCATATATACTGAAAAACTCTTCAAAAGGAAGCAATACATCATGATTTCCGCATATTTTCCAAACTAAAAGATTCTATTTCCATGCACAAGATGAATAGAAGGAACTATACAGATCCAAACCGACTTTGAAGTGTATCCAATACATAAGAAACAGTGACATGGTATGCAGCTGCCAAATTTACACTTCAAATAATCCTCTGTGCCACATTTAAGAGTTTAGCTATTTGAAACTCATGTAAAACTGTAATTTCATATAATTCTGTCGTTGTTAGAAAGACTTTGCTAACGAATGGTAATGAAACTATCAATTACACAAGCACACTGTTGTTCTCCTTTATATTACTATGCTCAGAACTGCCAGAAAATTATTTACAAGCGGAAGACAACTGATGCACTTTATAATTTAGATGTAAGTATGTGCAAAAAGGTTTCTAAGGCAACAATATTTCTCCACAAGCATAATTAGGATCTATTGCCAAAATGCTACAATCCAAAGCAGTCTCCCACATGTGCTGGGTTTTGAGCAACACAGAGAAAGAAATAATTTTGTCTTGTCGTGCAAAGCTCAATATGGGAAAAACGAGTACACCCATGGACAGATCAGGAAGGCTTAGATTCATAATATAGATCATGGATTTACACTAGATAAAACAGAATGGATCCTACTTCCAGTGCAAATCTGAGTCAAAGGCATAAGACATTTTTACATTTTGTGTATTTTTACTCTCTCGTTCTTTTCTGTACTGAAATAAATCTTCCTTGTGGGTACTAGACTAGCCAGTTAGGACCTGTATCTCTCTACCTACCATTTTCACCCATAAGAAGGGGACAATGATAACAATATATTTTGTTTGCATGGTTTGTACTGGCAAAACTCACTTAGAATTATTACTGATAACGTACCACAAAGTACAGGATCTTCATCTGATCTGTCATGGCAATCTGACTGAGTATTACATAAGAAATGTGGGCTTGTGCAGTTCCCATCATTACACTGGAATTGACCAACAGGGCAATATCGGTGTGGACAGGTAGGGGGCTCATCAGAGCCATCTCGACAGTCCCTCTGTCCATCACATTTCCACCAGATAGGAATGCACCTACAAAGAGAGAACAATGTTTTGTTGAGTAACTGCCTCTACAGATAAAACAAACAGGAAAAAAATCCTTTCACAGCACAGAACAGTCTTGTCTCAGTCTGTTTCTTAAAACTGCCAAGACACCTTGAATTTCATCTCTTCTGCTTCATATGTCAAGTGCTAACGAGTTATGCCAAAAGACTATAGAAACAAATGATACTGGCTGATCTCTAAAAGGTGTTCATAGTAAATTAATAAGGACTGAATTTTAATGCGTGCTTATGGTAACCATCTCTCAGCTTTTGAAATCAATCTTCATTTAGATTTTTTATCAGGTAACATTTTAATAATTCCCTTGTTCAGCACAAGAATTTTATAAGAGATCATCATTGTAACACTGCTTCAAAACGTCACCCTACAAACACAACAGTCTCAAAATCTCCAGAGTAATACAGTGTCAGCATAGTGGCTCTTAGGCTACATTCCTCACCTACCACTGCAGCTATCTCAGAGAAAGGGGTATGAAACACATCCTCACACCTTTTAAATGCTTTTTGTTGTTGTTGTTGTTTGCTTTCCTAGGATACTTCCAGACAGCATGTACTTGGAAGAAAGAGATGTGTTACAAAAGATGCGCAAATAAGAAAAGTTCCAGGCATTACACAGCAATGCTGTGTAGTGGGGAAAAAAGTTTAAAAACAACCCACAACATTTAAACTAGGAGTCCATATATACTTTTCCAAAACAAAGTCTGTCTGGTCCTGGCTTTGTCTTTCCTAGAACACCACAGAATAATAGGAGGAATTACTGCTTTAATGCCCTTTTCAAAAGACTAAACTGTGGAATGTATCCTTAAAAGGCATCAGAAAAAAGAATGTGAACAGCACCTACCTCTCCGTGTCCGCACAGAGGAACTGGGTGCTGGAGCACGTTGGAAGGCAGTGTGCTGTACTGCCAAACTGTACAATCATGAAGTTATCGGGACATTCACAGGAATAACCCTGACCACCAGCTTTTATCAGACACAGATGGGAACAACCACCATTGTTGGTGCCACAAGGATTATTAACTGGTAAAAAAAAAAAAAAAAAAAGAAAAATAAATATTACCATACATTGCAAATCCCAGGACATAATGGGCTCAATCTTCAATAGATTCCTCTCATGCTGTATTGAAAACTTACATGTAATAGGTCTAAAAACAAAATCTAGATTATCAGGCACTCAGAGAGATAAACACATATGATTTCACATGCATGAAACGTATACTACTGGTCTTGAATTTTAAGAAACTAATTTAAAATAACACATTTCCAATCTGATTCTATTTCAGCAGTTAATCAAGGACCATTTGTATGCGTAAAGCAGAGAAGTACATTTACTCTGTGCATTTCATTTCCCCGAGCAAATGAGAAAACGGAGTCCACTCAGGATTTTTTACATTAGTTTCCAGATAACAGCTGGCCCTCTAAATTCAAATATAATACTGATTTCTCACCAAAAGGTTGTCTGTATGGATGGTAAACATGGATGTCAAATGGCCTATGCGTGGTGTTCACAAGAACAGTCCTGTCTGATCCATCATATTTATTTCCCTTTTCAACAGTTCTTGTGTTCCAATCAGTCCAATATATCGTGTCTTCAAAAATGGTTATTGCAAATGGGTGAGGCAATGTCCCATCATATACGGTATGACGATGATGTCCATCTAGGTCAGAGTACCTAGATAAAGGAAAATGTGCAAAAAATTCAGATAAATGCTATACAATCTTCTCATCCTTATATGTTAATGTTAGATTTTTATTGGACCAGGACATATAACACTGGAATTGCAGCTTCTTTAGTCCTATGACACAGCACTGTCCTCAGTAAATAAATTTTAAGATATGCAGAGAAGTGAAACAGGTTGTTCTAGGTAAAGAAGTGTAATAGGGGAACATCCACTGATGCATGAAGTCTTCCAATAGAATTATGTCACCTAGTCCAAAGACATTTTGCACACTTAATGTTTTACAGTAAGTTATTTCTGCCACATGAGAGATGAGCTTGCCTGGTTCATCCACACTGCTAATAATTGAATACTTAACACAATAGGTCTCCTAAATCTTTAAATTTCATACACATAAATTTCAATGACTTGATGATTTAGAGCCTCCTCTGATAAGGTGCCTTTAATAAATTTTATATTTTTGTTGTGATCTTACCATATAGGGTTAAAACATGAAATACAAGAGAAATTAAGAAAAACTGATATTAATATATTTTTAAAATAGGATATTCTTAATATTTCAGCATAGAAAAGGCTGCCAGAAGAATGAAATGTAAAGAAAAAAAATGGATGAAAGCATAACCCTAAGCACATATATAAACATGAATATGAAGGATTTGTTTTGAAGTGATTCAATGCCTTCACAAGAACCAGAGTGTTACTTGTGGATTTTAACAGATCTTTAAGAGGTAATTTTCCAATTTTCCACTAATACATTTTTTATCAATTGACAAGAAGAAGCTATGTGCCAACAGGAAATTTCATACTGTATCTATGGACACCTCCATAAAAGCTGAGGATAACATTACACATAAGTTTTCAGACATCCTCTAATGATTTGTGTATTGTTTTATTAGCACATAACTAGTTTAGATACCGCAGCTGAACACATGCATATAGACAGAAGGGCATCACAAGTAGTTATTTTACATTCAATTCTGCCTTGACTCAGGCAAGGTATAGATACTGGTAACTTGCATATTTTCAGCATAGATTATGACTTTTTTAACCTGAGTTTTTCAATAGTTTTGGAACATTTCTAGCAGGACCTGGAATGCAAATATATGAGCTATCACTGCGAGGCTACTGTGTCATTCATTTCACCTACTGCTCCAGACTTCCTGACTCTAATTTCCTATAGCATCAATAGATAGAAGCATTGTGCTTACAGCATTTACAAAGGCTACCACTGAAATCCAGTATGAGCAAATTATTTAATTGCTTTATTCTCCTCTGTGTACGTACTCAATGTAATTTAGATGGGCATCTGCCCAGTAGAGCTTGTCGTTGGTGTAATCTATGGTAAGTCCATTGGGCCACTCTAACTTTGTAGAGATAATCACCGTCTTGTCCTTGCCATCCATGCCTGCTCGTCCAATATAGGCTCGATCTGCCCAGTCCGTCCAGTAAACCTGTCTGTTCAAATAAACACATCTAATTAGGTTGATAGTAAAAATATGCTGAAGTAAATACAAGAAGCCAGATCTGACAGACAGCATTTCTTGCAAAAAAAATTAAACCAGATACTGAGGAAGATAAGTAAAAGGTTAATACATTTACTTGTTACATTAATCACTACAGCAAACAAGTAGATGCATGCAAGCACAATCATCTTCAAAGAATGCAATCAGTACCACATTGTATATCAAGCTGCACAGGCACCTGTTAACCTTTCCAGCCTTGCAGTCAACATTCCCTTGTCCACATGCAACCAAATTCCACTTTCAGTATCAGGCTGCCCTACATATAAAGCTACGAAAAGCAAGCTGCTGTTTTTCCTAAGCTCCAGCTAAGATTAATGTCACACAAATCAAAGAGCACACAACCAAAATTTATTTCAGATTTTCAGAGACAGTGCAAAATTATTTAAAAGGAAAAGGACTTTTGAAATGTCATACCCATATTTTGGATGAACAACAATTGCTCTGGGATGCTGAAAGCAGTAAGTGTTGTTGATATCCACACATCGATCTACCAGTTTTTTCTGGAATCTTCCATCAAGTTCAGAGACATAGAGGCAATCTTTGTAGGCATCCACCCAGTACAATTTTCTGAAATGTTTTAGAGTTAATTTACTTTCTTCATTTTACTTCATGTTGAATTTCACTTTTTTTTTTTTCCTTCTAGAAGCAATGTCCACAATAAAGGAAGAGTATACATAGTGTACTAAGATCTCTTCTATATCATGTTCCAGTTTGTCTTTTTTACTCCTCTGTACTTCTGTCCACAATCATGGGTATCAAATTCAAACTTGCAGCTCCCCAGTTGAGTAATAATATTCCATTTACCTATAAATTACTAAGCAATCTTTTCTTTCTCTCCTTTCCTACCACAACAACCAAAGAGAAACAGAAAAACACACAGGCAGTATAAAGGACTGTGACTGGAGCTGCAAAGTGTTCGCCTTTTCCAGGCTGTCACATCTGCTCTAATCAAACAAATAAAAGAGTTGGCTCTCCTTCAAAAACTGCTAGCTATTACGGTTTGAAAGCCTAATTTAAATCTCACTTCAAATTTTTTTTTTCTTTTACATTGCCTAGGAATTATCTGTATCTGTAATCAAAGATAACATGCATTGATTTTTGAAAGCCTGCAACAAAATAAAGCATTTAATTTGATTAATTAGAAATAAGGTAGGCTACTTTGAAATTGCCTGCAGTGTTTTTTCAGCTCCAGTGCGCACAGAATCACTCCAGAAACAGCCTAAGTCTCTACCTATATCACTCTGATCACCACTGTGGTACTCCCATGAGGTAGGAGAAATGAAAAGATAATCTTCCCCAGCCTGTAGCTCATATCTCCCAATCCCCACCCTGTACTGAAACTTGCAGACCAACTTATCCACCACTGTACGATCTTTTAGCCCTTCTGAGGCACCTAAACAAAAGCTGACTAAAAGCATATCTAATGGTAGCTGAATTAATTCAGCAACTATTATTAAAGGAGCAATAGGATCACTTTGGCTAAAATTAGTCTTTTCCTTCCACACCTCTTTATCAACCACAAAGCATTTGGAGCGACTGGTAACATAACTATAATTAGTTTCAGAGACAAAGCAGTGAAAACACTGATTTGTGAATACGTTAATAAAATCACGCTCTCGTAAGTCCCAATTGTGACCTTCTGAATCACTCTCATTATTCTGAAGAGCTCTGAACTTTTCACACTGAGAGCAATGCAGGCAAAAAAAAAAAAGGAAGAAAAATTGATGAAGGGGCACCAAATAACAGCAGTTTCCGTGGAAATAAATCAAGCTACTTTATGATACATGGTAGGCAATTAAAAAATTACCACAATGCAAAGTGCTTTCCAATTTTGTCCTCATAATGCCCGCGTTTAGCGAATGATGTCAACCTATGGTTTGAGTGTCAGAAAATGATGTATTTTTCAAGAGCAGAAAAACATGCTCTTCATTAATGTTTATTATTACTTCTTCACTGGAATTTAGTAGTCTCTTATAGCATACTGTTATGCAAAGACCGAAGCTTCAGTCCTGACCTTTCTTCCTTTGCTAGCACCTGCAAATAATAGCACCTACTAGCCTAAGCTCAGAATCTCTACCCCCAGGAACATAATTTCCCAGCTTCCTGCTCAGCTCTTCTGTTCATTGATCATTTCCTAACATGCTTCTCACGTGAGCCATATGCACTACGTTATTGATGAGAGTAACCTTGGTAAAATAGACAGGAGACCAATTAAACAAATGCACTATGCAAGGTATTATAAGCCCATAAATTTTCCAGAGCAGCTGTGTAATACTGCATCCACAATCCAAATTGATTTAATGCTCCTCAGAGGTTTTTGTACAAAGTAGAAGAATCTTAACGCAAACTCCCTCCAATTTCCTTAGTAGCTCAGAAAGGCAGAAAATGTGTTTTCTTACCTGCCAACCCAGTCAACAGCGATACCTTCCCCATTCGGCACATCGTCACTTATCACAGCCTCCTTATTTGTTCCATTTAGGAACATTCGTTCAATGACCTTCCTCCCCACATCAATCCAGTACAACCTTTTTTCCACCCTGTCAAAGTCCAGTGCCACCACATTTCTCAGTCCTTGTAAAATGAGAGAGTAAGACTGGCCATCTGCTGTGAGATTTCTCAGATAGTAACGGTTGCTAAAAATAAGGTATGGGGAGATATTACTATTGTGTCGGCAACTTTTTCCATCAGGCTCCCGGATATAGCCTGGGGCACACTTACAGATGTAGGAGCCAGCTGTGTTCTCACAAATCTGGCTACATACTGATGGAGTTTCATTGCACTCATCAATATCATCACAAGTTCGTTTATCTGACATAAGTTTGTATCCAGGATGACAAGAACAGTAGAAACTTGTTTGGGTGTCCGTGCAGTCATGATCACATCCACTGATTGAAGGGTCACTGCATTCATTTATTCCTAGCGAAGGAAAGAAACCTCTTCTCAAGCAATTGACTTACAGAGAAAACAGTGCAGCGATTTTCCAACATACTCTTCTTTCTATCTCTCTCTCCCTGCCTTCTCCTGAAAATGCTCAATACAAATCTCAGCTGGCAGTACTTTAAAAAAAAAAAAAAAAAAAGAACTATTTCAGCTCTTTTGAAGTCTGCTGCCAAACTCACTGAGAGCAAAAAATACACGAACCAGTGGTGGATTTTGGAAATGTAAGGGCAATAATGAAACAATTTATAATCTGCATTTGCAGTTTACATAATTAGCTAAATTCCATGGTTTGTCAAAACAATATATAATTGATGTGATTTAATACAATTTTTAAAAAAAGATTTAATGTACACATTCCTCCACCACCACGGAATAGATACAATTGTAATTGTGAAGTTATCTTAAGATCATTTTTCTGTTGAATCTGCCAATGCATTTTAAACAGATTAAGATAGTCCAAATAAACCTAAACATACCACATCCTTTTTCATCACTATTATCTAAGCAATCATCCAACCGATTGCAGACTTTAGCCATTTCAATGCAGTTTCCATTGTCACATTTAAAATGATGGGGAGAGCACGTTGCTTCTGGTGTACTACAGAGGTGTTCCAGCTCATCAGACTCATCACCACAATCATTATCTCCATCACAAATGTAGGCCTTGGCAATGCAACGTCCATTTTGACAAGTAAACTGGTGCTGCTGACATGGCTCATAGATGCAACCCCTTTCATCGCTGGCATCACCACAGTCATTCCGTCTGTCACACCTGAAGAAGAATGAACACTTTTTTTCAAATACAAGAAGGCAGACACCATTCTCCAGTGCCAGATGCGCTCTTCTGATTTCTAAAGGATGTCACACATTATTGGCTCTAACAGTAGAGACTTTCAGAAAACTGGGGCACATCACAGAGTCTGATCCAGTGAGTCCTGCTTGTATTCTCTGCATCCACTACAAGCTGAATAGAATCACCTCATGAGAGGTACAGAAAAAGAAAATTAAATGCCAATGCTGAGCACTGGGAATATTAACATGAAAGACTCCCAATCATTTTCAAGTAAAAATTGATGCACGAATGCATGGTAGATAAATGGTAGTTACAAACCTGTATGCGCTTCGGATACACAAGCCATTACTACAAGTAAACTCATTCTCCGTGCAAGATCTTCGTGTGCAGTTCTGGTGTTCATCAAGTGCATCACTGCAGTCAGCGTCACCGTCACAGATCCATGCCCGAGGAATGCACCTCCTGAGCGGGGGGCGATTGTTGGCACATGTGAACTCTGCAGCTGTGCAGCTGCGGTTTGCTGATAGAGAGCACGTTCACCAGGTCAGCAAGTTGCACTCTAGGTGTAAAACATTCCCCCCAACACACAGCCTGGATAACAACACATAACCCACAACAGGACCACGCTCTTCTCCATGTGCAGAAATAGGTATCACTGCACTTTCATATATGAAAGTCATACTCATTTCCATCAGTTCTAAACTGGACATAGCTCTTCACTGAGGCTAAGAGTCAAGGCACTTTGGAACTGCTTACCCAATGCTGCCACTTGAAGAACTCTGAATCTTAGATACTGAGTATAAGCTTTCCACATGTCTGGCCAGATTTTCTGGCCACTGAGCGGATATTAGGCTTAGGCTGTCTAGCTCTCACATTCTTCAATGTATTCAATACTCCAGGGATCACACAGATGGAGAACCACTGACATTAAATAGTGCAAGAACTGCAATTGAATCCAGCTGTTGTTAAATCAAGGAGCAGCATCAGGTTTGTCTAACTTTCTTCTCTTTTTTTCATCCTCTAAATTGCCACAGGTTATTTTGCTCATTTGTTTGTAAGGAAATCATGCCCAAAATATGTGGATATTAATACAAAGAAGATGTAGTGTGTGATGAGTATCTCTGCTGTTAGGGAGTATCTCTGGTGAAGTTGCTGCCTAAATCATACAAACAATATCTCACTTGAAATTTGCCAATTCAAAGAAGAGTACTCACATAATTGGAATATTTTTCTTTCTTTCTTTTTTTAAACCAATAGTCTTATCTACTTTAATTCAACACAAGGAGAACTGAGGACAGGAAAAATGTACCTCATGTACCTTGAAGTGTACCTTAATAGACAGAAAAAATGGTAGAGTTTTTGTTGTTTCATATCAGTTTTTCTGCGTGTGTTTCTTTTGTGTTTTTTTTTTTTTTTTTTTTTTTAAATGGAAAAAGCCTGTCAAAGAAAGTAATACTAGACACCTACCACAACTGTGTCTTTGATCCTCATCGCTCATATCCCCACAGTCATTATCACCATCGCAGATCCATGTTGCTGGGATACATCTGCCATCATCACATCTGAATTGGTCACTTGAACAAGTCCGCAGGTGAGGCTCTTAAAAATGAATAAAATCACTTTGCTTGTTAAACTACAATACTATATAATAGTGCTACAATAAAGGAGGCGTTTTAGGGAGAATCCTATGACCGTGAAATTTGAAATGTAAAGTAAAAGCTTAAGTAGAAGAGATGTGCTGCTAAAAGCACAGAGTTCCCCTCTGATCAATTATATTGGCAATCTCTACAAACACTGTACTGTTTGTATTATCATATTGATGATCTTGTAATACCTCAAAAGCACCCTGCTTCATAAACCTGAGACCAGGAGACTAAAATGTGAAAGCAGCATTAAATACAATATGAATACAGCAGTCAGCACATAATGACCCTGTTTTCTTTTATATTATTTACGTAATGAGGATTTGAAGTTGGCATACGATGCAAGACATTTTCTCAAACTTGAGGTGCAGCTCTAGAAACGTGCAAATGGAGCTACCAGCCCTTTTTAGATCATAGAGGCCTTATGTCACCTTTCACAGTGACAGTAATGACTGTTGTTGTCATGTTACTTCTCAGATGCTTCAGTCAGTCCCTCTTCTTTCTCCCTAGAGATTGCTCTACTTCTCCTCACCTTCTTCCCTCCTCCCCGTGCTTACTACCATCAGCATGTAAAGTATCTGCCTACTGCAGTTCTATGATACTCTTCTGCATACTAGTCAAAAACATTCCTCCATATCCCGTGTTCCTTTTTCCCCCAAATGGAATATTGTGCACATACTTCCTGTAAAATAAGATATCTGGTCTCACATCCAAAACACTGACATGAAAAAATACTTGCTAACTCTCATCACTTGATTCACCACCACCAGAGTCTTAAAAAGAGAGAGAAGGTTATACATTGAGAGGAATCAATTTTTGCAGTTAAAAATCTTCATATTCCACGCATAGCATGAAGTACGTTTACTGACTCTAATTACTCAGTGACTCAGATCACTTAGTCAGCAAACAAATCTCAAAAGATACCTATTAGCCACCTCGTCTGGATTCAACCTGTTGCCTCTAAGCACTATAGTTTCTCCATAAACCATCTTGTCTTTCAGTATGTATCTTCTGAATGTACATTACCACAAGAGGCAGGTTCATCAGAGCCATCAGCACAGTCTATTCCTTGATCACAGTACCAATGAGCAGGAATACAGCGTCCCGATGTACAACGAAACTCATTGTTTGTGCAAGTCATTGAGACTGGAAGAAAAAAAAAAAACAAAAAACTACGCATGACTTTTTTCTTCCTGTTACCTTTTCAACTCATTTTAAGCTGTTTTTGAGTCTGTGTTACGCAAAAACATAAGATTATGCTAGGAAAAAGGTCTTAGTAGCCTGTCTGCAAACAGCTCTTTGTACAAACTAGTTTGAACTTCATATGCAAAACATTCTTTTCTTACACACACATACCACTTAATAAATAGAATTTGTTCTGCAAGTAGTATTGCACACAACAATTGTAAATATGTTTTATATTTATACTCGAGCTTAGTGCACAAGAAAATGAGTACAGTCCAATGTACTAATTTCTTCAGCACCCAAAGTAGGTGGTAGGAGACTACATGTGGCAGTCTGCTAATTTCTTCAGTAGTTACTGATCCTATTTTGTACCCTCTGATGATTTCAAGATACCAAAAAGGACCTAGTTTAGCCTTTAAACTTTATGTGCCTTTATGATAGAAATCAAAGGCAATTAACATATTTCTCATTAATATCTTTGGGCTTCCTCTATCTTCTATTCTCCCTAGCTCTTCCTCATTTGTCCCCTTAATCTCTTCTCAATTTTAGAATTCAATAGGGCTGGGACATAAAACAGTAGAAAGGAAAAAGCACACCTTTCATGAGCAGTACACAGGTTATTATGTCTATACATTTAGACACATTTTTTTGACATGTAGAGGCCCATGCATAAAGGTGGTGATCTTTTGAATAGAATAATTGTGGCATGGGTAATTCGAGGCATGCACCTTTAGGAAAACTAGACAAAGCAAACATAATCCACTCAAACAATATTAAAAATAAATCATTGTCTGAAAATATCCATTGTACGTTAGAAACAGATCCACCACATTTTAAAGAAGTACTACCTACTACCTTGCAAAAATATGCTGTTTTGTAATTGAAGTTTATTAAAAGCTACACAGTTTTGTATAAAAGTTGGAATCAACAATGAACTATGAATCCTTTCTTAAGGCATAAATAACTCCATAAAAGAAATTACATTTAAGAGTACCTATAATTTCATTTAATTAGAAGGAAAATATTCTCATAATGAAGTTCTGGAAAAAACTCAATTCACTAATACTTAAGTGCCAGTTCTGTTAAAAAAAAAAAAAAAAAAAAAAAAAAAACATACAGAGCAGAATACACAAAAAAAAATCATCGCTCAAAAACTGCATAAAAACTGTGCAAAGAAGACTAATAAAATTTTAAGGAAATTAGAAGAACAAGATTAAATAATACAACAGTTACATCTTTTATCTCTCCAATACTACAAAAGAGTAGATTTCGAGAACAACTGTAGTTACAAGAAAGGTAAAGAGCACCAAAATAAATCAATGAAGTGCAAGGAGGTTAAAAGCCCTATCAGCTTACCACAGTGAGTAGGGCTCTCATCACTCATATCTCCACAGTCATTGTCACCATCACACAAATAAGTTCGAGGAATGCAGATGTTTGTGCTTTGGCATTTGGTAAAACCAGACTGGCAAGTCCGTTCCGCTTTAAAGAGAGGGCAAAAACATTTCATTGATACACACGTACATAACACTGTTTAAAAAAAAGCAAGAACAAACAAACAAAAAAAAATCTGATCTGTTTTTTTTTTTCTGATCAATCCAGAGTGGACTGATCTGATCAATCCAGAGTGCCTTTTGTCACATATTTTTCAGATGTAAGACTGCCAGTGATTTACTATCCCTTTCACCTGAAGCGACCAAAAGTCTTTGAAGAAGCTGAACTAGTTTTAAAAATTCTCAGAGCTGAGACAGCTGCAGATGTTCTCCACCCACTCAAAACAATACTAAATTAAAAGTAAAGCAATATACCATACGTTCTCGCTGCCATCTTTCTCTTCAAATTTCCTTGGAAAATTAAAAAAGAAATGTGTAAATAACACAAACCATTTTCCTCTCATTTCTGCTCAAATGCTGAAGTGCACTCATACCTCTCGTTCTATATGGAAACAACGAGGCCACTGCTTTTACTGGGAAAAGTGGTTTCAAAAACATGATCAAAGAAATACATGCTAATACTCAGAGGTGAGGGAATGTAAACTGACAAGCATTCAAACTGTAATGCTTGCATTTGCAACCAGCTGGTACTGTGTGAATCACCACATCAACTACAAATGACTATTAGAATGGGAATTTCAAATGTACAGATTTTTTTAGTTTTAAGTGAAATAAGTCACAAATAATATATTTCAAGAAAACAGTGTTAAAACAATGTTTTTTCAGTTTTTAAATCAACTACTTCACTAAGAATTTAACAATCTTACTGCAAAAAAAAAAAAAATGATTAACTTGATTAACTGCATTAGTACTTATTACTGAGCTGATTCCATAAAATTGGTGTTTTATGGAAAACAAATAAAACTGATAACTTTTTGAAAACTATAAGGACTATAATTTTAAACAGAATAAATATAAATCATGCTTGTATAAGATATGCTTGTCACATATTCATTCCTCATGATTAAATCCAGTATACTTAACATAACATGCTGCAAAGCTTATGGTAAAAATCTGCTGCCAAATTCCACGTGAATTCTGCATAGATGTAGGTCCAGCATCCAATTTATCTCAAATAATCTTTTTCAAGTCAATGGGATTACTACAATAGCTAACATTAAGCACTCTAATAGTATTTGCTGGGTCAAGGCAGATTAAAGCAGCAGTTATTAAGAAAGATCTCAGGGTACTCAAGAATATCTTTCAAGGATCAGTTTGCTTCAAAATAACACAAACCAGAATCTGTAACGTTAATATAAAAACCTTTTATCCTTTTTACTGCCTTTGTCATAATTCTTCACACTCAAGGAGATTTGTCTCTTCTTTGGTCTAAAGAGTCAGACTCAAATGTGCACTTAGTAATTTGGAGGAACTTACGGCAATTTCTCTCATCTGATGTGCCATTATCGTAACAATTATTTACTCCATTGCAGACGTATTGAAGAGATATACATCTTCCATTATTGCAAGTAAATTCTGTGTGGGAGTCACAAGTTCGGAATAAACAGCCAGCCTCATCGCTGTTGTCTCCACAGTCATTGTAGTGATCGCAGCGGTAATGATAAGGCACACATCGCCCATTACCACAGGTAAAAGCTGTTGGCTGACAAGTATGGAAAGCTGAACAAATAAAAAATAATTTTAATAAATTAATGAAGAATATAGTACATGGATAAAGCATAATCTAAGTTCTCTGACAAAGTAACAAATCAAAACACAACAGTTTTACCTGCCAGGGCAAAGACAGCTGCAAAACGTACTGCGTGAAAAGTAAAATACATATTTGAATTAAACAAAGGAGAAATTGGGTATATAAGAAGTTAATACTATAGCATTTCTGGATTCTAGAGCAAATTTGCTGTCATTCAGACCTAATAATGCACAACAAATTCTACAAGCAGGCAAGCAACAGATCATTTCCAAACTACAGCTAGAAAACCCGTGATCATAGAGCCACACAAACAATAGAAAACATCAGACAGCCAGGACAGAAGTTGCATCACTTTCACATGCAGTTATTTTAAATGCTTACCACACACACTCTCCAACTCATCACTTCCATCACCACAGTCATTGTCATTGTCGCATTTCCATCGCTCTGAGATGCAGTGTCCATTCAGGCAGGTGAAGAAACCAGTGTCACACCTGGTACCATTATCCACAATGCAGTGCTTATTATTATTGGCTAAATACCAGCGACCTTCAGATGGACACTGACACTCTGCACCAGCTGGACCTACATTCATATTTGATAATTAATACTCATGTTTTAGAAAGGGTTTTGTTAAAACTATTCACAGCCCTAAACGCAATGAAAATGAAATGCAATGAAATCCCTGTAACTATCTGCTTAGATTGAAAATGTGGCTACTTAGCCAGATTCTTACCTCCGTTAAGCATATTCAAACCCACTGAAACCCAAGGAAGTTAGAGTTCCCTACAAAAATTGAGATCAGAATTTGGAACACCTTAACTGCTTGCTGACTAAATAATTTTTCAATGACTGCAAAATGATCTCTGACGCTTTCAAATATCAGAGCTAGCTAATACCAGCTGAAGCTCTATCCCCCCAAACGTGATAAAAAGTATCTGTTCAATATATATTGTACCACTATAAATTACTAAGGTATCAGTATACTAAAAGCATATATTGGTTAATATTATAAATACCTATATTATTAAGGTGTGCTGCTGAGCTCATTTCACATGCTGCCCAGAGGAAATAGAAATTAAAATTTCAGAAAAAAATGTTTTTGTTTAAATTAGGAAACACATGGAAACACATGACTTTTAGTTGTGAAGATTCTCAACAAAAATCATCAAGTGTGTTGGCAAAGCACCATGATCCTGAACAGCAATCATCTTGATTGCATTATATAAATGAAATAATTATTAAACATTTAGAAATACTAAGGACTATTTCAGATGTCTCCATGCAACTTAAGCTTGTTATATTATGATTTCTAATACAGGCAATTCTAACAGCTTACAGTCATTAAGCATAGTTGCTTACCTGGTGCACAAATGTGACTGCAACCACCATTGAACTGGTTACAAGGGTTGGTACACTGCTGCTGCTTACTTTTTGCCCAGACATGAATATCCATTGGTCTTTGTGGAAGATTCATGATCATTACAATTTGATCTGAACCATCATATTTATTAGCTCGGTAAATGCTTCGTGTGTTCCAATCTGTCCAATATATATGCTGATCAAACAATGTCATTGCAAATGGATGGAGAGCAGTACTAACAATTACCTCACGGTTTGTACCAGTTAGAGTGCATCGCTCAATTTTTTGCCTAAAATAATAAAGAAATAATGTCATCTTAGAGGAAGTATTTCAACGTAGATACATGTCCTTATTAGTCATGTGACTACTATTTACCATTTCAATGATGTGCACCAAACCAAGTTAAGAACTCAAACGCTATTTTAGAGAAGGAGGGATGACATCTTTGGGAGAACAGTGTAAACAAAATGAGAATAAGCAGAAGGAAAAATGGAGGAGTTATGGCTATACGTCTGGCCTTTGTATCCTCTTCATGCACTAAGATCTAATGAGCACTGCCATTCTTTGAACATCTGGTCCTCATATCTTACCTCATGCTCCTCTGAATTGGGGTAAAGGACTCCCTTAAGAAAAAGAGAACTCGTCTTCCCTGTACTTGAAAGTGAGATTATAAAAGACTTGGTACTGTTTAACTATCTGCTATCTACCTCCATTAACTAGAATTTAAAAGAGAAATGTCTTATCTGACATTACGCATCTGTAACAGAATCCTTAGAATAGACGGTCCCATTTCAGGTTCCCTACACACAGATGTATCCATGTAAGGATGCCTTCCTATTAGAAGATCCCACAAAGGCACAGACTGTAAGAGTCACTACGTTACAGACATCTTTCTGTCACAGCAGCAGAGGTGTCTATAAAAGAATTGCTGTTCTGAAAGAACCAGATGAGGAACGTCTGATTGCTGCAGTGATTCCTCAGAGAACATGGGTGAATTTGAAGATGGAAATGAAATTATTTTTAAAAGCTCTCCTGCTGGTGGCAGAAATTCTGGTGGTCTACATTGAAGGGTAGGAATCTGTCTGGTTGGAAAAGCAAGAACTTAATGCCAAATTCTACAGGTGACGGCCATTAACCATGAGCAATGAATATGAAATGTGCACTGCGATTGTATGCACAGGAGAAGATGCTTATAAAAGTAATGAGTTGAAATTAAGAGGAGTGACATAAAGCACTGAATGAAATCTGCCTTGTGACATCACAAAACTTCTTGTGGAGTAGTTCAACATCAATATAAGAAAATGATGTTTTGTTGCTATAAAGTATTTCTTATAATTTCTACAATACAAATTATTGAATTTAATTACAATGTTGAAAACAGTGGGAAAAAAATAAAGCAGGAAAAAGAGATAATAGGCCCATTCAAATTAACCTAATGCGAATCAACAACTATGTTATCAATACGTACAGATTTGCATCAGCCCAGTATAGCTGCTGTTCTTCATAGTCCAGGGTAAGCCCATTTGGCCACACCAGATTGGTGCTTACAATAGGTGTTCTGAAGTTTCCTCCAAGTGTAGCTCGTTCTATCTTTGCATTGGAGCTCCAGTCAGTCCAGTACATATAGCTGTCAGTAACATGATTGAAAAATTATTTTTACAGCAAAGAAAGTTCACAGAGCTCTTAACTGTCCTAGGATATCTCCACTCTGGTATAGCCAATTGAACTGTGGAGTGCAAAACTACGGGAAAAAGAACTACTTCCTCTGTTTTACTTCACGTTTACAAAGGAATCTTCTAGCTGGGATCATTGGGCTCCACTGGAATGAACTTCAGATGAGTTCTTCCAGCTCCTGTGAGAATCTAGTGAAATCAAATATTCTCTTTCTAATCTTTCTTCATTTGATGTATAGTATAACACTGCCCCTAACTTCTAAAAAACAAAAATTCTTCTGAGACACTTACAAAGCACAACATCAGTAGGAAAGAACTTACATACATATGACTTTTTATATACGACTTTTAGGTAGATCTCTTGGTAGCACCATCTGATTATCAGAACATAACATTCTTGAAGAAATCTTTGTTTCAACAAATGCCCCTTGTTTCTCTGCTTCAGAGAATGGAGAATGACTAGTTGCTTGAAGAACAGCTGCTTTGAAAAATCATTCTTATTTACCACACAGTACCTGGCTCCTAACCTCACTTAGTGGAGTTTTATTCACTACATATTCGTAAGCGTTTTTTAAAAAAAAACAAAATCAATGAAGAAAATTAAAATCTCCAAGGCTGAGATCAGGTTGAAAACTTAAATACTTAGATTCAGGTAATTCTGCATGGCTGGAATCTAGGCCCTAGAATAGGAACACCTATTGCTCTTCATCTAAGTCCAAACTACAGTTTCACCTGCAATGAAGATAAGGCATACAAAGTACAACACATACCCTCTGCAGGGATCTAGTACTACAGCTCTTGGTCGTGGGACCCGGGCAATCACGGTGCGGTTAGAGCCATCCACAGCCATTGAACTGATAGTCTGGTTGAGGTAGTCACTGTAGTAAACTCTGTTGTTGATCCAGTCAAAGGCTATGCCATCTGGAGTTCCCAGGTCTTAGATATATGCAAATACACAAACAAAACAGTTGAGTATAGTATTCTGAGATACTGCAATAGCTCATCTTTTATAACACACCAACAAAAAGATTTTCTTGAAATACAATTGATGGCAATGCAAATCTGACCATTTAAAAAATCTACATAACTAATAATTCTGACTTCAGTAGTCCTGTGCATGCAGTAGGGTTGTAAAGAGCTAAAGAAGTAACAGGAATCATCCCTCGCTCCCACCCTGTAAATTCAGAGAGCATCAAGGCAGGCAGAGGCAGATAAAAAATAAGCATTGTTTTGTCCTTATTTTGTGCTTACACTAAAACAGATGATCAAGTTGACACCTGTGACAGAAGAGAGGAAAGCAATAGCAAAGACTTGAAGATGTAAACCCTTGTTGAAGGTGCAGTTTTACACAACCCTTAACAGCGGGGTACGCTGACATAAGGATCTCAGCTGTCCATCAGTCCAGCATAAACAGTTCAACCTGACACTGGCTTTCTGAAAACACAGGCTTAGTTGTCTCATTCTCCCCCCAAACTCTGCTTCATCACACTTCCAGCTTACTAAATGCCCTCCTTGGCCCAGAATGCTACCTTGTTTCCTTCATCTCACTTGTGGTGAAGATCTAACACAGAGTTATTTGATTGGCAGCGAAGAGCAAGTCAGAGGAAAAGCTGCAGATTGTCAAGAATCTTAATAATTCAAAAATGTTTAACAACAAAAAACACTACAATAGCTATTATTATTAAACAGATATTATTTGTCTTTTTATATTGGTAATATCATAGTATCTCTGTCTCTACACTTCCCGCAATCTCAAAACTACTGACAGCATGTAACAATATTTAACCAGTTCTATATTTTCTTGTCAAGATATAAGATTATCATAAGAGGAAAACACTGAAGAGAAAAAGATCATTTTATCAGTTGCCTTAAATAATCAGTCTACCTTCACTATAAGTATAAAACTACCAGCTGAGCTAATCCAGTCGTTTTCCAGTATCTAATTATTCTGAATCACAATTCAATTCACTTACCAGATGCAACTACTACTGGAGTGCCAATTCCTGAGTAAATACTGATATAACTGATTCTTCCAGCACCTGAAGGATAACTTTGTGTAAAATATATTCGGTTGTTTATGCTGTCAAAATCCAAGGCCACTGCAGTTCTTAACACATTGACTGCACGGAAGGGAGGACTGTGATTTTCAGGATCCAGGTGAATACTTCTGAGGGCATTCTCAAGGGCAAAAATCAAGTAATCATCTGTTGAAATGGTACATCTCTTGCCATCACTGTCCAGTGTGCCAAAGGCACAACCACATTTGGGTATATGCAATTCAGGCAGGGCAAAACACAGATGGGAACAGCCTCCGTTGCTGTCCAAACAAGGATTGTTGTTTACGTCAAGGGGTGAACGTGACTGAAAATGACTATTATAAATGGTAACATCCCTTAGCCAATTAATGTTGTCTCGTATTACTGTTGGTTGATCAGTATTGCCTGGCTCCTTGCTGGCTTGAAACACTTTTTTCAGGTTCCGATCCACCCAGATCATTGAATTCCCAAAGACGGTGATACCATATGGAGTTGGATAGCGACTGCCATAACGCACAATTTCAACATCACCACCATCGGGTTGAATTCTTGCAATCATGTCTAAGGAATCATCTACCCAGTAAATGTAGCCATTGCTGTGATCGATGGCCAACCCACGAGGTGTGACAATGCCCTCAGATACCAGAACTGTTCTGTTGGTGCAGTCCAGAAATGCACGTTCAATCTTCGGATTTTGCCCATAATCTGCCCAGAACAAGTATCTGTTTTTTGGATCTACTACTATGTGCCTTGGCATATCTATTGTAGTTTTAAGCAGAACACGGCGATAAGTTGTGTTTAAACGTAAAACTTCTACAAAAGTCTCTGTCAGGAATGCATTTGTAAAATAAAGATTTCCTGCATTTAAAACAAATTGGAAAAAAAAAACAACAAAAAAACAAAGGAGAGTGACAAAAGTTAGTACACAGCATCACCACCTGAGAAACATGAACTGATAAAATACTAAACTGTTAAATGAATATCCATAAACATTTTAGAAGTTAAGAGCACAAAGTATGCAGCTCCATTTTGAGGAAGTAAAGTAAGAGACGATCAAAATTGAAGTAGTGGAATAATTTCCACATCTTTATTGATTTCCATGGAGATAATCAGTGGCTAATGATCAAAAATGCATTAACCATAGTTGTTATTTATTTTTTCAGTCTCAAATATCTATTGTTATTATATAGAAGCTTTTGGCTTGCACATCCATACTCTTTACCTTTTACAACATAAAACTATGAATTTTGTGTTGTGGCACAGCACTGAATACAGTAACTACAAAGTGCATGCAGTAGATGATTCTTCTAAAATCTGTCCCAAATAGCCTATCAATCTCCAGAAGAACTTTTGAAAAACACAAATACAGTACACACGTGTATAATACTGAACAAATACTAGCTACTTTATTGCATAAATAACAGTCACTGAATTCTGCTATGCTTACCTGCTACCCAGTCAATTGCAATGCCACGGATTCCATTTCGTCCTATTCCATTCGTAACAACATTTCTAAAATAAGAACCATCAGGTTTAATTTTACGTATTGCATTCTGAGAAGACACTGTGCTACTGAAGTCACACCAGTAAATGAAACCAGAAGGCATGTGAACATCCACATGAAGCACATTCCGTCCTGAAAAGTAGCAATTAATCATCTTTAATATAAACTAACAAACTCAGAACATGGCATGCAGGCCAGAAGTGCGAAAACATTAGGTATTATAAGCTCTCATCTTACTATAATTGTCACATACCTCTTCCTGCTAGAGGTACCATGGCTTCAGAGTGATCAGACGTCTCTAAACTAAATCCTTTAATTGCAGAAAGCATAGAAACAATTACAAATGAATTGTATGGAGAACAGGTTCTGTTATCAGGATTTAGCTGAAAGCCAGTAGCACATGCACAGGAGAATAATCCACCAGGTACAGGTAAGCAAAGTTGTTGACAAACTCCAATATTATTACTGCAGCCATTTGAGGAACCAGCAGAATCTGTGAAAGGAATACATGGAAACACAGAAATCTGAACTGTATCATCACAAACTCCAGCAGATGTACAACAAATTCTTATACTTGTGGAGCACTAACAAAGAGCAAAAAATATTTTAATTGCCATTTAAGCATGATGCTCCTGTAATCAATTTGTTTGTTTCTTCTCATTTAAGATCAATGGATCAAAGAATCAGACAAAAACCCATAAATCTAAAGCTAAAGTAACAATTTTTTGTTTAGTCAATTTCACGTTGATGATATTTTAGTAAAATTTCCCATGCCAATAAGTGCCTTAACAGGACAGTAGAACACCTCTGGGTAAAACCATGTAAATGCTTCTGGCACATCAAACAATTTTTTTTTAAGGAGCACACATTCTGTCTCTAATGGAAGTTTGAGTTTTCATGAGTTGGAAATCTTGAAATAGCTCTTTAGTAAATACTCACTATCTCTATAATACACTCGTAGACACTTCAGTCTTGGGACATTGTCTCTCAGTACTACTTTGTTTGCTCCAGTGAACTTGTCAACTCGTTCAATAACTTCATAATCTCGATCGGTATAGTATAGAAAGGTATCATACACTGCAATTCCCCATGGATGAGAAAGATGAACCACGAGAGTCACACGATTTGTACCATCCACATTGCCTTTCTCAATCTAAGAAATCAATTTAAAGCTTAATATTACACTTCTTATAATAGTATACATTCAATGTTACAATACAAAATTAAAATACAACATACACTACTAAAATCTTTCCTTGGACAAATTTTCATCTACCTATCACAGAGAGGAAGGATAGGTTAGCAGGATGCTAATAGAGATTTGTTTCTTCATTCAAATCATCATTTATTTTTAAAGGTAATCTATAAATGTTATTCAGATTTTGCTTGGTCCTGCATTTCCCAGTTACATAAGTAAACTGAAGTAACTGAATTATTCTTGGGAATCACAAACACACAAATAAACAAGTAACACCAACTATGACAAAAGTATCACTTACCACTCCTGTGCTTGTGACAGCCCAGTACAACTTTTGTTCTTTAATATCAACGGTAATGAACTCTACATGATCCAGGTTGCCAGTGAAGAGGGTTTGAATACCTGATCCATCCATGTTTGCACTGGCAACCTTTGCTGGAACTCCACTATCAGTTCCCTGGTCTGTCCAATACAGTTTCCTGTAACACAGGAAAACATTATCACACCTATTAGCAAAGCTGGTGATGGAAATCAATAGCCCACAGACAATAAAGCATATGCTTAAATCCATCTCCTCTCTCTGCCAAATACCTTGGCACATGATGAATAGAGATCACTAAGAACTGAACCTCAATGAAAAAAACAGACCTTGTTTTGAAAGAATAATTCCTGTTAAACCATTTTTAGAAATTCATATACTCTTTCCTGTATCATCCACTGTATGTCAGGAGGTAGGCTCAGAAGATTGTCAGGAGTGGAATAAAAGGCAGGAGAACAATAATTCTGTTTTATAGATGGTTGCAGTTTCAACTGTAAGTTTGGTTTCAGTTTAGAATTAAAACTGCAAGTTCAAAAACTGGCTCTGAGGAATATGTGCACTGCTCTGGTCCCAGTTGCTGAAAAGCAGCTAGGAGACACAGTAAACAGACTCCATAAAAGAGACAAAAAAGCAGATATTCATTTATCTGAAAGACTGGCAGGTCACCAGCAGAACAATCTCATTACTAACATGGTCCTATGAAACACTTTGATTCTGGGAGGGAAAAAAAAGCATCATAGTGCACCTTTGTACTGGGGACAAAGTACTAAAGTCATGTTTAGTATATGCTGTTTAGCAGCTGACATTTTTTGCATGTAGTATGCCTTTATTAATAAATACTTAATAATTTTCCTTACTCTGTGCCCTCATTTTACAGTGCCTTTCTTTTTTTTAATGCTTTTTATTCAGTCATTCTGACATTTTTTTTAATTAAAAAGAATGTGAAGTAGACGGTACATTAAGGAGAACAGACATCCATCCAACAATTTATGTAGTTATGCAATTGTTTTCTAGGCTTTTGAAAGAATAAATTAAAAAACAAAAACAAAAAACCAAACCTGTATCAAATCCAGGATCGAAGCTAACGACCTTAAACATTAAGAAAAATGTAGAATACATATTCAAGTGCAAAGATAACTGCAATTTTAGTAATTTACCCCCTTGCTGGATCAACTGTCAAACCAATTGGTGTGCCAGCTCCCAGAGAGGTACCATCGTTGGTAATCAGAGTTTTTCTGTACATTACTTCACCGTGCAGCTTCAGGACCTATGCAAATATTGAATTAATCAAAGCATGTTAATACAGAACTTAAGATACATAACTAAATCAAAGGAAGAAAGTCTAAATCCACCAAGTGATGAAATTGCAGGAACTTATTCAAACACTATGAAGGAAAAGCAAGCTGCTTAGTACTCTAATATTCTTTCTTCTCTCACATGCACCCTACGAAGAAGCTCTGAACCTGCCTATGGTAATACTGAAGTATCCTTGGTAAATATAAAAAATAGTAACAAAAAAACCTTATCTTTCAGCCTCCATAATATATTGATGTTGAATGTTACAGGTTGAAGGCAGTGAAAAAAGCTGATTTTACATGTATTATCTTGTATCTGTTTAAATTAGGTAGGTTTTAATTTTGCATATTTATATTTTATGACAAGAAAATTCATGGCAACTTATTCATACTTATCACTAATTACATGTTGCTTACCCTCTATTTCCCTACTCTAAATGGCATTTTTATTTTTCCCATGCTGTCACACTGCTTGCCTCCAGTAAGATACAGAATAGGACACCAGAGCACTGGGGATTGGATCTTACTCCATTCCATGGCTACATTCCTTTACAGTCAGAAGCAGTGCAAAAAGATCCATACGCAAATAAAGTTCCAAGAATACATCGCTTTTAAAATCTTTTAGCTGTGCACAAATTTAGTTTTTTTTCTTCAAGTGTGCAAATCACTTTTCTTCATACTACCCAAATGTTTTAGAAAAAATAAATCTAATTTCTGATTTTCACTAAAAAACAGCTCTAATTTCAAATTGCATATTTGTAGCAGCAAAATACTGAGGCTCTTAATTTTCACAATTGTACTTAAATATTACCTCAATTGACTGTGTTCCTGGGTTACTATAATAAAGGTTTGCAGATATCCAGTCCAATGCTAGGCCAATAGGAGCACCAATAACAGCTGCTGGAGCAAAAACCGTCCTGTTAGATCCATCTGACCTCACTCTGTGAATTTCACCCTTGGAAAAATAACAGAAGTATAAACATCCAGAGCAGTTTCATCAGAAACAAACAAATAAGAGAAAACCTCATTTATTGCAACCATGTGAACAGATACTTTATATTGCAATCTTTTCCGAGAAAAATGAAAATTCAGCAGCAGTAAAGTATTTTTATATACTTTCATAAGCATGGTAAAAAAATATAATATACTGTTAAGTGTAACAATATGGCATAAAGAGGAATTATATTTCATTAACCAAATGAACTATGATGTTCATTATATATATCAAGTATTTAGCAAATATTTATTTCTGTGATTCACAGAAATAAAATGGCTATGTAAAATGAGCCTGAATAGTCTATTTTTAAGCTGTATGTAGACACACTACTGTAATTTGTACTCTACTCTCAAAAGATTTATTAACAGGATATCTCAATTAGCCAGCTTGAATAAATCTCAAATTCAATGCAGGAAAACAGTGCTCTCTACAAGCATAAATACAGAAGAACCAAAATTCTAACTGTAATAGAAGAATCAAAACTAAGATTAACCCTGCAGTTTTCACAAAATTATCTCACAAATTATCACTTGCAGGCTCGATAGCGTTAGCCACATAATGTAGCTACACCATAGACACCTTAGCTGCATGATACAAAAACAATGACAAAACTCAGAGAGAAGCTACATTGAGATCTGAGTTTTCATCCAGTTGCTTCAGTTTTACAGAAGTTCTGCAGAACAATTGCTTTAGAAAAAACACCCACGAATCATTAGGTCCATGTATAGTCTTATTCTTATATATTCTTAATAGAGTGCTTATCTGCACTCAGCCTGCCAAGGCTCCTGGCATTTCACTTGCCAGCTGTGTTAGTAGATACATAAGCCCATGACCACCTACAAAACTGTTTTACCTCCTGTAAATGTCAGCTGTACCTATCTGTTAGCTGAAACGTGTCAAAAATATTTTTTCAAACTGCGTGGAGGATCAAATAGATTCCTGAGAATTTATCAACTGCTTTTAAGTTTCCAAGAGCAAAGAGACATACTGCTGAATCGTAAGTTTTCTATCAGATCCATCTCCCTGGCTTCCATAGAGTAATTTAAGAGACTTCTTCAAACAATTATAATGATCCATTAAAAATTATTCTGAACTAGTTTTAAAAAATATTGGTCCTGTATTTGCTGCCTGTGACTCTTTTATCCTTTTCTTCTACTTAAGAAAAGGATGCCTCCGTACTACGTTACTTCATGAAATGCTCAGACTAGAAACTAAATCATACAAGCATGCAATTTCATTCTAGTGGTAATTTCATTTTGAAATTTAGTGCCACTGGTTCAATATAATACGTTCATGGAGAACTCTTTCAGCTCTATCTGCAGAGTTAAGTTCTAAGCCAACATAAAGGTAAAAGAGCAGACTACAGCAAAGGACTGAGAGTACAATTCTGTCACTACCATCTGATCTTCATGTCCCTGCAAGGAAGAGCATTAATTAAATATTTTGGTGGACAAATATGAAAACTAACGTTCAAATGAGATGGAGTCTCTCTCATAAATCCTAGGGAAAAAGTCTTTTATTTTTTTCAGCTATATTTATTAAAATTCCTACCTTTAATGCTAATATATTTAAATCATAAACACTACTTTAAAGTAAGAAGTCTTATTTTAGTGTGCATTCTGAACACAAATACTAACTTACTGGATTTTCAACCCAATAGATCATCTGTTCTGAGTCATCAAAGTCAACATCAACACCATTTTGAACTCCTGCTATTGGAACCATAGCATCATTGGTCTTCTCCTCAGGGTTCAGAGAAATTCCATAAATTATATTATCTCTGACAGCAATAAGGAAAGGGTGTTCAACTGTGAAAACATATAATGTAAGTCAGAGTTAGCTTACAACACATTTCCTCTGTTAAAAAAATTGCACAAGTATTACCTGTGATGCTTTGTAAACTATTTACATGCAAGTTTGCATTTGTTTTTTTTACCTCACAAGACTGAGGTTATCAATTGTAATGTTTTAACACTGAATGTTTCAGCACTATGTAATCGCAACGCACATACAAGCAAATTCTGAAAAGGAAGTAAACAGTGTAGGATCATTTATTGCTAGCCAAGGGGAGAAGTACATCCAGCCACAGCTTCTACAAGCAGATTCTTCAGAACTCTAGGAATGAGAGTCAAAACGTGCCTGAGATAGATTGTAAATGCTAAGCAGGAGTCAAAAGAAATGTACAATGTCACAGAAACAACTGCTGATCCTTATCTGCAGTATCGTTGTTTTTTGTTGTTGTTTTTAAATCTCTTATAGAGTACACTAACTTTATCTCTAAAATAATAAATTTACTTCCAAGAAAACACTAATCCTCATGCTTAAATGTTATTAAAATAAAGGGCAACTAGTTGTGTGTTCTGACAAAACACATTACAGAGCTATAGATACAAGTCAGCAATGTAATTTCTCCTCTGCCAGAGAGTATGGGAAGAGACTCTTCCAAACACGAGTTCCCCTCTTCCTTTTCCTTTTTCTTCTGAAGGAGAGAGCACAGTCTGATCACTTCTCCAGGCATAAGCTACCACTTGAGAAGGAACTGAGTTGCTGTCATATAGAAGGTAAATGTAACCGAACTCTTCTTCTGGTACAGATGATTTTTTATTTTTTTTTTCTTTCACTGGCTACTTAATACATTTATGCAAACTTTCCATGAAATTTTTGACATGAAAAAAAAAATACAGCATTATTGCGCTTTTCTAAAATTATTCTCCCTACTCTGTAACAGCCAGAACTGTTGTCAAAATTGACAAAAGCTTATATATCATTCATGCTCGCTCAAAATCAAATTTCAACAAACAGTTGTCTGAAAAAACTTCGCTGTGAAATTCTTGAAGCTTTTACACTTCGATGTTGCTGTTTTTTTTTTTTTTTTCTTATGAATGCAGCATGCTAGTGGCTCTTCTACAAAAAGTTTACATGGAACCGCTAAATTCTTAACAAATTGTTCCAGTGCATAAAAGACTCTGAGGGTCATTATTCCCTCTCAAATTGCACACAGCATAAAACACTACTGAATCCTACTGGAACATGAATATGCAAGTTCTCTTGTCTAGACTGTTAGTACTTCAGAAATTTAATAGTCTCATTAAAAACAATCATATTTTTGAGAAATTTTTTGCTGATTGCTTCTATCAACATTAACACCTATGGAAATGTTTAACTATTCTTCATTCTTATAATGAGCAATAGAGTAATTTTGCTGAGATACACACACCTGAAATGATAGGCTGGAGAGGGTGACAAGGAGCAAGGACAACACCCTCCCACATGAGGGGAACTAAAGGACATGATTTCTTTCAAAGCAAAATACGAGCTGAGGGAGAATGTGATAAATCATTTTAAAAATATACACAGAATACATATCAAGAATGAAGAACTACCGATATTTTTTATCCCAAAAGACAGAAGTGGCATAGGAAATGGACAGAAATGGGAAATAATATACTTGAACTGAAAAAAAAATGGCTTCCAGACATCAAAATTGCCAGGTTCATTGAAGTTTAGGAGCAAGAAACCAAATTAATGTCCAGCTGGAGCCTGTCTGTTAAAAAGGAACACCTTATGTGGTGGTACTCAAGGAAGGAAGGAGACTTGATTAATCAAGCAGTTCCCTCCTAGATCTGCACCTCTATGTTCTTAAAAGTACAATTCTTTAAAACATGCTTCCAGGCTGAATATTTATAACGCCAAGGACAACACTTTGCCAGAATACTCCTTCACAATTTTAACCGATGCTTTGCTCCTTCCAGATGTAACTGCAAAACATTCAACGTGTTGAGAAAATTTAAAATGTAGCTTTTTCATAGTGCTTAAAAATAAGTATTTCTTCCATTTCTCCCAAATGAAGAAATATCTCTCTTTGAGCTCTTTCCAGAACCTGGCTACATGCCTTTAGGCCATGTACACTCCATTCCATCCTTCCTAAGTGAAGTCCGCCTGGAATGATCCCAAACTTTGATTTCATGAGTACAGCTCACAGTTCTGAAGCAAGCTTTTTGCTTGGCAGAGGGATGGCTATGAAAATCTGTCTAATCTTTTTTTCATGTCTCACAACTACTGCCCTACCTCGCATGCAGTTCCTGTTGTCAGGAGAAAGCATCCATCCAGAAGGACAAGCACAGGAAAAAAAAAGTGGTCCAGATGATGAAAGCAAGCAGAGGTGGCTACAGGGTGATGATGCACAGGAATTGATACCTGAAAAGAAAAATAAATTTATTAGCAACTGTTAGCAATACAGGAAGTTGGAAAGCTATTCAGTGCTACTGAAAATGTCAACTCTGCACTAAATCAGCTTCAGTATTTCCTTGAAATTCAATATCAAGTTATTTACAAGAATCACATGCAATACAATACACTTAGAACATAAACCTTACTGTAAAACCAGCAATATTATCATACTGATCTTTTCATTTTCCTAGCACAAAAATCTGTCAAATTCCTTTTCCAAATTTTGTTAATTGCATCTGAAGGCCTGCAGAACCTTCAGACTTTGATCACAATAACCTTTCTGGATGGGAGGTTTAAACTATTTGCTGAAGCTTTTTGGAGAAAATTAAAGAAATGACATGGCTGACTATGCATCATTAAGGGTAGTAGGGACTTAATGTATAATTTCTTGTATCACTTTGAATCCTGAAGTCTGTGAAATAGAAGAGTTAAAAAGCCTTTGATGATTATTATTATTACTAGAAATTAAAATTCAACCATTTAGATTGCTTCCACAAAAATGATGTTAAAAAGAATTTTTCAGAAGTCATCCTCATGAAATACAAACCAGACTGCATGAATGAATACCCTTAGCAACTGCTGCAGGTTTTACTCAAAAAGTGGTATATTTGAGGAAATGACAAATTATCCCAGATAGTAAAAAAATAACAAGAACTGAGAAGAATTCAACAAGATGGCAAGTAAAACAATGATAAACTCAAAACTCAAACTATAAGAAAATAGCTCATTTCTATCTAAAATCTAGTTGATGTGAAATCTAATGATTTACAAAACAAGAAGAATGGATGACAGTTAAAAAAATCAAGCCTTCATTTGCAATATTACAGTGTTGAACTATTTGGTAAGTGCTTTCTTCTTTCCCTGTCCATGTAAAGAAAAACAAAAAAATCTGAAAGGATTTGTTGAAATCCTGAAAGGATTTGATGAAAGAAAATCACAAAATGAACTAATTTAATACAATAAAGAAAATAAGCCAGTTTCTCCACCAGTGGTAGTAATGTTTTTAAGCTCCACACTATAAATTAAAACTTATTAAATAAGAATTACAATGTATAAATTAATGTTACCCTTTTGTGACTAAATAATTTAACAACAGTCCAAAGCAGCTTTAGCTATGAACATGCTTGAGGAAGGTTTTGTTCAAAAAAAGTGCACACATAGCATAGCACCAGAAATTACTAGCACATTAATAAGATACAAGACTATGCCCTCCCCCGTTATAATTCTTCAGGAAAAAGAAAATGTTATTCACTGCAATATTTATTTGCAAAAAAACAACCCCAACACAAGATACAGAGCAGAAGAAATCAAAGTCAGTCTTGAATAAATTAAAATCCTTTATTGCATTATTTCATTAAGTAAAATCAAGCAAGGAATGACAAGAGTAATTTGCCTAAAAGTATGATATAACTTATATACGTGGAACAAGTCTGTTTGCCACAGAGAAATTTTTAAAATGAAAATATTTTCAAACATGCTAGAATTTTATGACAAAAACTTCAAAATAAAGAGCAGAAAAGCTGCATATGCTACTTTCCTATTATTCTTTTCAGTTATTCATTATGCTTATATGCTCCCTAGGTCACTTTCCTAAACACTGGACTACTCAGCAGGTTGGAAAGACTGAAAAGATTTTCAGTTTTAAGTCAGTGGCATAAATTATTTTCTTGTTTTAACCCAGACTACTTGTTGACATGACTGATTCCAGAATGCACGACATTACTTTGTGACTTATTTTTGTAATCATCAAAATTGTTTTGCTGAACTTACCATAAGGCTGCTTTACAGGATGAACTGCCACAAGCCCCAAAGGCTGGTGAATGTTATAAATCATAACTGTTTGGTTTCCTCCATGCCATTTATTGGCCCTAATTACTCGGTTAGTATACCGGTCACTCCAGTAGACAAAATCTTCAAAGATAGTTAGAGCATGAGGATGTTGCAAAATCTGTGAGGCAAGAATGTTTATCACTTTAGTTCTGGAGATAGCAAAGCTTGCCCTGTAATAACAGAGCTAAGAAAAAATTTAAAAAAGAAAAAAAGAAAAAAAAAAAGAAAAGCTGCCGTCTCAAAAGCTATTTTTACCAAGTGAGTATGAAATATCATCTACTGCCTGAAAACAAGACACCAATTATGAGGGAGCTTTGCTTTTTTTTTTTTTTTTTTTTTTTTAAAAAAAAAGTATGTACAGCATGAGGAATTAATAAAGCAGTCCATCTGCAAGGCAGAACACAAGCAAACAAAAAATAAAGACTCAACTGCAGATTTTCATGGACACAAGTGAAAATGCAACAGTTATGAATCTGCAAAGACCTTTCAGTTCCAATAAGCTTCCCTATAATTTACCACATTGTTGAAGAAGATGGCTCAATGAAATTTCTGAAGATTGAGGCAAGAAATATAGCACCTGTCTCTAATGCACAAGAATTGCCTACTTAGCCAAAGATAAACAGATCCCAAGGTTCAATTCTTAAAAATACACATTGCTATTCATACCAGCTTATAAGAATAAGTAAACTGTGGTGTTGGTACACAGTCCTGTCAATTGACAGCAGTATGTTGCTTAAAGATAACCTGTCAGAAGTTCTCCCTTCACAACATTCCCAGCAAATAGCAAATCTTGTCAGCAGATCATCCTCTGTTGCTACAGTTATCACTGACAGAAGGTGGCAAGGAGAAGTCCTCCAGTTTTTTTACTGTATTAGAGTTAAAAGTGTCAGATGTCACTTTTAGACTTCACACGTAGACAGAACAAATGAGAATGATCTACAGCATTAAGCCTACACTTAGCTCTAGGTTCCACTGAAAATATAGAAGACTGAATGGTTTATGTAATTAATTTTCCAGCGGTAACAAGCAGCTAGAATACTTCACTACTTACTTCACCAGAACATTTTGAACAGAAAGGCTATGATTGTGCAAATACACTGTTGAGCAGTATCAGAAAGGAGATAGAAAAACACTGTTTATTAATTAACATCTTACCAAATCACTTGCAACCACCTGTTGTCTGTTGTTCCCATTGTAATCACAAAAGTCAATATAATCAAGATAAGCATCAGCAAAATAAAGAAGTTTATTTGGGTAGTCAATGCAGAGTCCATTGGGCCAGTAGATTTTACTGTTAATAATCACTGTTCGCAATTTGCCATCCATACTGGCTCTTTCAATTCGGGGGTTTTGGCCCCAGTCAGTCCAGAACATCACATGAGCACTGAAAAAAAGTAACTAAGAGTTACCAATCTGAAGAAAAAAAAAAAGAAAAAGAAAAAAGCAAGCTGCCTATAAAGCTTAATTAGCCAGAAAGATGTTTAAGAAATGTCCTAACCAATGATACTGAAATCACTCATATCAGCAATATGTTTATTCATGACATTACCATCATTTCTGCTGTAAAAACTTTTGAATGCTTCTGAGCTATTTTATTTTGTAAATAAGAACAGTAAAAACTCCATCATCATTACTGTTGACTGCAGATGTTGACTGTAAGGCGATTCCGTTTCCTAAATACTAACTTGATGCAGGCTTGTGCTTTCACAGGCACATTGATCGTGCTACCAGAGCTACAACTGAAGAGCTCCCCGTGGTTGGCAGTAAGCAGAGCTCAAGACACTGGAGAGTTCGTAAAACAGAAGTCTGCACACGAACAGTTCAAATTAGAAAATTTCACTTACTCTGTCGCTTCTCAAAACAGGAAGGTATTTTTTATGATGACATTAACACATGATGGCAATTATTTTTCATTTGGGGGTACAAGGGAACCTGTCCTTTGTCAGGTAGAAATAGGGAGGCATACCACCTTATGCTGAACATACACATATTTGTGGCACACCACTGACTAATGATATACCAAACTTTTAAATTTTAAGTTTGTACCTAGGAAGAAGATCTGTTTCTGAGGAAGGCAAATATCTTGTGAGAGCAAATCAGATTAACACATTACAAATAATGATCATTTGAAACTAAATATAAAATGAACACTCTAAACACATCATTTAAAAACTGTATTTTCAGTTTTCTCTTCCACTTGTCACTTATAATTACAATATCATTTGGGCATATCTCACGTTTGAATATTGTTACCATAAAATATGTATCTTCTCAAAACAAAATTAAAAAATCTTACTCAATTCTGGGATCTAACACTAGTCCCCTTGGGTTTGTTACATTTTCACTAATCAGCACAGTCCTGTGGCTCCCATCCATTTTAGAGACTTCAATTGTTTCCAGAACAAAGTCTGTCCAGTAAAGATTGCGTCCTACCCAATCTACTGCTATACTTTCAGTCACGGTGACACCACTGTCAAACACCTGTTTAATAACAGAAATTAAAAAACAAAACAAAACAAAACAAAACAAGAGAGAGACAGAGAAAAAAAAAACTAATTGTTATCACTTCTCACACTTTATTCCTCTGTAAATACAGAAAACAGGTAACCAAATTTCAACTATTTTCTAGGCCTTTTATACAGAATGAGCCTCAGAGTGCTTACTAGGCATATACCCACTCTTACTAACTTCAGCCGTACGGAAGAAGTATGCACTTACTATGGGGAAAATCAGTGTATAGTCTAGTGTTACAAAGCTTCCCAAAAACATTCAGGTTCCTTTTTCAAAAAGGTATAGGAAACATTAGCTTAGCATCTACTGAGTTGTTTCACTTAGCCTATCTCCCTTATTAATACTAGGGGTTTGCCTCTTCCCTTAAGTGGAGATACAACGTCTTCATTTTCTTTCAACAGTGAAGAGACAAGTGAAACTCAGTGAAACTTACTATTTTTTGGTCAGTCCCATTTTGGTAAGCACTCCAAATTTTATCCTGTGTTGTATCAGACCAAAAGATACGATCTGAGATCGAATCAAAATCAATAGCCACAATATTCCTCCCATCCCTAATGAGAGAATAGATACTGTGTGACTGAGAGGTGATGTTGTCCACAACAATTTGGTTACGACTTGCCACTAGCAAAAGAAGATTCCCAGACTCTGTTAAAGAAAAAGAAATTTAAATAAACCACTTAGCTATCCAACAGTAACTCTGTTAGACAAGTAACAATGAGTAATTGAGTAATTAGACATGGTTTTATAGCATCAAAGTAATTATATCTAGATGCATGGGTTGAAAGGGCAAATTCAAAATCAACTCCCAGGCAAATATATTTTATCATATCTATTCTGTCTATCCTGACACCTTGTGATCTACTCTGGCTTTCTTTTATTCTTCCTCCATCATTTATTCCAACAGACTCTCCTTCCAGTCTCACATCGGGACCTTGGTTTCTTAGTTTGCAGCTGAGCCAGAACTTACTTCCCTCGGAGCCACTTTCAACTCCCAATCCTGATTGAAACTGCAAAGGTCTCTGTCCCACAAGTTATCCTTCTCAGACTGCAGAACCTGAGGATACCCCTAAACCAGGAACCTTATGGTAACAATGGGTTTATGGTTCCTTTAGCACACTATGTAAGAGATACAGAACAACAGAGAACTGGGCTGGCTCAGTCTTCCTTGCTCTCCAGAATTAAGACCATAACACAGACATTAAACCCTCATGAAAAGAATGGGTTATAAACACTCTCAATGCACTGAACTTCATAAAAGAGCAGATTTTAACTTATGATTTAGAGGTGCCTGGCACTGCTTTTCTCCAGAATATATATATATATTTTTTTACCACTGTGGATTTAATTACCCAGGATGTTAATCTAAATACTGTATTTCAACAAAATAATATTTTCCAATTAACCCCGAGTGGCTGTTTTAATACTCAGGATAATCTGCTATGAATGACTGTCCGTGGCTGTTGCATCTCCTCTTTCAAAAGATAACAGTATGAAAATGAAAAAAAAGCCAGACACTTTCCAGCACCACTGCCATTTTTAAGGTTGACACCAGTGTTTCTCACCTGCCACTTTACAAATCCTCCCATTGGTTTCCAGAATGTATCCTTCATCACAGTAACATCGAAAAGATCCTCTCTCATTGTAACAGTGCTGACTACAAAAGCCTGGAGGGTCACATTCATTAATATCTTCACAGGTCTTAGAATCATTTGCCAGCTGGTATCCAACAGGACAAGTACATTGAGCTCCAAAGGGTCCTTGAATACATTCATGAGTGCAGCCTGCATTATTATCAGAGCAGCTCTCCTGATCTGAAATGGGGTTGGGAAAGGAAATAAGCATATAGTTAACAAAAGCTCTCTATGCTAGATTTATTACTTTGCTGTTGCATTGTACCAGCCTGAAATTGCTGTTAAAACATACTGCACAATTATCAGTTATGCATGTGAGACCAGGTTAAGGCTCTTATGCAAAATACAACATACACAATGCATATGAAGGCAGATAACACAGCATTTACCACTGAGTCCCAGAATTCACTTGCAACAATGTTTTCAAAAATACCTAGATTATACAAAATATTTGCTGTACAACTCCAGCACTAAAATCTTGTTAATACACAAAAATTTAAAATTACGTATAATCATACCTGGCTGGGGTTCATCTGAGAATGTGCATTGATTAAAGAAAGAAAGGAAAAAAGGAAGGGAAGAAAGAAAAAGGTTACGATTAAATCAAATAATAATCAACACAAATACAAATAGCTACAAATAGCTAGCTACAGATAAACTTTTAGATTTTTTTCATGATTTTTGAAATTAGAAATTTAAAAGAAAGTATTAAAGACTGAATCGTGTTTAATCTGAATGTAAGGCATACCCTTCTTTAGTGAATCTGTTTGAGAAAACAAACCTCATTCCAATACAGTTACATAAAAGCCACTGTAGTCAGTGAAATTCAGCATATAATTCAGAGCATAAGATTGGATATAGTTAATGAGTTCACCTTAGTCTCCCTTCACTGCAAGGAAGTTCCACTTCATAATTAGTGCTTTAATTACAGTAAGCTTACAATTTCTGCTAGAAATGTTGCTACAATAACAACACATGCTGAATATAACACAGCTGTTCTGTGGATACTCAGCATTTTATGCCTGTAGTCACAGCACACTGTAGGTTATTGTAGATGCTTGAACAGTAACTTACTGCACAGTGGGGATTCATCTGCTCCATTAGGACAATCAGCAGAATTATCACAAACTTTGCTCAGATTCACACAGATACTATGGCCGGGACATTGCCACTGCCAGCTGGGACACCGGAAGGGTTGCGTAGGACAATCTCTCTCATCACTCATATCCCTGCAGTCATTATCACCATCACAGATCCATGCTCGGTAGACACAGTTGCCATTGTCACAGCGGAAAAGGGATGGAGGACAGGTCCTGGCAGGACATCTGTGATGTTCATCTGAGCCATCTGCACAGTCAAGATGGCCATCACATTCCCAGCTAGCAGGAACACAATTGCCATCTGATTGGCACTGGAATTCATCCTGGTGGCACATTCCTGGTGGTCTTGTAGCTAAAACAGTGACATTCAAAAGTTCAGAAATGAGATGAAGAGCTACTGTTTTCAGTTCTTGTCTTGCCGAAGTAATTACAACACTATAAAAAGCTCTGTTGCTTTTAAATCGGGCCATAGAATCACAGTCATTCAATACACATGACATTCCAGAATTTGGACAAATTAGCTCCTACTTTATAATACAGTGAATAAAGCAATGTACGGTCATGCTTTAAACAAGCACACATTGCTATCTACGTATACTGACATCTATGAGCATACCCAACACAAGATGAAATTACTCTCTGAAATAAGTTCTCACCATCTCATATTGAAAAATACTAACTTAAATAACATCTCAAGGGAAAAAAATTTAATATAACTCTCACAGAGCAAAAGTTTCCAGCTTCCTAGCTGAACAGACTTTTAAGCCTTACTTTTAAACCTTATGGTGCCAAATAAAACAAAACTTGAGAGACAAATGGGATGCAGGCACCACTCTGCCAGAAAGCTACTCTTAAGCTGAAATCTACCGTGTGTGAAATTTTGGCTCACAAGAAGTATTTACAAGCAAGTTTATCTAAAAATAATTTTCAAGTTTGAATGACTGTATTTCAAATTATCTGACACAGGAGATAAACAAAATTTTGCACAGCATCACCTAATAAATCCCTATACTTACGGCAATCGGTCTCGTCTGAGTGATCATTACAGTCAAAAACACCATCACATTTGTAGTAAGAACTGATACACTGGTCTCCACTTACACATTTAAACTCTGTGCCACTGCAATTGTATACTAAAAAAGGAAAAAAGTTAGTTACTTTATTTTCAGAGCTAGACTGAGCCATATTTTTCTACAGGTGCACAAGGCAGCTATGGCACCAGAAGTCCAAGTCCCACTGAAGACTGCTATTTCTATGTGATACAGAAAATGACTTTGAAATCTACAGAAAACTTAGATTTCAGCCCTCTGAAACCACCCAAAAGATCAAAGAGCTTACAATAAATACTAAAACAAGTATCATTAACAGAGCTAATTTATGGATAGGTTTATTGCGCCTATCTGCTATCCTAGAGCTCGTAATATGAGGTCACCAAATACCCTTCGGGGCACAACAGTGAGAAACAATAAAGGGGTGGAACAAACAAAGATTGCACTTACTGCAGTCATGCTCATCAGCACCATCTACACAGTCTTTGTCCCCATCACAGACATAGTATGGGTCAATACAGCGATGGTCTGGACACTGAAACTGCCTGGGCTCACAAGTACCTGTGAAAGCTGTTAAGAATGACAGTAATCACAGCCTTGTTTATTTTCTCTCATCTGAAATCAGCATAATACAGGGACAGCATACAAACAATATCTCTAAATTGCAGTCTGCAATGAAGCAGCTAGTAAACATCCAAATGACAAGCACTGCTACATTAACATCAAGAAATTATTTATTCATATGTAGACTGTGTCTCATGCAAAAGAAACAGTCCATTCCAATTAGTGAGAAATAATGCAAACTGAAGTATATAGAGAAACTGTCTTACTTCACCGCAAAATAATTACAGATATTTCTGGACAAAAACATCAACATTAAATCAGTTGACCACACCATCAGTCATTACTGAAACTGCTCATTAAGTATGTATTTTGAATGTGTGAGATACAGATGCTTTTTGCTGTAAGTTGTAGCGGGTAACATTATGCAGCACCGTGATTACAACTCTCACAGCTGCACCGTCTTACTGCTTTTTAATTATTTTTCTTCATTCTACATGGCTCTGGTAGCTCGAAGTAGGTGAGTTTTCAACATCTTACATACTGAAAAACATGAATCCCACTTAGATATAGGATCTTTCTTCCTAATTTCATTTCTTATTTTTAGACTTGTGCATATAGACATACACAGATGTTCACTGTTTGTTTGTTTGTTTTAAAAAGACAATTCAGATACTCACTGCAATTCTTTTCATCTGACCCATCACCACAGTCGTTATCAGTATCACACAGCCAGATCCTAGGAATACATCTATTATTGTCACATGTAAACAGGGTCTCAGGGCATGATGTGGGTCCTTGTGTGGGACAACGCAATTCATCGCTGCCATCAAAACAGTCATTATGTTTATCACAACGCCACCGACCTGGAATACACTGTCCACTGGCACAGGTGAAAGCTGATGAGGAACAAGTATTGTCTAAACAAAAAAATAAAAGAGAACACTTATAATGATCTCCAAGACGTACCTTCCCTGCCAGCATGTTAAATATATTTAAATATTTACTATGCTTACAGAATATCTAAATTACACATCACATTCTGCAACGCACATTGCTTAAAATGAAAGTGTCAGTCATGCTGCAAAACTGTTGCAAAAGCAAACTAAATTCTTGTAAGCTTTTTTTTTTAAGCTGCATGAATAAAAGCTATAAATTACTAAGACTTCACATCGATCTAAAAAGAAAGCAAGAAAAATCATTCTTCAAGTAACCATTTGTTTCATACCTTCTTTTCCCAAAATAGATTTATTCTGCAATATCCTACTAATAAGAAACAGGTTTTATAACTTACTCATACTTGTTACTTCTGTGCAGTAAGGGGCACATTTAATTCTTACATGCTGTTCTCTTGTATGTAATTTAAAAGAATTAACTCTAAAGGGGCACCAAACATGCCACAAGAGCCAAGAACTCTTCAGTATTTTAAGAAATACAGATATTAATTTGTTTTCTCCATTTCACTTGATCAACAAAGTAACTTCTTTTTTTTGAGTCGTTTTACAGTAAAAGCAGGAAATGAATTCATTTAACTTTTAACTTATTTCACTGTGAAAAAGAAGATCTAACAAATAGTTCAGAAGTGCCCAAACATAATGAAAATCTGAAAAAAATCTGTTTAATTCAGCTATTAAATGAAATAAAGGCACTGCTTTAATCTCAGAAGTAGGCTAGGCAATGCACATGGTTTTGTTATTTTTCTTATAGTGCTCTTTTTAAGTGCCTTCAACTTTATTAAGACCTTTTGTCCTTCTTCAGGTATTAAAATAAAACAAGAAAGCGATATTTCAATGTCTCTCAAATTTACAAAAAACTAAGAATAAATGTAGACTTTTTCTTTAGAAGAGACATCTTTGTCACTCTTTAAATGAATGTTGAATCCAGTTAGACGTTAATATTTTCGTGCGTCTTCAACTGTCTGGTGTTGAATTCCCTATGAGTTATCCTGTTACTTTCAAAGTAACTTATCCTCCAAATTGGTCTCAGGATTTATCCACAAATAGAGCACTAAAAAAATCAGATTTTATTCCAAGGAAATCAGACTGACACATCAAACTTTCAGAAATAAAATCACCAAATACTGATAGTAAATTACAGGGAGCACTTACTTAAAGAACCACAGTTTTGTTCATCACTGTTATCATGGCAATCATCAATGCCATCACATTGATAGTATCGAGGCACACATCTTCCATTGTTGCAGGAAAACGAGTATGAGCCACACTGCAAAGTTGGTGGCTCATTAGATGGATCTTCAACACACGTCAGTTGATTTGAAGCCAGTTTCATGCCATATGGACAACCACAAACTCTCTGAAAATTTGGTACTGGGAAGCAGAAATGGCTGCAATCTCCATTAGGATTTGTTCCTCTGTTACAGTAGTTAGAGCCTTAAAGAGTGATAGAGAAGACACGTGTACAATATTGATAACAGCTTGGAAACTATTAAAAGCACAGAGTAATTGCAAAAGAATTTAAAATAAAAAAAAAGATGCTGTAGCAAAATCTGATTCTGCTTACAACGCCAAATAAGGTGAAGTTTACTGGCAGTAGCAGTAGTAAGTAAAAAATAAGCCCTTCATACCATACAGTCTTCAATGACACAAGTGTTAAAGAATACCAAAAACACGTTATACAATTTTGTCAAAGATTTCTGCTATTTTTTGGCAAATATCTGCAAATAAATACTCTACAGTAAATTTGGACTTTTGTCTCAGCAAGACTAGCATACCTGATCCAGTGTTTGGACGCCACGTAGGTAGTGTACCTTAGTGTGAGCTTTGATAAGCACACTGGGTGTTTTACCAAGATAACTATAATATCAAATCCTTATTTTAGATCATATAACTGCATATATTTGATGAATAAAAAGAAGAAAAAAAGACTTACGCACAGTGATTACTTTAAGAATAGTATTTTAATTCATATAATTTAATTTAGTTTAATTAGTTTATCCAATCCTTCAAAATAAGTAGTTTCGATTAACTAAAACCTCTACTGGGTAAAGATGAACACAAGACTGGAATTGGTGATAAGGTAACGCAAGATACAGTGAAATAAAAATTCCATTTGTCAAGATTATTAAATAAAGAAACAGATACAGTGGAGAAAAACCATATGCAGTCACAAGTCACTCAAATGTAGAACCTGAGACTGTATGTATCTGTGCTGTCTCTCTCACACATCACAGTTGTGACTAAGAAAGCCATTTTAAAATTGAGAACGAAACATCTTGAATTAATGTCCCAAAATATCTTCTCTTACTCTGTATTTCATATCTTCCACCTGTACAACAATGAGCTCACCTATTTGGGAATGTGCATCATATGCTTTAACATGCATAATGTTACTAATGCCCCTCCTAATAATAGTCATTTCTCCTCCATCAGACTTTCTCACTCGAACTATCCCACCAAGTCTCCAGTCAGTGAAATAGGCATAGCCTGTTTTGAAAGACATTTAACAAACAATAGTTACAGTGCAAAATGACATAAAATATCAAGCATCATAAGATAGAACTGCAAGGCATTTCATGTAAATGTAGTATTTTTTCATAATTATTTCCTGAAAAAGACTAACTGACTTACAAGTGAAGTTACGGTTACAGACAGATATAACTTAGGAAAAACAAAAAAAAACCTCTTAGATATTGCTTAATATAAGATATAACAGACTCTAGTGATACTTCAAATTCTAGGACAGTTTTTAAAATAATTCATTAAGACTTTTTTTTTGAAGGCGTTAGAATATTCTGAAGAGGTTTTTGCACAATATCCAATGGGGTTAGATGCTGTCATTCTTCTTTGCACACACCATGAATCCAATGAACTCTACATATAATTAATAAAATCCTGAAATTGCTATTCACCTCTAGAGAAGCATCCCAATTTGAAAGCTATAATTACCTGTTTTGTTGCACTAAGAGTTAGCTCACCTGAGTTAGATATCTAGTCAAAACACAATATTGCAAAAAACACTTGTTTTATCTCACATACTCACATATCATCACATGAACAGCATTTTGTGATATTAACAGGTAGTATTTTTCAATGCCGGACTTACCTCCAAAAATAGTAAGGCCAAATGGATGAGTCATCTGAGCAATACGTTCAAGAGTTCGTCTGTCCAGTCCATCAAAGGTGCTATGCTCAATTTTATCAAAAAAGGCATCCACCCAATACAGTCTTAGAGAACTAGAAATAATGAAAATGTTTTATCTCTTCAAATGACATGATATTTATTATGAAGTACTAACATTTAATAATAATCCTAAATCAGCCGAGATGATACAGTGGAGGAAAAGGGGTGTCGTCTGAGAAAACCTTGCATTTTACAGGTTTTTATATAGTTGGAAGAAAAACATCTTCAGCAAGGCAGTGCCAGCACTCATAACTCGACACAACTGTACTGTCCTTACCTCCAGTCAATGGCTAAGCCATTAGGCCAGCCTAGAGTTGTATTCACAATTGGTAAGCCATGTGATCCATCACTCCAGGCCCTCATAATTTTAGCAGGACGGAACCAATCCGTCCAGAATATATACCTGAAAGAACACACCAGAATACACATAAGCCCACACACTTAAGAACCTACCTTCCCCATACTTCAGAAAACCCACGTATTTTGCCATGGCCTCCCCCACTCCTCAGTCACTAGTGGAACTGACAATATTTACCCTATGTACAATGATTTCCAAAATGATCTTAAGTTATTTGTGCCTCTCAACATGATACTCAGCTATAACTGTTATGGATTTCATTTAACTAATTTACAAGGAGGAAGAATCAAGCAAAAGTGCATTCTTCAGGTAATACTTGCAAGTACACGAGAACATTACAAAGAATTTGCTCCTGATCCTTTTGACTTAGGCATACAGTCAAAGAGTTAAGGCTAGTGTTAAATAACTGAGATGCAGTGAACAAAAAAATTAGCTCGTTCACGTAATTTCAAGACAGAATCAAGGACTATTTACCCAATGACAGGATGAACCACTATTGATCGAGGATTATTTAAATTCTGAACAATAGCTCTTCTAGATTTATCTGCAAGCCTCATTACACTTATGCTTCTGTATCGAGGGTCTGTCCAGTATAGATTCTTTGAGATCCAGTCAAAGGCCAAGTCTTCAACACTTTCCACTCTATTAGCTGTCAGAATTTCTCTTCCTAGAATTTACAATAGATACAATCACTGTACGCATTCAAGATCAGAAGGAATAACCCAAAAGTATTATTCTATTCACAAAAATAATGGTTTCCCTGGTAAAAATGCTGCTTCTGTGCTACCTGTATAAAGCCCTTAGGGGTGCCCTTTGTTCCAGGTGAAGGAAGCATATGCTTCAGGAACACAAATCCAAAAGAGAAGAAACATAAAGACACGGCATTGTTTGGTCCCCAAGTTACATCTTAGTCAACAAACAGACGGTGAGCTGCAATTACCATTACTCTGATTCAAGGCATCATGCTAGTTCAGGAGGCTATATGCTGACTTACACACTCGATCTTTATTACAACTTTGATAGAAATAGTCTTCACACTATCACAAAAAGGACTCCCAAAATCTCATAACAGTAAAGATCCTTTTTTCTACTGTAGTTTTATGACAAACATCTTGCTCTTCAGATAGGAAAATAAAGAAGAGAAACTAAGTCTTATACTATAAAAAGATGTAATAGTCTGAGGATGACAAATGCAAGTTGTGACGAGTGCTAAAAACTCTTCATTTGCAAGCACACTCATCAAATCTGTTAAATTACTGAAGGCAATTTTTTATTGCTTTTATGAGCTTAACATGAGTTGAACCAATATCTGACAAACATTTTTCAGATTACTGAGATGATGCAGATTTTTCTGTATATGTCACAAATGAATTTTTTTGTGTGGCTTTTTAGGGATATACATAGTACTCTCCGTATCACAATTACACTGTATTTCTTAAGAATGATTCTCACCTGAACCATCAGTTTTCTGTTTATAGATCATGTCTCTACTTGTGTCTGAAAAAAAAATGGTGTCTTCTTGAGCCCAGAAGTCAATTCCAACAAAATATGAAGGGCTTCCTGTTACAGGTATGATCACATCTTCTTGGGTAGAAAGATTGAATGGGATTCCCCGCACTGCTAGCTGGGATGAAAATAGCAGAAACTGCTGCACAGCTGCAAAAGAGAAGAAAAGACACAGTCTTTACTTATTTACAGGGAAAGAAAATTGAGCATTAATTAATTAAAACTTTATTTTCCTTTCACAACACTAATATCATAGAAATTGAAGAAAGAAAGAATAAGAAAATATAAATTTAAATACATATAGACTTTAAAAAAATAAATAGAAGAAACTCAACATAGAATATTAAGTGATGTACCCAGGTCTTTTTTTTGCCTTGTTACTGTGGTCCTAATACACCTTTAAAAAAAAAAATCCCTATGGATACAGAAATCTCTCATGCTAATCTCTTTACAATCACATATATAAATAAAATGTTCGGGTTCTGTGGAATCACCATATAGTCAGGCCATATCTTGAGTAGCAAGAGGCATAACTACATGATTAAACAGCAGAAGTGGATAAAGATACACGGCTTAATTTGCCAATAACTACCAACAGAAAACATCCCAGTAACAATTAATCCAGAGAGCAGCAGTTTGCTGATGGAAGCTCACAACCCCAAGTCTGAATCTCTTGCCATAAAGGGAGAAGAACAACTTATCCTGTACAATACTTTAGTTATGCAGATCCCACATTCAAATAATGTAAAATCTCCAAGTGTCCATGCTTGACTTTAGGGCTAAGAGCTTAACCATACTGCTTTCTATACACATTCCACATCAAACTCTCTTAAAATGCTCACAGAAAGTGGTGAGCTTAAGTTCTTATGGCTTGAAATGAACCTCAGCAGCATACATTTGAAGTTGTCAACAAGAGTTGTAGCAGAAAAATACAAAGTCCTTGGCATACCGAAATCACATTGCTATTGAAGAGAAGGAACAGGTTCTATAAATATCTCTGGAGTTAATGGAACACTGCTATTTCCAACAATCACGTAGCCCCTTCTTACCAACACAATGCCGTCCATCTATGTGTAGATCAAAGCCCAGTATACATCTACAGCGATAACCTAGTCCATCATTATCTGTTTTGTGACTGAGAACACAGATCTGTTCACATCCTCCATTGTTATTTCCACAAGGATTTCTCACTGAAAAATAATATGTACAGGACTGTAACTTCATCTGGTATATATTTTTACTGTACTGAAAAATCAAAATAATGATTTTTAAAAGACTTTTTAATCATCCACAATAAAACATACGGACTTCATAGGAATTACAATACTTTGAAATTGTACAACACAAGCTCCACCCTGGAGTGCACTGAATTCCTGTAACAGCTAACCAGCTTTCAAGATACTCAATTCTGTACAGAAATGTTCAGTGTACAGCATGGAGGGCATCATCAAGGTGATAATTCTCCACAGAGATCTACTTCATAATTATAGCTCACAAAATTCATTCGTATTGGTAGCCTTTTCCAACTGTACCCTCACTGCGCTGTTTAGGAAGAGAAGTCCCAAATGCCAAAACTGTTCAAGTACAAGTTTGATTCCACCAAATACCAACACATTTTGCAATCCTCACTTTAAAATGTTGCATTTGACTCATCATATACAAGAGGAGCTCGATGAAAGTCCTGTATAGAAGAGTCCAATCCTAAAAATGTATGTTCCACAATTATTAGCTCTTTGTGTCAAAATGGAAGTCTTTCATTATTTTTAGCAACTTTTCATAAGATAATTCTTAAATTCTTGTCTTACCGTATGGCTGTCTGGCAGCATGATAAACTGTCACTCCATATGGTCTCAGTGAAGACTGGTAGATCACTTGGGGGTTCGATTCTGAAAACTTATTAGCTTTCACCACTGCCATTTTTGTCCAATCAGTGAAATAAACATTGTGTTCAAATAAAGTAATTCCATATGGATGAGGAATCAGCGAGCCTCCATGAGCTATTGTTCTCCTGTTATAAAGATTTTCTTTAATTAATTACAAAATACTATATAGAAAATATATTTTATTAACAGACTAAAAGGCACAGGATTATTCATTTATAATCCAGGTTTTGCTTCTACAGACATCAAAGCAGCCTAAATACAAACCAAAAAGACCAAATGAACTGAAGAGATTAAGTTAAATATACAGGATGTGTAAGCATAAAACAAATAAAAAATGATTTCTAAGAAAACATAGTGAGTAAAAAAAAGTAATCAAAATAATCAAAATCACTGAGAGAAAATTATAGAAAAAAACAAATAGAGGAAATTAAAGATCTCTGTAACATTAATATATTCAAGAAGCCTTGAATGTAAAAAATACATGTCCGCCACTGCTGCCCCCCCCCCCCCCCCCCTCCAAAAAAAATCCATGGACTGCATTAAAAAAAATAAATAAAAGAAAAGAAAAAGAGATACATGGAAAAGGGACCCAAACTAGGTACCTATGCAAAGCAAAAGAAAATCAAATGCTAACAAGTCATACATATTCTACACAAGAAATTCTGACAGTATTTTTCTGAATAAACATCAGGAGATAAGAAAGACATTAAAGTCCTCAAGTAACACATAACAGTAACACTGATATAATTTTTGTGTAGTCTTGTAGGAAGGTCTACAAATCATGTGAATTCTACAGTTCTATTCTAACAGCTTTCGGGATGATTTAAGTTCACGCTGCAGGCACAAGAGATGTGATCATGTAGAGAGTAAACCATACTTTAACATTGTCTGCAGATATGCTTTTTTACAGAATCGCAAAAACAACCTTGAAAAATACAGATTAAGGAGAAGATCAAAGATATCAGCATTATTTTTACAGTTTTCCAAGTAAAGGAATACACTGAGTAATAAACTTGCCAACGAAGCAGAGAACTGTTTTTCAAGTCACAGTGTAAGAGGTATGTTGAAAGTAAACAAGTTTTTCTTGTGATTGAGTAACAGAGACCAATCACAAATGCAGAGATAAGCAGGCTTCTAAACACTACACTCACAGCCCCATAGCAACAGAAAGTCTCCTTTCTTGCGTGCTGTGATAGTTTCCCTCACATCACAGTAGGGTGAGTGATGAATTTTAATTTCTGACAGCAAAAATTTATCAAGTGTAAAAAGAAAAAAATCCACAGGACTTAATACCCATTAAACAAAGTAGTGCTTTATAGATTAATAGTTTAAATAAATTCATTTATAAAAAAGATGTAAAGGATGATGATCTAAGACAATGTAGAGTATTCAAAAATAAAAAGCAGACACAAAAATGCATACTAGTAGTGATTGGCTATAAAAGTGTACATTGTAAAAAAAGCATAACAGGCATTCAGTGTAGAAACTGAACAAAGAACGACAGAGTAATTATGGATTTTCAACAAGTAGTACGATACCACAGGTATCAAGGAATGTCCCAGTCATTATTGTAATTTACACCGTTTATGAATCACTTTTTGTTAGACACTGGAATACTTAGAACTAGCTAGAAAATAATCCATGTATCCGTAACCTCCAAGGGGTAATATTTCTCTTACCTTTGAAGCCCATCATAAGTTACAGTCTCAATGTAATCAAATCGGCTGTCAACCCAGTATAGCCTTTTTGATACAATATCCAGAGTTATTCCAGCAGGCCAGCCTAATTTTGTTTTTATCAAATCCTGACGGTTTGTGCCATCCATGAAGGCTCTTTCCACTTTAGGATCACCAGACAGACTATCCCAGTCAGAGAAAAATAAGTAACTATAAAGAAAAAATAAAGTCCCGTGTTTCCTTTAGATTTTACACGCACATACAAAAAAAATCTACACAGAATTTAGAAACTATGACATCATTTAAATCCAGCACTCTTTCAGGTCAGCTTAACTCACACTTGGCATATAGTAAAAACACACTTCATAATTTCTGCCCAAGAACTGACAAGCATTTTCTTTTACACAACAAATCCAGAAAAAAATATACTTTCACCCAAAACAACTCAGAATTACTGAGTACCCTTCATAAAATACAGACTTAAGGATGCTGCCAGAAATTAATCACTGACAAATCCAAGCTACTGAAGCACGCTGATCTGGGAGGCAGTAGTTTCCCCAGCTTTACCCCACTGCTTTATTTCAGATAATATGAGGTCTGTGGATGCTAACAAGAATTTACAGATAACTTCTAGTCTTGGAAGTCATTCCACTATCCGCCTGTTTTCATGGCTGCAACAAAACAGATTCCATGCATTGGGAACAAAAGCAATGTACAGCTCTCCCATAATAATGTAACATGTACAAGAGTTGAGGATAGAATGTAAGTGTATAAACCATTTTAGATAAGATTCTAAAATAACCAGCCTGGGCTGTTTGTCAGTTCTCCACCTTTTCATGTGAGTAAGAGGAATTTCTGGTATCTTCCACCATTAGCTGACACTTAGCACTTACCCAACAGTTGGATCGAGTGCTATTCCTCTAGGATTTCCCAGATTTTCAGCAATAAGAGTGATACGGTTTGTTCCATCCAAGTTAACCATATCTATTCTGTTCACACTGGTCTCAACCACATACAGTTTATTGTTAACCCAATCCACTGCTAGATTTTCAGGAGTGTCAACCGAAACGTTTAAAACTTCTTGGAAATCAGAGCCATCAATATTAATAGAAAAAACCTGAAAACAATACAAATATTATCAATAATGTTATGCTTCGCTAATTGTGAGTCACATGGCACCTATCATCACACCAAGTACAGACTGGCCACTAGATATTAACCAAGACACATACTAAGCTATGTCCAGCTTTGGGTTTTGGGGGGGTGTTGTTTGTTTTTTGTATGTGTGTGTGTTTGTTGTTATTGTTGTCCGTTTCTTTAAAAAAAAAAAAACAAGCAAAAATTACAGGAAGCTTGATCTTCAAGTATCATTTCAACAAAATGAAGTAAGAAACAAGCTAAAACAGCTTTATGCTTTAGCAAGTTGCATGGCAAGTTGCTGGATTAAAAAAATACATGAGGGAAATGGGAAATGCACCTGGCTTTCCTGGAATCAAGCAAAAACTATTATTTCCAATTTAATTGAAACAAATTAACAAGCTTTAGCAAAGCTTTCATCACAGACCAGAAACAAGAGGGGGAGCCCCTACTGTACCAACTATCAGAGGGAAATGACAAGGAAAGTATATTTTGCCAAGTGAAGAAACCAAGGGAAATTTCTCTATCCTGACAAAAAGGAGAAGATTCAATTAGGCTTCTATCTTTATTTTATATAAGCCTAACTTTAACAGCATCGTGCTCAAGAAACATCATCATCACGTAATACTAACAAGCAAACCAATAGTAGCCTATTGTGCTCTTTATAAATCTTGTATACAGAAGAGCTTAGGGCATTAGGTTAGCCAGCAATATGCTAAGTGAGATAAAGGTGGCACTGCATACAAGCCACGGTTTCCTGTTTTAGTTCATGTCCATCTTTGAAAAGAAAAAAAAATGACAATCCCCTAGTAATACTTACCATATGAGCCATCAAGGTGGAAATACACATCACATGACAATATTCTTAACGTCAATGTTCTCTTCAGATCATTCTAGTTAGGACTTAACTAGATTAATTAATCCTAATGAATTACTTAGGATTAACTATATATGGGTAGCTAAAAAGACAGTCCTTGCCATGTGCAGTATACACAGTGGGAAAAAACATATTACCTTGTGTTGTAACTTTTACAGAGATGAGATAAATCTCGCATCTCATGAAAGTTCACACTTGACCCTGACTTACTACAGCTACTTTCAATGCAATCTCAGCAACGTGATCTCAACACAGTGAAAATGGTAATGCCAGAATTGTGAACAATCCAAAAGGTGCATGCACAACTCCTCTTGTACAACTTGAAGCCTGCTTTCCAACAGAACTAATGTGGCACAGTAGTGGAAATGCTAGTTTTCAGCTATGAGTATAGATTCATAATGACAGTGATACCAAATCGATCCATACATGGTGTCAGCAGGAGGCAGACCATGAATTATGCTAATTGGCTGTCAACACAAGGATGGGCATTCTAGAGTTTTAACACTTGATCTAAATCTTTTTTTTTTTTTTTTTCTAGGATATGCCTGGAGAAGAACGAATGAGGGTGATGTCTAACTTTCTCAAGGATCTCCAGACACTTGTGTTTTTTGCATGTTTTTTTTTTTTTTAATGCCTCTATTTTCTCTACCTTGAAGCTAAAATATTTCCTCCTCAAAAAAATGTAACAAGACACTGGCTCATTACACCAAACACTGTCAATATTTTTTATCAAAGCTCAATTACTGTGCTATTTGAAGCATATGAAGAAATTCGATTTTTATCATCTTGGAAGGCACAAAGCTTTTACATTTAAAATGATCTTGTTTCAAAAAATTACCAAGAAAATTTTGTTCAGTTTTGAAAGAATGTCTACTATTTCTCTTAATTAGTTTTTTGGACTCCATCTCAAATAAAATTAAAAGTTGCTCAAGACATTCCCATACAATAGGATTCTTTGTTTAATACGTCAAATGTAATAGTATAGCTTGAAAAATGCAGCCATTAACATAAAACTTTTCAAGGAGCTTTTTTGTCAGAAGACAAAAGTACAGCCAAATTTTGCTCTCAAAAATGAAAGCCTATCAACACATTCTGCCCCTGGCTGTTCTCTACTTCCACACACAAAAATTTATTCTTCTTGCAATTTCTACTCACCTTATCTTGCACTGTATCAGTCCAAAAGATCCTATGCAGGTAAAAGTGGAAGTCTACACCAACTGCAACTCCACGATTCTGCGACTGTACCAGAGTACGAAAATTTCTTCCATGAAGATCTCCAATCAGTAAATCACGGCCATTGGAAAAAATAATTGATGCAACACCAGCTGAAAGCAGAGGTGATAAATACATGACTATTCTGTGACCAAGCTATCTGAAAAAAGTCACTGAAATATATTCATACAGGTCATACACAGCAGACACAAAGGTTTAAACAGATATTCAGGCTACAACCTGTGTATGTGGTTCTATGCGACTTCTTACCTGCTTTGATTTGCCCTTGTTTTCAGCCTTGGAACAAATCAGGCAGCAGTATATTTTAAAACTCAGTCAGGTAAGACTTTGACAAAATTTCTGTGTATCATAAATCCTAAAGACTTTTTTCTATTTTTCTATCTCCTTTAATCAAAGTATAAACTCTCTCTAGTTTTCTTCTGCATGATGGGATTCAGATATTCTTTAATTCTAGGAGGCAGGCCATTGTCCCTAGTTTTTCATGAACTGTTCTCTTCATCTTCTTTATTCTCTCATCTCCTCAGAAGAGGCAGCCAGCTCCACAAGCCTACAGGTGCCAGCAAACACAGTCTCTTGTTGTCTTCTGATGATGTACTGAATGCTGTCTCAACCTTAAAACTCTAAGTTCGAAGTTAAGATCAGATTTTCATGTGATGCTTTGCAGACTAACCCATTTTTAGTTCTACTAGTCCAACAAAAGCAAGAGACTCTTGCACTTCTATATACTAACCTGAAGTGTTGGCTCTACAGTGTCGATGATGCTCTAGAAAATAACCTTCCACGCAGTGGCACTGGTGATGTCCCACACGATCTTCACATAATTGGTCACAGACACCCCACATTTTGCAGTCATCAAAATCTGTTAAGTGAATGAGGCGTAATTAAAAAAAAAAAAGTTATGTATCAGAGGTATGTCATCACACTTGGGAAGCTTCAAGTTTGCCCTCTCTACTTGCTTTCCATCTGTTTGCAAAACGATGGCATGGAAGAAGATTTTCTATGTTTTTTTCATAAATCTTCAATATTCTATTTCTAGATAAGAGAAAAACTGGAGTTTGCTACCTACTGACCTACACAATAAAAAACTGCCATGCAAAGAGGAAAAATCACTGGAAGTGAAGGTATGACACTGTGTACTTTCCACAACACGAGTACGTCTAAACAGTATTCTTGCTGCAACAGATGCAAGTACATTATGTACACACATGCACACCTGGACGGATTTAAGGCAAGTTGTATGTTAACATTAAGGTAGTACTGAGCTCAAGTCAATAAGGCAATGTTTACTGGGTCAGACACTTGCCAGAACAGGTGTCTGATTTCCAGTTAAGAGGTGGATGCACATCAGAACCGAACAGTAAAAAGAACAAAGAAAGAAGTTCTTGGCATGTAAAATAGTATGCAGGTAGGACGTGCACCAAGGACAACCCAGCAAGTTCTCAAGATGTGCTCTAAAAAGCAATTACTAGGATTGCTGCAAAATCTTTTATTTCCAAAACTGTAAAATATCTACCTAACTTCCTAAATATCTAATTTTATCTGTCATTATCTGAAGTCCAGAAGATTTCTAATACTACTTAACAAATAGTTTTGAGACATTAAAAGCCAGATCTCCTTCACTTGTAAACCTATGAGCAGCACCTGTATATTACAGTGCTAGAATTCCTCCATTAGGCCAAAAATGAATAAATAAAGGGAGAAAATTAAATCTCAAATGTTCTTCCTACTGGAACTTGTATTTTTAAACATTTGTTGATACATAAGTACAAGTGAAGTATTTCTTACATAGTACATTTCGGTACTGAAAAAAATGTTGTAAGTAGCTTTCCAGCTTCCAGATGTGTTAAAATCATCAGTCTACAATGAGTCAGAAGCAAATGGAGACAAATTAAAAATTACAGTTTAATTATTTTGGCCATAAACCAGTTACACTGATTTAAACTAAGATCTGGAATTATACACTAATGACTGTGGGCTCTTCCCCCATGACAACTGCTTCTCTCACTACACACACGACTACATCTCTGCAAACTAAAATACACTGATTAAAATTTCAAAGCTAGAATCAGACAGCCAAGTTTACAGAGTAGTCAAGTACAACAAAAGACTCACTAAAACTACGCCAGGTTTGCAAACATGTCCTTCGCTTATTTTCTACATAAGAGTGAAAAAGTAAATTTTTTACCTGGAGACATTGTACTGATTCCTCCATTCTACTAAGAGCAACCCTGCTGCCTCTGCAGCTCATACATCCCTAGGTTACACAGTATTCTTGACAGTACAAAAATCTCATAAGAAACTGCGTGCTCAGAATACTTTTAATAGCACAAGAACCACAGCTTGAGTTTAAAACTTATAAAATAATCTGGTTCAGCATATACAACTAGGCTAAGCATCATGATCCTAAAGTTACTGTATTTCCGTTTGCTGACATAAATCATATATACCACCAGCAACTTATACTTCCAATTTACAGCAGGTACAGAAGTGTAGCACCAAAATAATTCCTTTATGTTCTTACAAAAATTCCTTATTTTCATGTAAATACATATACCAACATGTCATAGGAGTTACAGCCACTTAATAGCACAAATATATGCACTCTTTCCATTTTGAATTAAAATGATCTACTGTCTTCTTATCTCACTTTCACTGTCACTTTCAAAAACTTTCAACATCATTACCTGATTTTCTAGGCATACTTCACACCTCACACCTCTGGAGCAGAAAAACTCTCCTCAGCTAATCACTAAAAGACTTCTAACACAATTTGATAATAAAACAGACATCCAAGTGTAAATCCTCTTAAACATCATCAAGCTCTTACTATGTCTTACTGAATTAGAGCTTCACAATATCTCTCTGATTTCTTTCTTTGTCATCATACAACTGTTGCACCGAGTTATTTATTCTTTTGCTAACTTCAGAGATTTTCTATTTGTCAGGATATCCATCCTCTTGAAACTTAGCTTCCTGGAATCCAGGCTTTCCTAATGAGCTATGAGAAGGTACTAGGTATCTGCAACACTGCATTTCACTTACCAATACAAGTACGACTGTCATTACTACTTATTGTATATCCCGCAGGGCAATAACACATCCCTCCTGAAGGAGAAGAATGACAGCGATACTGACAGCTCAGAGCAGCACAGTGAGATATGTCTAAAAAAGGAAATGAAATAGTTCAGAAATACAATTACAGCTATTACTGGCAGAACAGTTCTGCCCTATTGACAGTTACATAGCTGTAGCCTTTTCTATGATGAGTCTCCAGTTTCAGAAACAGCTTCTTAAAACAAGTATGCACCAGAAAAGACGTCTAAAGTTCCATAAAACATAACCTCACCATTTGCTGTTTTATGCTGAAAAAATAACCTCTTGCATTATATTAAGATGACTATCCATGCTACTCCAATATATCAGAATATATTGTTTGGACTTCGTCCATGGAAGAACACTTTATCCTTTTCTTCTCTTCCTTCCTTCTTTCAAAAGAAGGATTCCTTAATCGCTCTTCCCTTTCTTTGTAACTGAAAGCAGTGATAGGTAATGAAATTACGATTGTAAAGCATTTGCTGACTACTTCCTACTCTTTTCATCTTCCTTTTCCTTATGGATCTTGATAAACTTCTCATTTTGCAGCCTACATCGAATATTACATCAATCAGCAAAGCAAGAGGTACTATTCTATGACAAAGTTTGAAGTCCCTGGTTTTTTTTCCTGTCCTCATATTCCAAAAGGTACTGGGTTTTATCAAAATGATGAGGAAATTGAAAACGTAAAATACCCTGGATCCTGAATCCCAGAGGGAATCAATGTTCATAAGAGTGAAATTAATAGAAAAACTATGCAAGCTCATTGTTTCCAGGAGACAAAACCCAGTAACAACACCAACTGAAGAACCAGATACTCCAGGTGAAAAGATATTTTTGAAAACCCTAATCCAAGTGACTTAACCAAGGCTCAGAATACACTGCTTCAGTCCCATGTTCCTATCATTGCTCAGTTTTCTTTCTTGCTTTTGAAAAGGGAAAAACACAGATATTTTATCTAAAAAGGCATATAGCACACTTTTCCATGCCTTCCTGAATGCACTTCAGAATATGAAGAGGGAATTAAAATTCCCACCTATGAAATTTCACGTATGTCCTTTTTAGACCACCCAATCAACACAGTGCAAAATAGATTACAAAATTTCTGTGTTGTTCAATATATAAAATGTGAATGTAAAAATATATCTATTCTGATGTTTCTGCTGTTCTTATGTACTTATGATTCTAATACATACTGCAATGTCTGCCTGCCGTGATGTTTGTTTCATCTTCTCCTGCGGGGCAGTCTGCAGTTCCATCACACACTTTCCCTATTGGAATGCAATGTCCTGACTCAGGGCAGGCCCACTCTCCTGGGTAACATTCATGATAATTACTTTCTGTGGAAAAGAGAAACAAGTATAACTGAGGGTATGTTTCAAATACACCTAAAAATCTCTTCCCTAAAAGATGCCCAAAGCATCTACACTCCTCATTATTAAGTCTACATTTTACAATTCTTTGTGAGAACTTACCTTTTGACTACAGTAGTCAACAAAAACATCAATAGTCAAGCAAGATTAAACTACTCTTGCTATATGCTAAATTTAATTTGCACCATATTTTGTATCACACAGCAGTATCTGTGTCACACAGCAGTAACTCTCACATACACAACAATGTACTAAAGGTTGTACAAGTTTAAAAAAAAAAAAAAAAAAAAAAAAAAAAAAGGATGTAAAGATGGAATTTAAAGTTTTTCACAGAATGTAAATGGATTCAGAACATCCTGACAGGTCAAAACTCTGAAGTAGTAACTTGGTGAGGTCTTCCTCTGAAAATATCATTGTTAGCAATAAGCATTACTACATACCACATCCTCTTTCATCTTCATTATCCTCACAGTCATCATCTCCATCACATATCCAGCTCTGATGAATGCAGCGGCCACTTGGACAAGTGAAGAAGTTGCCTCTACAAGTTGCATAAGCTAAGGAAAGAAACACTAGTAAATCAAACTACTCTCAGTGACAAAAAGGTTAGCAATAGAAGTCCTGTCTGGTAGATAAACTGTCATTTATACCTGTAAAATCGAGCTAGTTCCATAACTTACATATATCGTAAACAGTGCTGCTTTGTTCTGGTTTGCTCTTTATTTTAAAATACTAGAGTGCTAAAAAAGAGTGCTAGGCTTTTTTCTCGTTTTGTTTTTAACAGAAATGAGAAGAAATGCTGAATTTCTCAATTAATTTTGCAACAAGATGAACAGCACCTTGTTACTAGTATTTTTGAATGAGGATTTAAAAAGGAGTTGCTACTGAAGACATTAGAGATAAAGATACTTGTATTCAGAGAAAAGAGTAAAAAACTCCATGAACATTTATGCCTAAAGCTCTCCAAGGTGATAAGCTTTCCCTGCTAAGAGTTCCTAAATATCTGTGGGACTTCAAATGACAAACACTGCCAAATAGACATCAGAAAAATATCAGAGGGGTGGGGAGGATTGAAAAAAATTGTGCTAGAAACTAAATAACCAACAATGTGGCTTTCCAAAAGCACAGGAGAAAAAAAGTAACTCAGATCCTAGAATCAATGGGGAACTCTGTAAATATATAGATCAGACATTTGACAGTTCTACAACCATGATGCTAGTTGGAGATGTAAAATCCTGGGATATCAGACCACAATATAGGAATGAGCAAGAAATTCCCAGAAAGAGAACTGCCAATTAAGCAACTGATATGAACATCCAACAAACTTCTGATGGTCACATGGCCAAGCAACTTACTTTTGGTTTTCTTCTGTGCACTTTAACTAACTCTCAGTAAATTGTTTAGAGAAAGAGAAAAAAAAACCCTCATACTGCAAGAGTTTTCATCACTCCTGTCTCCACAGTCATCATCATGGTCACACATAAAGGCTTGTGGGATACATTCTCCATTAGCACACTGAAACTGTGTACTGGTGCATCCATGTGCTGAAAGACATTTCAGAATAAAAAGACACACAAGAAATCTGTCAGAAAATTAAATCGTATACTTTATATCTCTTTTAAAGGTAATTTGTTAAGGATCTCTCTGCATGTGGCACTTACTGCAATTAGCTTCATCAGAAGTATCTCTGCAATCAACTTTGCCATCACATCGTTGGCTGGCATTAAAACATGCTCCATTTGCACAGGATAACTGTTCACATCTTGGGTAACCTGCAATAAGAGATCCCTCAGTTTTAGTGTGGGTATTGGACTGTAGAGTATAATGAGTCATATATACCCTGTCACCAGAACATCCTGAGTTACTAGAAAACAAAGCAGGAATACACAATTTGCCATGTTACTACTGAAAAACAATCTGTTTATTCAGTATATTGTCTTCTCTAACAATTATTTAAGAATATTCTCTAGGCAGTTAGTAAAGGTCCTTGCAAGAGATTAGGCATATTTCGATTCATACTCCTGAACTTCCAAACACAGCATCTGCGTTCTAGGTACAGCCCGCAGTAGTTGGGATAACCATTCTAAAGCAGCAAAGAAAGAATAAATGAGTAAGAAATACTGGCTTCTGTGAGGGCCAAACACTATGCTACACTTTCATACAAATCCACACAGCTTCCAGTTAAGGCCCCTGTGGAAGTAACACAGAAGAATCATCTACATCATTGTTTGTGGTGAATTCTGTCAGTGTTGAGATAACAAAGGAAGAAAAACAGAACTTCAAGAAATTAATAGGATATCTGAAAATCAAGGAGCAACTCTTGTCTATCTTGCACGGGGAAGTCCAGAAGCAGAAACCTTTCTGTCCTTACTGCTGATAGGGAACATTTGCAAGCTGAAAATACATCCACACAAAAACACAAACAGGAAACAGTAGTAACTGATATTGGGTTCATCAGACGCCCACTTTTGTCACACAGTTGGTATGTATAATTACCTTCTGCCAATCTAACCCATGTTCCAAGAACGAGAACGGAAAAGAAGGGTAATTTCCTACTTCTAGATGATGCTGTTTCTTGTGTTTTGTTGGTTTTTTTTAAACCACAGCAATACTTGAAAAATTTTACAAAACAAAACTAAGACCTTTTGACTGCCATGAGTCACCACCTTACAGTGATCATATTGCCCTACAGCAAACACAGACATCAGGAGGAGGACTTACCCCAAGATCAAGACTCCACTGAGCTACAATGAACGACGCAGAGTCCACAGCAACAATGCTCTGAGAACTGGCAGACCAACAAGAGCTTTGTTCCTGGCCTTAATTCCTGCTTTTGATCACTGCCATTCTAGTCCTTGGCTGCCATCTCCTTTTACTTCAGTTTTTTTTCTTCCCTTACCTGAACTCTCCCTAGTGTAGACATTTCCTTCAGTCTCATTCTGTAGCTGCTACTTATAATTTGTCCAATGTCAAGAACATTAGCCTCTTATCATGGCCCTTTTCTTCTTCTTTGGTCTATTATCTGTTCATCCTCTACGATCTCTTCAGTTCTTGATTTCTGCTCACCTTTGCAAATCCATCCCAGACCTAACTCCTCACTCCCTGACCACAACAGCTATTTAGTGTAGGAAACAAGAAGCAGGAACTAACTGGTTAAGGCAGCTGACCCATGGCAGCAATTCAACATCCAAATTAGAAGTGAGAATCTAGAATTTCTAAGCCCACATTCAGTTCATCAGCTTCAACAAATACATCACTAAAAGACTCCTCCTTTCTTTCTTATGGTCTCAGCACAGTGCTTAGTCACCAGAGTTATATCCAGGAAGTTTGTTCTGCCAGTCACCACAGAGAAAAATGGATAGGGCAGGGACTTTCATTTTTCAAATGCAAAGCTGAGGTAGGAGACAGAATTCTAGCTTTATTTGCAAGAAATAAAGGTAACTAATACAGTAAAATGATATCAGTACTGCTGCTTTTAAAAACAAGTATTTGTGACAACAAATAGTCTTCCATTTCACTGTGCATTTTTTAAGTTTCAAAATGAAAGTCTTTGCTAGCTGTCGAATAGCACAACAGCTGGAAAAATGACCCAATATACATATGCAACAGATTAAAAGAAATGCATTCATTTTATGAAATTAAAACAGCTTCAATGCACTAATTACATGACCCATAGCTGAAACATTGTTCTGATGTTTATCACAGCCTCTGCCTGGGTAGTTTCCCCTTGCTGTTAATCCCATTAGCAGCAAAACGGACTAAGGTTTTGAATCCCCTTGTTCTGTTTTATTACTTGTTTAACTGTTGAGTTACTTCACATTGGTGACATTTAGCATTTGACTAGCTTCTTAAATGATGTAATTTATTCAGAATAAAACTTTATCTTATTTACAATTTAAATTTGCTTCCAGAAAGTTCACTGAGTGCAAAGCATGAGTAACTAGAAATGAATTTACATTCCGTGATTATTTGTGAAATAACAGAACCAATTTTAAACAATTTTTTTATTTCACAGTTCCGGGATGTTTCATTTCTATTTATGAAATCCTTTAGTGTAAACTAATTGATAAGGAAAAAGATTAAGGAAAAGGCTGAACTAGCAAAATATCTGTTTCTATCAGATAGTATAGAAAAAGAAGTGGATGGTAACAGCAGAAGAAGTTAATTTCAAAGAAAGTAGAATAGCAAAACCTAGCACTAATTAATTCCTACTGTATAGTTAATCACAAAGTCACCTAACAATTCGTTTTGTCTTAAGGCTTCTGTTTAAAGTATTAAGCTTTACAAAGATAGAAAGACAATAAAATTATCCAGCCTTCCTGGAAAGGTCTTGTCATTACAATCCTCAAGATTTTCCTGTCTTCAGCATCATCACATTTCTTCAGATTAGTCCAACACTCCTATTTTTAATGTTCCAAGTCACAGTCATTCTTCTGTCTTAGAGGGACTGTCAACACATATTCTCATAAACCAAAGTAGTGGCTGTTGAATGATACGAAGCATTTTCTCTTCCTGGCGCTAAATATGCTGCCTTCACAACAGTCATGGGGCCTACTGGCCGAGACAGCAGTAGAGCAGCACTGTTAAGGTATCTGGAGAACTCTTTCCAAACTGCCTTTTAAATTATTCAGTTTACAATGTTAAGTGTGAAATAAAATGTGCACTTCAGCTTTCACTTATCAATGCGGCACCTACTCCAAAGGAAGAATCCTGACTATTGTCTTTTGGAAATCTCCTAGTCTGTTACAAATTTAGCAATTTCAGATAATTACATCATGTAACTTGTCTATTCCATACCTTATTCAAGGACTATTCGGAGACTTTTCAGAAATATGAGCAGTTCCTCTTTTCAAATTCACACTTAGTGCATTTTTCAAACAAGTATCTTCAATAATTTGTGTCACACATTCCCTAAATTAAGTTACAAAATTATTTTGCTCTGAATTTTAAGAGAGAAACGGCAACCCATAGAGATAGAAGATATTCTATCAGCAATTATATGTAGTACTTTGGATCTCGGCTTTTAGTAATTTGCATTGGTGACTTTAAAATTGTCTATGGGTCTATGACATGGTAAGTTCCAAGCCTGTTGCCTCAGCAACCTTCTACTCCGAACTATGATTCATTTCTAAATCACCTTTCTCTTTAAAGAGCAAACATTTTATCCACTTGTGAGTCAGGGATAAAATGCGCTAGCAGTTGGATGGCCAAGAAATACGCTGGTTTTTCCCTACAGAGAATATGCCTCTTTTCCTCTAAGTAGAATCATTAAGATTTTGTTTCCTACTTCTTCACCTATTCCTTTACATCATAACCCCCATTTTTCCCACCTAGATGTTCTCAATGAAGTTTAGAGCTTGGCCTTTTTCTCAGCAGCATACAAACTTGCATTAGCTGAAAGAGTAGCTCTTACCTTACATGTCACTCATGTGACATGTCAAGTTTTTCCTTAATATCAATAATGTAACAAATTGCTATTACAAACCCAGCTATCAGATGACAGTATCTATGAAAAATGTACCCTCTATTCAGTGGCCAGCTATACTTTTCATCAGTGTTCAACTTAAACCAATACCTAGTGAGGCCGTCACCAGACAGTCAGGTAGTCTCAATTCTGACCACATCAGACTGAAAAACCTACTTGTCTGTTTCTGTTCTGTTGGCATAATATGAACATCTTTCTTAATATAGTACAATCCAACCTTGCTTCACCTCCATGGGAAATGCAGTTTTAGAAAAGGATTAAAGTCCCTCAAAGAAATTATTTGGGATGAAATTCTACCCTTCTATGCAGGTTATAGTTACCACTGATTTCTGTTAAGAATACTCAAAGAGAATATGAAAAAAAAAAAATGCAAAATTCACTCTGAGTCTCCTAAGGCTTTGAGCCACTTAAGCACAGTTGTTCTTCCCCACTGCAACACTTCACTATTTCTTAGACAATGACAAACAAAAGGTCTCAACCCCAAGGTAGCAGTCAGCATCTCAGTTCTGCAATAATGAAACTGTATCAGAATATCAGCTCTAATACACAAAAGAATCTGCAATGAAACTCTAATAACAAGAAGCATATTGTGGTCATCCTGTCCATCAACAAGCCCTTTAATCTTACAAATTGATTAAAATGCCAGAGGGAGATGAGATGAAACTAGATAAAGTGCTAAAACCAAAGACTCACGGCAGTCTCTTTCATCTGTTCCATCAGTGCAGTCCTTTACTCGATCACACCTGTATGCACTTGGGATACACTGTCCATTTGAACATGTGAACTGCTGGCTTGAGCATGTCCGTCCCGCTGCAAGAAACAGGCACTCGTGAGGTTTTTTTCCTTCAATTGGGATTTTTTTTTAAGGTGGAAAACTACTTTCTCTCTTCATTTCTTAATTACTCCACCTTTCTCACAAACATTAGCATATCATTTTTTCTTTGCATACTCATGGAGATTCAACACTTAAAAAGCAGATAACATAACTCTATTAGGCCTTCTGGAGCCTGCATAGTCACTGTTTCACTCCACCAGCAGGGCTGACCTCTAGGTTAAAAATTACCTCCTTCTAAGTGCTCTGCCTAAAAGATTTAATTACTGATTCTTTCTTCTTGAAGTTTTTCTCTGTCATTTTGTTTACTGGCTCAAAATCTGTCAGTACATGTCAGTTATTCAGTGAACAACCCAAGCATAATGAATTAACAAGCACTCTTCTATACTGCCACTATGTAAAACAGCAGAGCAAAACAGGCACTTCTCTGTAATACAATCAGACCTCAATATTCAGGTATACTTTATATTCACAACTAATAAAGGACCAAGAATTATTATTTCAATTCTCAAGACAACTATGAAAGTGGAAGGCAACCACATAGAACCGTACAATTCTACTTTGATCCTACTGGGGCTAAATCACAATCTCTGTTCCTCTTAGGCAAATTAATTGGGTCTATGAAGATACAGCTGAAAAATGACTTTTCCTCCCTTCCACCATCTGCACTTCTGTTCTTTTAAACTCATGTCTCAAGATAACACCAGTCAATATGCTGGCACCTAGTCTGTTGCTTTACAGGGGTCTATTCCTTCTCCTGTCAGTCGTGCTCCCCCAAAAAATCTCAGATAATCAGATACTAGTGTCATTAGGGAAAATGAGCTCAAGACAGTATGGTAAGAGATTTTTTTTCCCCTTTCTTATCCTCTAGGTTTCCCAAGTGCAAAGATAAACAGTCCCATACCAGGCCCTAAAAAAGCAGCAGCTGATGGAGCCTTTTCAAAACATTCATCATTAATGAGTACATGCAGAACAAAGTTAAATTGATCCAGCTCAAAAGTAACCTAGAGCTGTTGCTCATTTGCTTTTTCTGTCTACTGATTCCTTAGTTAACACCTAACCAATGGTTGTGCCAACACCTTCGCAGAGGAGAAGGGAAGCAAAATGCAGTTAACCTTAGTTCCAATTCTTCCATCCTTGGAATAACATTCGAACTTTAATACTTACGACACTGTTGATGTTCATCTGATCCATCTTCACAATCTTCCTCGTCATCACATACCCAAGAACGTGGGATACATTCACCATCAGTCTGACACTGAAACTGACTGCCCTCACAGGTTGGTTGAGCTAAATGTAAGGAAAGAATAAAAATGTCATTTCACAGACATTTGGTAAAGCATTTTCAAAGAAAACAAAAAATAAAGACACTTAAGATTCAAATATCCATTGACTAATTTCCAGTGAATACATGAACAAACCACAGAAATACAATGACAAACCATAGAAAATGGCCAGATCAGGGTCATAAATGTGGGCCAGAAGAATGTTTGAAGGCAAATTTTAGTTTAGTGAACATTTTACGTATATTCTGTTCTGCATCAACTCAGGGAGAAGGACAGGTTTCTGAGGAAGATGAGGCACAGCAAAAGCTTAAGACTCGGAACTACCCTCTTGCAGAGCCTCTTTTTGTTCACTGATGTACAGAGTCATGTCAGCTTCGCTATGCTCACAGAAGTCAGATCAACTGCTCTCACTCCACTCCAGGTGCTCTGTTCCTGGTAGGAAGGTTTTTCAAAATAAGCTTATGATTCTTCTCCACTAATTCGCGAAACAAAAGTTAGATTAGTGTTTGAACAACCCAACTGCTGTCATCCCAGCTCTACTCTGCACTTTTCAACAGTAAAGCAACAACATTAGAGAGAAAAGTATTTAAAAAAAAAAAGAAAGCTTGAAATTAGCTACTGTTTCCTTGCTCCATTCCTAGTTAATAATCCTGAAAAGACACTAGCACAAAACAGCCCAGAAGACAGGACTCTGGCCTTAAACATCTTTTTTTCCTGGGATCATGTTTTTGCTGTGCTGCCAAGTCAACTAGAAATACTTTGTGCTCATGGAATGAAATGTAAGCACAACTATCAACATAATCTAAACATTCAAGGCAGAAAATGAAAAAACTTCACAGATTTAGCACTGAGAAGTACAAAATTATATCACAGGTAAAGCAAGTAGATAAAATCAATCACATACTATACAATGTGAATTGGTGGGGGGTTTTTTTGTTTTGTTTTGTTTTTTTCTATTCCTGACATGAGTATCAAAGAATAATCTTGGAATATAGTTTCAAGCATGGGCCAGTTTTAAACCACTCAGAACCATCATCCTAGACGCATGTACCTCATCACTTACAGCATATTAACACATTGGTTTTGAGAGCACAGTTAACTGAAGGAAAAAAGCCTGTAAAATTTAATTTTCATCTTTTTTCCATGAAGAACAATTCAGCCTCGTGCTTCTAAGTGTGATAAACACACGTGTCAGATTTCTGTTAGCTTTCATAAAGTCCGTACAAATTTAATCTACCCTTCGTTCAAAGCCCAACCACTTCTATTCAGTCACAGTTCAAAACTGAGTTGTTAGAGCAAGATATAGGAAAAGACCATTCTGTTTTGCAAGTTCATGGCATCCTTCAACCAGAACAGCAATTATTTTGGAGCTAAATAAATGCTAAGCAACAAATCAGCCAGTCAAGCTGTGCAAATAAACTCCAATTACTATAAGAGTCAAGCAGCAAAGAAACAATCCAGCGTGAAAAGAGCGAACATAAAGTAGTCTTCTGCATTCCTTATCAGCTGAGGGGCAAAAGCTGGCCTAACCTATAAATCGGCTAACAGCCACACCAGCCCACAAGACCTCAAAGAACACTCGAATCCAGACGAAAAAATGAAAGCCAGTTTCTGAAAAAAGCCCATGGAAGGAATTCCTTCATTTTCAAATTTTCATTTTCATATTTAGCTTAAGAGTTTTTGTGCATGGACCTTACAGCCTGGCTGAATGCAACTTTGCCTCTGAGTTGCTCATACTGGGGACAAGACAACAACTCCAGACAACTAACAATGACTCCTCTTGAGGTGTTATAGGTACATTGTCTGGATTCTCAAAGCTTCTGAGCCCAAGTCATGCTGCAAGTATTAGTGTGTATGTACCCTGTATATTCAGGATTACTGCAACAATAGAACACAATACATTTCTACATCTACCTAGAAGCCAGTCCATTAGTCACCAGAAGAAGTGACATTCCAAGAAGGACTTGGATTTTGAAGAGAAAGCTGTCATACTTCTAAGTCAAGCACTAGTTGACTTCCTGACTACCAAAGCTAACAGAGAAGAGATGACTCTTTAGCAGATTCTACAGTCATCTCCAACAACTAGCATTTTTCTCCCCCTTTTTCCTCTGTATAAAGTGCATTCTTGTATCACAAGGTATAGCTGGGAGCACACTGAGAGCTAAGAACTTTTTATATTATCGAAACGCTGCTCTACAGGTATTTCACTTACGACAACCAGCTTCATCTGTATCATCTGAGCAATCTCTAGCCCCATCACATCTCCAGTCTGCAGGAATACAGCGACCATTTCCACAGCGAAACTGCCCGCCTCCACATCCTGTGGTAAAACAAAGTAACAAGCAGGTTAGCAGAGCCAGCTAATCAAAGCAGACACCAAAGTGCATTCCTATCAAATCACTGTTCTATTCATGACTACAACACAGAAATGGAAGAACATTATGATGTACAAAAAAAAAAAATGACTACATGAAAAAGAATTGGGCCAATGCTCTATACACCCAGTCAAAAAGGAAAAGAAAATAAACAGCTGTAAGTCTGTTGTGAATAATTTTAATACGCTTATTATGCAATCACTTATTATGCAAACAAAAATGATTAAAAAAAAAGTCTCGGAAGAGCACCTGTACTACAGGAGCCTATTTAATGGAGATACTTCCATTTTAAATTCACAGACAGTAGAGACTTACATAAAAGTAGGGGATCATTTTCCACATGATTTCTACAGGCTAAACTTACTAAACATGCAGATCTCCCCAAAGCCTGCGAGGATAATAATAATTATCCTCTCTGCACCCACTATCAATTCAAGCTGGGGAAGCTGGGGAACATAGAGCACAGTTTTATCTTGAAGGTACTTCTGGGTGACAAGTTGGGCAAGAGGCAGCAAACCAACCACATGTTGGCTAGCAGGGTAAGGAGAGTGATCCACCTCTCTGCTCTGGGCTGGTGAGATTTCACCTGGAGTACTGCGTCCAGACGCAGAGTCCTCCTTATCAGAGAGACATGGACTTGCCACAGTACATCCAGAGGAGGGCCACAAGAATGATCCAAGGGATGGAACAGTTTCCCCATGAGGACAGACTGAAAGAGCTGGTGCTGTTCAGCTTGAAGAAGGGAAGCCTCTGGGGACACTTCAGAGCGGCTTTTAATTATTTAAAGGGGAGCTGTAAAAAAGAAGCAGACAGACTCTTTAGCAGGGTCTGCTGTGACAGGACAAAGGGAAATGGTTTCAAACTAAAGGAGGGGAGATTCAGACTGGATATAAGGAAGTTTGGGAGTTTTGTTTGTTTGTTTTGCAATAATTGTAGTGAAGCACTGGAACAGGTTGCCCAGAGATGAGGGGTATACCCCATCTTTGAAGACACTCAAGGTCAGGCTGGATAGGACTCTGAGCAACCTGATTTAGCTGTAGGTGTCCCTGTTCACTGCAGAGGAGTTGGATTAGATAACCTTAAAGGGTCCCTTCCAAATCAATTCTATGATTCTGTGTGAAAATCTTGTTTTAGAAACCATGTGTTGGTGACCAGCTTGAAAGTCTAAAAGACCTCCATTCTGTTTTGTTTTTATAATACCTTTAAAGTCTTTCCTCTAAAGCATAGGAAAGCATGTCAACATTTAAATAGCAAATAATTTTAAAAGAAATTAAGCTTTTAGACATTTATGGCTGATCAAAAGCTAGCCTGCTGTCATTCTATCCCACTTGACTTACTAAGGATTAAGAACTGATTAAAGAAACATTCATTCCCAGGTGTAAATGCAGCTGGATCAGGCATTTATTAGACTCATCTAACAAAATCTTCAGTCCTGCAGCAGAGAGAAAAATGCACTGTTTATGGCCTTTGGTTGTGACTACAGCCTTGTAAAAAAGGAGTGAACAGCTTTATAGGTCCCCAGAACAATGAGCTATAACATAATTAGGCTCAACAGCGCTCTGTTTCATGTTAATCTGTTGTCAGCACATCCGAGCAGGGAAGTCTAGAGAGAAGAAAAAAAGAAAAAAAGAAAAAAAAAAGGCAGCAGCAAAGCCCAACTCTGCAGAAAAAACAGTTTCCTGGTTTAGTTACTAATCACAGGATAAAAGTACATCTTTCAATTATTCTGAATGATTTGTCCAGAGAAGATAACCTCAGTATCTTTGAATACCACCACCTACTTTTGAATTTGTGATGACATAAGTAACATGCTACCCTAACTTTTATGTAAAACCAGGCATATCAACACAGTCACATAAACACATCCAAGTGATGTATTCTTAAGGGATATAGGCAAGCTACTTTATGCAAGGAATGCTCAAATCTGATTGTCTGGTAGTGACATCCTGATTTATAATGTATCCTGCAAATGGTCAAAAATTTCACTTGGATAAATGGTGGTACAGAGTGGTACAGGAGTACGTTCACCCAAATACCTTCTATAGTCTAATGCATGATGGTGGTTGGTGGTGCAGGTCTGGGGTTGGTGGTGCAGGTCTCTTATCAACTACCTTTAAAACACAACAACCTCCCTTGCAAAAATGCCCTGAAGGAATGTACAAGTTCACTCTGGAATCCCAGGCCCTCTCACTGAATTCTGCCCTCCAAAGCAACATTTCCATATGAGATTAGCAGTTAAAACTCTAATAAACACAACACCTAAAACACCCCATCTCTGTTGGAATCACTACAAAAAAAGTATAAACTAAATGGGCTTGTATATTTGACGTATACTGCCATAGAAAACCACAGGAATATTAATAGTCACTTACTTAAAAAGAAGTTACAATACAGAATTAAATCCATACCCACAAATGGAGTTCCTAGTGAAAAAGATATTTACAAACAAGCAAGTAATTACACTGTAATTTGTATATTATTTATAAAGAATAACTGGGAAAAAATTTCCAAGTATTACATACAACCGCTAATTCATTTTGCTTATCTTGTACTAAGTTCTTATATTTAATCATATCCTTATAGTCATATAAATGAGGAGATAACACTGATAAACTTTTAAGAAAGCATTATAAACATAGCTGCCTTCATATAGCATGAGAAATGGTAACTGAATGTTAACAGAAAATCTGCAAAGCACGCAGTTCTCCTGCACTGTAATTCCTCACAGAATTACAGTTTAAGTTGCTCACACCTACATACAGTAAGTGCTGTATCAATGTCTGTTTATACAATTCTTCAGCAGACCTGTTATAATTCATTTAATTATGGCATTAGCCTTTTCAAGTGTTATCTTCTGTGCTTTCTTTCTGCAGGCATGCAGCCCTGATGCACCTTCAGAAAAATACAAAACCAACTGACAGTTCACGTACCACTGCTCTATAATATCTTTGTAACAAAGAAAATTGCACAGTAAATAATGACATCAATGCATTAAAAAGTCAGCCTTTGAAACTAATAGAGAAAAAGTAAAGGTGAAAAGTTGTTCCAAAACTCATAATCAAAGCTCTAAAAATCCTGTGTTTCATCTCTGATCAAAAATTGTTTATTTTTTTTAACAAAGACAGTAAATGGGGGGAAAATGAATTACAAAATCTATTACTACCAATGTTCAGCAGAAATATCCAGGATAAAATAAAATTAACCACATCAACAGTAACAGCAATAACCAGGTTTGTTCCTACAGACAACTACAGAGACCATTTACTCTACAATTGAATGTACTCGTTCTGCTAGAAACAAATACCTCAAAATTAAGAGATTTGAACAACTGTATGTTTCAACAACTGTGACTTCAGTTATCTGACATAAATGACACACAGCGCTCACAGCAATAGTGACAATCTGCAGAAGAAGCACACAGAGTCCACAAGGACCGCTTCCATTGTTTCAGTCGATGCGAGGTGGGCCTGCAGCACCTGGCTCAGCAGGGAACTGTCAGAAGACAAGGGGCATCTGCTTGTTTGCTGCCATTATCTGAAGCCCTGATTCACTGAAGGATCAGCAATAAGCAATTTTATGAAAAATTTTGCTTTCCATAAGAAACTTTTTTTAAAAATAGCAAGGCAGCTCATAAATCAGACACTGCCAAAAAAATTAATACTAATGAGGTAATTTCCATAGAAATTCTGATTTACTCTGACAGATGCTAATAAAACCAGACACCTCTTTCAGGCAAACACAATTCTGTCAGCATGATTCCTGCAGGAAATAACCAATGAGTTTAAAAACAAGCAGTAAACCAATTAAAAGTTTAAAGCTTTACTGCCATGCCTAAAATTTACCTAGGAGACTTTTGAAAGTTCAACATTCAGATAGGATCAATTTTTTTGTTTTGCTTTATTTTTACTATAATTCATTTTTTTGTCTTCTGACTGTGACAGACTGAAGAAATACACGACTTTGCCTTTACGAATCACATCAGAACATATAGATAGGTCCTTCTGAAAATAATTTCTGCTATTCATTTCCATGGAAACTACAACAGATATTCAAAACACAATTCATCAACACAGTCACCACCATTAGCTCTGCATTTGGTCACCATAAATAATCAGCAAGCGCTGATGAATGTCAGTGGGTGCCATTTTTTCCAGATGGAGAAATTCAATGACACACCTTTGCTCCAAGCACACTTCCATGTCTGACATCGTACTGTCAGACTGTCCCTTTGCTCCATCAGTTGCACTGCAACAAAATGTAATGGAATATTGGCAGGAAGGTTTAATCTCTACTGCCATACCAACAACATCTGCCTCTGACACTGCGGGCTAACGTATTAAAATAGGAGGCAGTACTTTCAGAGCAGCCCTCCCATGACGAATTCACGGACATTAAGAATTTTGAAAGGTAAGTATCTATTTCAATTGTTCAATATTCATGAAAACACCAAGGAAACACTATGATATTTAACACAAACCAGCCTGGTACCAAAACAAGATCAGAATTCTCACTGAAAAAATACATCCCAAGAGCACAACTCCTAACCTTCTCGTTACTCTTAACAATCTCTGGGCTTTATGCTGATTTTATCACTGCCTCTTCTGTGCTTCTTTGTGCCTGGGATCCATTGTTGAGTGGATGTTTAAGATTCAGAATTTGCTCAGTTAAAAACATGAAGGCCAACACTCCAGGCCCTGGCTAAGCACTTGGTCAAAGAGTATGTCAGGTAGCCATTTTCCCAGGAAATAAAGAAATGTAATAGTGAGTTCGTCATAGCAAAGACAGGACAAAACACTACTAAAAACATAATGTTAGCCTTTCAATTTGTGATGAAACACGTACGTATTGCTGAACAACAGAAATAATGCAATACAAACTCTATTACACAATTAACTACAATTAACTTTGTGCTCTGCAACAACCAGTGCATAAGAATGAAGTTAAA